CTTCTCTCTCTCATTCACAGTTAATTTTTTCTCTAAAACCTTAGTTTTCATCTTATTCAACTTAAAACCTGCTACCTGTCCGAATTCTTGAATCAGTTCCAATACCCTTTTAGTACTAGATTCTGGCTCCTGTAAAGTCAATACTAAGTCATCAGCAAATGCTTTCAGTTTGTACTGTTTAGCTCCCACTTGTATACCTTTAACCTCTTGGTCCTTTCTAATCATATTTAACAAAACCTCAAGGACCGATATAAAGAGCAATGGAGAAATTGGGCAACCTTGTTGTGTCCCTTTCTCAATCTTAAACTCTTCTGTCACTACATTGTTCACAATTAATTTTGCCTTTTGTTCTGAATAAATTGCACCTATACCATTTTCAAAACCTTGACCTACCCCCATCCCCTGTAGATTCTTCTTCATAAAACTCCAAGAAATATTGTCAAAGGCTTTCTCTGCATCCACAAATATCAAGACTGCCTTAGTATTGATATTCACTTGTAGTTTTTCTAGAATATTAATTATATTCCTCATGTTGTCAGACAAATGTCTGCCCGGGAGAAAGCCCGCTTGGTCTTTATGAATTTCTTCTACTAACACCTTTTTTAATCTTTTAGCCAAAATATCTGCAAAAATTTTGTAATCCACATTAAGCAGCGATATAGGGCGGTAGTTCTTGAGCTGTGTCTTTTCAGTCTCTGTTTTCGGTATAAGTGTAATGTAAGCTTCCTTCCACGACTCTGGTGCCTTTCTCCCTTCCAATATTTCATTGCAGACTTCCTTCAACGGTTGTATCAACCATTCTTTCAAAGATCTGTAATATCTTGAAGTCAAACCATCTGGTCCTGGAGATTTACCTAATTGCATGTTCTGGATGGCCCCTTCCACCTCCTGATCCGTTATTTTGTAATTCAACATTAGCTGTTTTTCCTGAGAGATTTTGTGTAGTCCATTTATTTTCAAAAATCGATCAATGTCCATTTCTTTCTGCTTCTCCTGTGTATAAAGTTGTTTGAAATACCTCTGAAAACACTTCCTGATCTCCACTGGGTTCTGTATATTCTTTCCTTCCACTTCCAAATTCGTAATAGTATTGAGTTTTTGTCTTTTTTTCATATGCCAAGCCAACAATTTTCCACACTTATTTGCCAATTCAAATGTCTTTTGCCTCATCTGTTTAATCTTCCATTCTATTTCCTGATTCATCAGCTTCGTATATTGTACTTGGTATAACTTTATCTCTTTCAGGATCTCCTGTGACTTTGGTTTTGCTCTCAGCTTCTTCTCTCCTTCCTTTATTTTCCCCAGGATTTTATCCTTTTTTCATTCTGAGTTCTCTTCTTAATTGCATTCTGTTGTATTAGGAATCCTCTCGTAACCGCTTTGCTTGCGTCCCAAATTACTCTTTTTTCCACTGTAGTATTCATGTTTATCTCAAAATAATCTCTTAGAGTTTTTTGGGCCTTCTTGGTCACCTCTTCATTCCTGAACAGAGTATCATTCATCCTCCATCCAAAGGAACCAATTGGTGTCAATTTCATTTCCATCTTCACAGCATTATGGTCAGAACAAGTTTTGGGGCAAATCTCCACCTTACTGATCTTCGGAACCAATCCCCTGGTTACCCAGATTTGGTCAATTCTTGTCCATGTCATTTTAGCCTCAGAGAAGAAAGTTCCCTCCCTTCCCAGAGGGTTCTTCATTCTCCAAATGTCAACTAAGTCCATACTTTCAGTCATGTCAAAAAAGGTTTTTGGTAGTCTACCATCTTTGGTGACTACCTGTCTCTGTGCCTTGTCCATATTTGTAGACACCACTCCATTCATATCTCCCATCAAAATCATATTATAGTCCATATAATCCATCAGAGTCTCGTGTAACTTCTTAAAGAACTCAGATTTTCCTTCATTTGGTGCATATATACCTACAATCAGAAATTTCTCTCCTTGTGATTGAATTTCAATTGCAACAAATCTTCCTTGGTCATCTTTGAATATGAATTTTGGTGATAGGCTCTCCTTTGCATAAAGGACCACTCCTCTTTTTTTAACTTTATCTGATGAGATAAATTCTTGGCCCAGTCTTTTATTACTCAATATCTTCCTGTGTAGCCTTATCACATGTGTTTCTTGTAAACAAATCAAGTCCAAATGTTCTTTTTTCAATAAATGAAAGACTCTCCGCCTTTTTTCTGGAGAATTTAGTCCATTCACATTCCAGCTCGAAACCTGCAACGCCATCATGTAATTACACTGATATTCCTCCAACTGCACCCAATGCTTGCTCTTCTTCTGTTGGTGGTGGTGGTGCCACGTTCACTGGGAGATCCAATCCAGAGGGTAATGCTGATATATCCAATATTCCCCTGTTTGGTGATCTTCTATCCGATGCTCTTTGCTCTAGTCCTCTATCTGGTGATCTTCTATCCGATGCTCTTGGCTCTTTTCCAAGTCCCTTCTGCAGATCTTCGTATTTATACAAAAACTTTACTTTATCTTCTACTGATCTTATTTTTATTTTCCTTCCTTTGAAACTGAACGTTAGACCTTGGGGAAACTCCCACCTGAAGATGATTTTATTCCTTCTCAGCAGGGCAACAATATCTCCGTAGTTAGGCCTAAAATCCAAAAGATATTTCGGGACGTCTTTAAAAATTTCCACTCTTGACTGTTGTACTTCACCTCCCACTTCTTAACACTCTATTCCAAACTCTGAAAACCAATCCTTCCATCTTTTTCTACCAAAGAGCAAAGCTTGGATGAATTTACTTTCTTTTTTTTAAAAAAAAAGAATATTTATTGAATTTTATAACAAATAAAAATACAGATCTCAATCATCATGTTATTTACCATTGTTTTCCCTCCCCTCCTCTGGACTTCCCTCAACTTCCCCTCTGCTGAGTTATTTAGCTTTATTTGTTGTATCCTGCTTTTCTTATATAAAAGCAATTTCCCAAATCATTTCTCTAAAGTATCTGTTACTGAAATAAAGTTGTGAAAGTTTATTCAAACCCTGCTAGTGAATCCAGTCCATTTTGTTGTTTCTGCAAATAGACTGTAAATGGTTCCCAGACTCTTTTGAAGTCCTTTTTGTCCTTCTCTCATAGTTTATCTGTTAGCTTAGCCAACTCTGCATAGTTCATTAGTTTTTCTCTCCATTATTCCTTTGATGGCATGTCTTCCGTCTTCCAATATTGTACAATCAAGATTCTGGCTGCTGGTGTAGCATACATAAATAATATCCATTTTTCTTTTGGCAACGCTTGGTTTGGGATACCTAACAAAAAGGCTTCAGGGTGTTTAAGAAAGTTCATTTTCAACATGAAGCTGTTTACTTTCCTAGGCTTGGAAAGTGTAAGAATGGAAGTCAGTCTTATCTCTTCCGCTCTGCTGTGCTTTTGCGCTGTTCTTTGTCTCTCTGTCTGTTGCTGTAAGAAGAGAGAGGACGCCATTATGATCTGTTTGGTGTTGCCTGCAAATGTGATGAGCATCCCTTCAGTTCCTTCATCCAAGTCACTTATCAAGACCTTGAACAACAACGGGCCCAGAACAGAACCCTGCAGCACCCCACTTGTCACTTTTCCCCAGGATGAGGAGGAATCATGAAGGAGTCCTCTTTGGGTTTGGTCAGTCAAATCCACCTAACAGTTACCTCATTCAGCCCACATTTTACCACCTTCCTCACATAAACATCACAGAGGACTTTGTGAAAAGTCTTACTGAAATCGAGATGCACAATTTCCACAGCAGTCCCCTGATCAACAAACTTTGTAACTCCATCCACAAAAAGAAAAGAAGAAAAGGAGAGATTTCTTTGGCATCACTTGTTTTTGAGAAAGCCATGCTTTCATCCTGTATGTTTATAATGTAAAATCTTCAGATGAAGGGCAAATAAATTTTAAAAATAATAAATGAGGATATTGACATGTGCAAAGGAAGGCGATTTATGTCTTTATTTAATTTGGAAACCACCCGACCCAGTGCTGCCAACTTGAATAAAATATTGATGGGGGGCCAGGTAAGGCCCACCTTGCACAATCAAACACATGATGCATGCATGCCATTTGAATGGCAATGCCTATAATGGCAACAACTTTTTTAAAAAGTAATATTTTGAGCCCGTAGTTCAGTTTCCCAGCAGCTCCCCTTGCCCCAGAGACACTTCTAGCATTGCATCTCCTCTACCTGTGGCATTGTTCAGCAGTGGGGAAAGTGACCTCTTCACAATTGATGTCCATTTGGTATGGCCCTTTCCAGGTTTTTTCCTGCCCCTTGTGTTTGTCTTTCATTTGTTCTCCTTTGTGTGTTGCCACTATTCTGTGGGTACTCTAGGTGGCGCAGAAAGTACCCAGAAGCTCCCTAGAGGTTGAAGTGCCGATCAAACTTCAGTGTTGCGCTCTATTAATTCCAATTAGCAGTACTGGGGGTGGTTCAGATTCTGGGGCAGTGCTTTTGTCCAGCAGAGGGTGTCACAGGGCCAGCCTACTTTCCCTTTAAAGCAAACTTGGGTCTCCAGCTGTTTTTGGACTGCAAAGACCCCTAGGCCTTTAAGAGTTGGCACCTATTCCCTACACCCAAAGGCCTCAGGATGGTTACAACAAAAAAAACAAAACACCACCTATTAAAAAGGGCATTAGATGTCAATCAGCCAAAAGCCTGGTTAAAAAGGTGCGTCTGCCTGGTTACTAAAGCTGTATAATGGTTTTTTCGACCGTTGTATGGATTCTTTGATGGGAAGTGAGATTGGAGCTCGTCCCGAAGCTCTTTCCACATTCGACACACTGATAGGGTTTCTCCCCTGTATGAATTCTTTGATGGGAAGTGAGAGAGGAGCTATGACTGAAGCTCCTTCCACATTCGGCACACTGATAGGGTTTCTCCCCTGTATGGATTCTTTGATGGGAAGTGAGCGAGGAGCTATCAGTGAAGCTCCTTCCACATTCAACACACTGATAGGGTTTCTCCCCTGTATGGATTCTTTGATGGGAAGTGAGAGAGGAGCTATCAGTGAAGCTCTTTCCACATTCCACACACTGATAGGGTTTCGCCCCTGTATGAATTCTTTGATGGGAAGTGAGATGGTGGCTGTGACTGAAGCTCTTTCCACATTCCACACACTGATAGGGTTTTTTCTCCTCTATGAATTCTTTGATGGGAAGTGAGATTCTGACTGTGACTGAAGCTCTTTCCACATTCCACACACTGATAGGGTTTCTCCCCTGTATGAATTCTTTGATGGGAAGTGAGATTCTGACTGTGACTGAAGCACTTTCCACATTCCACACACTGATAGGGTTTCTCCCCTGTATGAATTCTTTCATGGGAAGTGAGATCGGAGCTCTTCCTGAAGCTCTTTCCACATTCCACACACTGATAGGGTTTCTCCCCTGTATGAATTCTCTGATGGGAGGTGAGACCGCGGCTGTCACTGAAGCTCTTTCCACATTCCACACACTGATAGGGTTTTTCTCCTGTATGAATTCTTTGATGGTAAGTGAGAGAGGAGCTCTGACTGAAGCTCTTTCCACATTCCACACACTGATAGGGTTTCTCCCCTGTATGAACTCTTTGATGGGAAGTGAGAGAGCAGCTCTGACTGAAGCTCTTTCCACATTCCACACACTGATAGGGTTTTTCTCCTGTATGGATTCTTTGATGGGAAGTGAAAGCGGAGCTAACACTGAAGCTCTTTCCACATTCCACACACTGATAGGGTTTCTCCCCTGTATGAATTCTCTGATGGGAGGTGAGACTGTGGCTGTGACTGAAGCTCTTTCCACATTCCACACACTGAAAGGGTTTCTCCCCTGTATGAATTCTTTGATGGAAAGTGAGAGAGGAGCTCTGAATGAAGCTCTTTCCACAATCCACACACTGATAGGGTTTCTCCCCTGTATGAATTCTCTCATGGGAGGTAAGACTGTGGCTGTGACTGAAGCTCGCTCCACATTCGACACACTGATAGGGTTTCTCCCCTGTATGGATTCTTTGATGGGAAATGAGAGAGGAGCTATGACTGAAGCTCCTTCCACATTCGACACACTGATAGGGTTTCTCCCCTGTATGGATTCTTTGATGGGAAGTGAGAGAGGAGCTATCAGTGAAGCTCTTTCCACATTCCACACACTGATAGGGTTTCGCCCCTGTATGAATTCTTTGATGGGAAGTGAGATGGTGGCTGTGACTGAAGCTCTTTCCACATTCCACACACTGATAGGGTTTTTCTCCTCTATGAATTCTTTGATGGGAAGTGAGATTCTGACTGTGACTGAAGCTCTTTCCACATTCCACACACTGATAGGGTTTCTCCCCTGTATGAATTCTTTGATGGGAAGTGAGAGAGGAGCTCTGACTGAAGCTCTTTCCACATTCCACACACTGATAGGGTTTTTCTCCTGTATGAATTATTTGATGGGAAGTGAGAGAGGAGCTCAGACTGAATCTCTTTCCACATTCCACACACTGATAGGGTTTCTCCCCTGCATGAACTCTTTGATGGGAAGTGAGATCGGAGCTCTTCCTGAATCTCTTTCCACATTCAACACACTGATAGGGTTTTTCTCCTGTATGAATTCTTTGATGGGAAGTGAAAGCGGAGCTAACAGTGAAGCTCTTTCCACAATCCACACACTGATAGGGTTTCTCCCCTGTATGAATTCTTTGATGGAAAGTGAGAGAGGAGCTCTGACTGAAGCTCTTTCCACATTCCACACACTGATAGGGTTTCTCCCCTGTATGAATTCTCTGATGGGAAGTGAGTTCGTAGCGTGTCCTGAACCTCTTTCCACATTCCACACACTGATAGGGTTTTTCTCCTGTATGAATTCTTTGATGGGAAGTGAGTTTGTCCTTCTTCCTGAAGCTCTTTCCACATTCCACACACTGATAGGGTTTTTCTCCTGTATGAATTATTTGATGGGAAGTGAGTTTGTCCTTCTTCCTGAAGCTCTTTCCACATTCCACACACTGATAGGGTTTCTCCCCTGTATGAATTATTTGATGGGAAGTGAGATGGGAGTTCTTCCTGAAGCTCTTTCCACATTCCACACACTGATAGGGTTTCTCCCCTGTATGAATTCTCTGATGGGAGGTGAGACAGTGGCTGTGACTGAAGCTCTTTCCACATTCCACACACTGATAGGGTTTCTCCCCTGTATGAATTCTTTGATGGGAGGTGAGACTGTGGCTGTGACTGAAGCTCTTTCCACATTCCACACACTGATAGGGTTTCTCCCCTGTATGAATTCTTTGATGGGAAATTAGATGGGAGCTCTTCCTGAACCTCTTTCCACATTCCACACACTGATAGGGTTTCTCCCCTGTATGAATTCTTTGATGGTAAATTAGATTGGAGCTGTGACTGAAGCTTTTTCCACATTCCATGCACTGATAGAGTTTCTTTCCAATGGGATTTTGTTGATGGGAAGTGGAATGGGAGCTCTGACTGCAGCTTTCTCCACACTCCAAATTTTTACGTGGCTTCTCCTCTCTGGGGATTTTATCGTGGTCACCTTTGTTCTCGATTTCCGATTCATCACAATCTGCAATAGAGACAAAAAGGGATTAGAGCCTCAGGAACAAATGGAGAAGAACTGAAGGAAGTTGGGGGGGGTCTTCATTACCTGTGTTGTTTGTCATTAACCAACATATTTATTATTAGATTCTGATGAGTTGTTGAATGTTGGTTTGTTTAATATATAGTAGTGGTCCAAATTGTGGAAGACTCTTGGAAAAAAGTGTATTTCAGAGGTTTGATAGCTCATAACACCACTTCTTTTATAGGAATAACATAAAATTGTATATCAATGGAAAGATAATTTAATCAAGAATGCAATCCATCAAGAATGCAAGTTTGTTCAATTACTCATATTTTATCAAATGTTATAGTCAAATAACCAGAAAAAGGAAGCACAACTTGCTTAGGTTTACTTTTGTCAATGTGTTATGTGATTGCTATCAAGTTGGTTGGGGTTTTTTGTGTTCTTTCATTTAGTGAGGTTGTAAAACATAATAAAATTATAGAAATGGCACAAAGAGTTGACGGGTCACCCAGAAAGCGATGTAAAATAGTACTATTAAGTGAACAAGGCTACAATTATGAAGAAATTTGAAGAGAGATTGGGGGAAACATAACCAAAGCTGGCCTTTCTATATTTTTGAAGAGGTATAAGGAGACTCAGGCACTACAAAATCAGACTGGTAAAGGCAGGAAGATATTCAGCTCCATGTCATGTTGCTGCTGTGTTGAAAAAGTGCTTTCAAGATAATCCTATTCCACTGCCGGAATGGCCTGGGAATAGCCAAAACTTTAACCCAGTTGGAAATCTATGCAGTCGACTAAAGAAACATTTTAAACAGAAGCAACCCAGCAATAAAGCCCAGTGAACAGAGGCAATAATTCAGTCTTTGTTTCACATTATTACAACTGCAGAACTAAAAACTTGATTCACTTCATGGGAAGATGTTGTAAGGCCGTAATGAAAGCTAAAGGTTACCAATGGTTACCAAAGGTTTCACGTTTTTTCTTTATGACTGCTGTTCTAATAAATACTCCATCATAAAAGTCATTGCATTACATTCTTCATTAAAATATCTTTCCATTGCTATATAATTTTATGGCATTATTCCACACAAAGGTGGAGTTATGAGCCATCAAACCTCAGAAATACACTTTTCACAAAAGCTTTCCACAATTTTGGCCACTAGTATAAGTTGTTCATTTTAAAGTTAATGTTCTTTTTATATGGAATCAGATTATTATTATTATTATTATCGGCAGTGTAGAAATAAAAATTATTATTATTACTACAGTGGTACCTGTTCTGGAAAAGCTTAATTTTGTAAACCGAGGTACCACTGTATCATCCTCATCCTCATCACTGCTATTACTACCTGAGATTCCATAAGCCTAGCTCTTCTCTGGGATCGATTTTGTTTGGCCCAGTCATGGCATCCCCTCCATCTCCAATGTCAGTCCTTGTTATGGCTTGGTCTCTCCCACAAACGTGAGACGACTCTGTTAATAATTTCAGATTTATTGCTAAAACAACAAACTTGGACGGAGCTCCTCTACTCATCATCCTCCCCACAAGATGGAGTTGCCCAGACTGAGCTCCTTCCCCTTCCCCAGCACGGAAGCCCCCACCTTCTCTTCCAGTATCTTTAAATTTGGCAGAGAATGCTTCCTGCATTCCAGTGTCTGACTCACTCCTGTAGCTCTCACACAGCTGTCTGTCTTTCTTTTTCTTCTCCCCCTTGTTCAGAGCTCAGATGACAGTTGCTCTCCCCCTCCTCTCTGCCTTCCGCTGCTAACTCTCCTCTCCCTAGGCCTGCTTATTCTCTGGCTGGCAGCACCTGAGCTTCACTGCCAGTCCTCTCTTTGGTCAACCCAAGACTGACAGGAGCAAAAACAAAAAACAAAAACCTGAAGCTACTTATCTTTCCTAACAATTCTGAAGCTGACATTGAAGGTGGCCTGGGAAGTTCAGACCAGCCCAATCCTGGTAGAAAAAGGAATAATTTGAGGAAGGCTGTTCAAAGAAAAAACTGTAATTAACTCTATTGTGAGGGTGTTAGGTTCCCAGGTGTTATAGGGGGCGCTGTTGAGCTCTGTGAAAATATATGAGGTTGGTCACATTGAGGTATTTTTTGAATTTCCAGGCTGATATGACGATCCCACAGGGAGCCTTACCAAGAGAGGCCAATATCCCACAATTCTCCTCCATGACGTCCTTATGCAGAGCTCTCTGGTCAGGATCCAGCATCGCCCACTCCTCGTCCGTGAAACGAACAGCAACATCTTCAAAGCACGCTGGACCCTAAAAGAAAAAGGGAAATGTCCTCCTCTGAGACAGCAGAAATATGATCTGCTACACAATGCTCTGTTATTTCCTTCTTGTTAATAATAATAATAATAATTAATATTTATACCCCGCCCATCTGGCTGGGTTTCCCTAGCCACTTTGGGCGGCTTCCAATAAAACACTAAAATACAATCATCTATTAAACATTAAAACCTTCCCTAAACAGGGCTGCCTTTAGATGTCTTCTAAAAGTTTGGTAGTTATTTTTCTCTTTGACATCTGGTGGGAGGGCATTCCACAGGGCGGGTGCCACTACCGAGAAGGCCCTCTGCCTGGTTCCATGTAACTTGGCTTCTCACAGCGAGGGAACCGCCAGAAGGCCCTCAGCGCTGGACCTCAGTGTCTGGGCAGAACGATGGGGGTGGAGACGCTCCTTCAGGTATACTGGACCGAGGCCTTTTAGGGCTTTAAAGGTCAGCACCAACACAATGAATTGTGCTCGGAAACGTACTGGGAGAAAATGCAGGTCTTTCAAGACTGGTGTTATATGGTCTCGGCAGCCACTCCCAGTCACCAGTCTAGCTGCCACATTTTAGATTAGTTGTAGTTTCCGGGTCACCTTCAAAGGTAGCCCCACATAGAGTGCATTGCAGTAGTCCAAGCGAGAGATAACTAGGGCATGCACCACTCTGGTGAGACAGTCTGAGGGCAGGTAGGGTCTCAGCCAGCGTACCAGATGGAGCTGATAAACAGCTGCCCTGGACACACAATTGACCTGTGCCTCCATGGACAGCTGTGAGTCCAGAATGACTCCCAGGCTGCACACCTGGTCCTTCAGGGACACAGTTACCCCATTCAGGACCAGGGAGTCCTCCCACACCTGCCCGCCTCCTGTCCCCCGAAAACAGTACTTCTGTCTTGCCAAGATTCAGCCTCAATCTGTTAGCCGCCATCCATCCTCCAACAGGACTTTCAAACAGGACTTTCACCGCCTTCACTGGGTCCAATTTGAAAGAGACGTATAGCTGGGTATCATCCGCATACTGATGAGCACCCAGCCCAAACCCCCTGATGATCTCTCCCAGTGGCTGCATGTAGATGTTGAAAAGCATGGGGGAGAGGACGGAACCCTGAGGCACCCCACAAGTGAGAGCCCAGGGGTCTGAACACTCATCCCCCCCCACCACTTTCTGAACACAGCCCAGGAGGAAGGAGCGGAACCACTGTATGACAGTGCCCCTAGCTCCCAGCCCCTCAAGACGGTCCAGAAGGATGTTATGGTCGACGGTATCAAACGCTGCTGAGAGAGCCAGCAGAAATAGGAAACAGCTCTTACCTTTGTCCCTAGCCCGCCAGAGATCATCGACCAGTGCGACCGAGGCAGCTTCAGTCCCCATGATGAGGCCTGAATCCTGACTGGAAGGGATCCAAAAGGTCCGCTTCTTCCAGGCGTGCCTGGAGTTGTTCAGCAACCACTCGCTCAATCACCTTGCCCAAGAATGGAAGATTTGAGACTGGGCGATAGTTAGCCATATTGGCAGCATTTAAATATGGTTTTTAATAAGCGGTTTGATAACCACCTTTTTCAGCGGGTCTGGGAAGGCTCCCTCACAGAGAGAATAATTCACGACCCCTCAAAGCCCATCGCCCAGCCCTTACCGGCTAGCTTTTATAAGCCAGAATGGGCAAGGATCAAGGAGACAGGTGGTTGGTCTCACTCGTCCAAGCAGCCTGTCCACATCCTCAGAGGTAACAGATTGGAATTGATCCCACGCAACTTGACTAGACAGGACACTAGCACTCTCCTGTCCCGGCCCTGCTCCCACGGTGGAGTCTACCTCTTCCTGAATCTGAGCGACTTTATCTGCAGAAAACTTTGCAAAATCATTGCAGGAGATAATGTGGCCCATACTGGGCCCCGATGTAGCAGGTGGTTCTGCTATATTGTGAACCACCTAAAAAAGTCTCCTGCTGCTGTTTTCTGCAGATGCAATAGAGGCGGCCAAGAAAGTCTTCTTCGCCGTTGCTACCGCCACTTGGTAGGCTCGACATTGAGCTCTAACCCGTGTCCGGTCAGCTTCAGAACGAGTTGTCCGCCACCGGCGCTCTAGCCGTCTCAGCGATTGTTTCATTGCTCTCAGATCCGTGGAAAACCACAGGGCTGTCCAGGCTCCATGCAATCGAAGAGGGCGCTTTGGAGCCAAACAGTCAATAGTCCTGGTTAACTCCACATTCCAGCAGGCCACCAGGGAATCAGCTGTAAGGCCATCAACATGGGATAAAGCATCCCCTACCACTCTCTGGAAAACATTTGAATCCATTAAGTGGCGGGGGTGGACCATCTGAATCGGTCCCCCCTCCCTGGAGAGGGGAAGGGTCGCGGAGTAGTCCAGTTGCACCAGGAAGTGATCTGACCATGTCACTGCAACCCCCCCTCCCCGCCCACAAGGCCATAGCTGTCAACTTACAGATTTGAAAATAAGGGACCAGCAGCCCTGAAAATAAGGGACCAGCAGCCAAAATAAGGGACCTGCAGCCTCACCTGTTCCAGGCACTCCAGTCTTCCTGTCCTCCTGCAGTCTGGTCAAACTCATGCTGGGTAGCTTCGAGAACACTGTCCAACCAACTTTGTAACCAGAGGTTCAACTGAATTGAATCTGAATCACATGCACCACAAGGCCTATGCAGCCTCAACTTAAGATGGCTCTGCAGCCTGGCTTTGCACTGTAAAGTTTGCAGCAGCACGTGCAACAAAATGGCGTCCAGCATTCAAAAACACCCTCAGCTTGCATTAACTAGCCACACACAAGGCATGCAAGCTCCACCCCCCAGTCGTTCTTAGACTTCTTATTGGGTGAGCAACACAGCCAAGCAACACAGTTGGAGCCTCCCTCCTCCCTGGCAGGAAGGGAGGGAGGGAGAGGAGCTGCTTCCTTTGAAATTTAAGGGACATCATTTAAGGGACATTTAAGGGACATCTATCAATAAGGGACAGCAGCGGGACATGGTGCTGGAATAAGGGACTGTCCCTTCAAATAAGGGACACTTGACAGCTATGCACAAGGCCTGGGTTGCTGTGTAAGAGAAACCTGGTGGGCAAGCAGTGGCAAGGACAGGCCCATCTGCTTCATCCAACGAAGTCTCTGTTACACATGCCAGGTCAAGTCCTTCATCCATGATCAAGTCATGGATGGCAGTGGTTTTATGAATTATTGACCTGGCATTGCACAGCAGCACCTTCAGGTCATGTGGGTATCGCTTGCTGATTCTAGTATCCGTCCAGTCAGGACCAGACCCGGAGGCAGGGATAGTCCTCCAACAACGACTAAACCTGCCTCCTCTGTAATGACATGGTCTGGTCTTAGCGTAACTCCTCCTCCTACCCGTGATCACTAAGATCAGTTGTCCCAGGGCATCCCCCTTGGGGAACATGCCCTAGCTATTTTGTGGGCTGGGGCCCACTCCCCGGCAGCCCTTACCCCCCCTTAAGAACAAAATAAAACCCTTAAAGAAAAGAAAGAACCCACAATAAAACAATACAAACAAAAAACTGTAAAAATTACAATCAAAATCAAACAAATTCCCGAGCCCAACCAAACATCCACCCTACCCCCCCAAAAAAAAGTAATCAAAAGGGGAAAAGAAAATTTTAAATACATTTTAAAAAGAACATTGCGCCGCTCCGAGTCCTCCTGGCCAGCAGCAGCAGCAGCAGCAGCAGCAACAACCGTCCTTATGAGGCTTCAGGCCCCGCCCTGGGCCAGGTGGTGAGTGGCAGGAGCAGGGCCCTCAGGCACTCACGCAGGGGAGTTGTTTCAATAGGATTACTTTGCTGCACATTTTAATTCTGGATGCTTATTTTATTCTAAGTTTTAATTATGGGTATTCGTCTTTGTGCAAATAGGTGGTACTCCACACTGTGTTTTCCAGGTCATTCTGCCTACACAAGCATTCCAGTTTGCCTGATGGAAGGGTCCACTTTCTCCTCTCCTCCTGAGCTGTTCTGGGGAGTTCCCTCCCAATGCCCTAGAGCCAAATTCCAGGGGTTCATGGGGGCATGGAGAGGGGGAGGAATGGGGGGCAGGCCCCATTTTGCAGCCAATGGGGCTGATTAGGTGAATCCAGGCCACTATTTGTTCTGATTTGTTCACTGCTTAGAAACCAATCTGAGCATTCAGTGATCAATCTAGAAATCAAATAAGCCTGTTTTGGATGGCCATCTGTCTTGGATGATCTAGCAGAGATTCCTGCAATGCATGGGGTCTCCTGGCTCTGAGAGACAAGCAGGGAGGGTGGCTTCTGGCAAAAGGAGAGGGAGCCACCTGTGGCTCTTCCTTATTCTGACTCACCTCTGCCTCTCGACCTTCCTCTCCCACTTGCCTCCTTCCTCTTCTGCCTCTGATTCTGCACTGCATTCTGCCACAGAGTCTCCCAGCTCACTAAGCCCTGTTCGCCCTCCAGCTTCTGACACCTCCTCTTCCCAGGCTTCTCCCTCTTCCCCCTCTGACCACCCGTTCTTCTTCTATCTCTACTTCTTGGGCTCTCAGCCATCGTCCCTTCCTGGTTCCCCGGCTGCTTCCTTCCACCATTCCTCTGTCCGCAACCAGTCCATGACACTGCTCCATCCCTCAGTCTCTGTCCCCACAAGGCAGCTTCCCCTGACCTGATCTGGTTCCACAGCCGCTGCTTCCCTTCTGTCCCCATGAAAAGACGGATCAGGAAGTCTTGCCAGCATCACTCTGTCACCTGCAAGAGGAAAAAGGTGATCAGGACGCCTGGAGTGCCTGCTTCTCTCACAGGTGAAACAGGGCATCTCTAACTACAGATGGGCCTTTGAGAAAGCCTTACCTACTGAGAGCATTTGGACGTTTGTGCCCATTTCATATGTTTGTGGTGCAAAAATACATCTCCCCTCCTCTGGACCCTTCTTCCCAACTGTCTCCCCCCAAAACAAGATGAAAAGAACCCCCAGATGAGTTGGAGAACCAACAGAATGAGACCAGACGGAGAAAAACCACCTTCCTCCTTACCCAGTGGCCTCTCTCTGGTGTCCAACGGAGGCCTCTCTGCCTCACAGGAATCCAGGTCCATTTCTGCAAAGAGATCCTTTCCCTGAAAAAGAAACAAGGATTCAAAACAGAGAATGGTGAGAAAGACTACGAGATCTCATTCCATGGATGCTTTCCCAGAAAACGGATGGGCCATCAGCAGACCATTATGGGATGTTCTCTGTCCTGTTTGGAGCCCCTTGGGAGTATCCAGAGGAAAGTCTCTCTCACCTGCTTTCTCTCCTCTGCCTGACTCAGGAGGAAACCTTCGGCCAGGGCCACCGCCTGGGAACTGCTCTCCGCTCCGCATTCCCTCACCCAGCTCTCCATCTCCGGGGGAAGGACAGCCAGGAACTGCTCCAAGATCACCAGGTCCAGCATCTCAGCTTTCGTGTGCCTTTCCGGCTTCAGCCACTGGTGGTCAAGGTGGAAGAGTCTGCTGCAAACCTCTCGGGGTCCTTTGGCCTCCTGGCAGCAGAACTGCCTCAACTGCTGACTCTGCACCTCTGAGCGGAGAGTGTCCTCCTCACCCAGGATCTTCTGCACTGGGTTTTCCCAGAATCCCCCACTGCTCCCAGTTTGGCTGGCATGGCCTCTTCCTGTTCCAGGGCCAGCTGAGTTTCGCTCATCCATCTGTGCTCTCAGGAAGCCTTTGAGAGATCGGAAGGAACCCTTTGGTCTTCTGCCAAGTTCTGTCTGTCGTAATGAAAAGCTCTAGGAAATCCTACAAAGCAAATACATTGTTCTGTTACAAAATTTTTGGGACAGGAAAAGAAATATTTCCCTGAGCAAGCATGGATGAGTCTTGCTGGGAACCAGGGCTGGACTGCAGCGCATCCCAGACCGTGAGCTATCTTTTTGAAAAGAAAGAGGAGGAAGAGGAGGAGAAATAAATCTCTCGCCTTCTAGCAATGCAAAATGTGGAGGCAACTGAAGGGATTTCTGGGAGATTAATCAACCTGGTTTCTGCTGCCTTCCAGTCAATGCATGAAGTCAGAACCGACTGACAAGGGAGTCATTTGTGGGTCTAGTGAGGTCCTCACCCGGGGGTCCTCAGGAGTTACTCCCCCACCCCCACTCCCCTGCTTCTGTCTCCTTTTCTTGCACTTGGACCGTCTGCCGCTCTCCAGACAGACTCCTGGGGTGGGGTCCCTTTTTCTTTGCTCTAAGGGCCAGGTATGTATCTGATCAACCCCCTGAGGGCCAAGTGGGCAGGGCCAAAGACATCTCCCTTGAAATTTAGGCGGGTAATTTATTATTATTATTCTGTTAGATAGCTTCACACACACACACAGCCATTGATGCCAAGGTCCCTGCAGGTTCGGTGAGTAGCGGCGCCCATTTCCGGCTGCTTTGCCAGCAACAATCCCTTTGGGACAGAGAGGATGTGGTCCTGGGATGCCATGTTCTGGGTGCGAGGGGATTGCTGCAGTGGCCTCTGTGGGGAGCTGCCCTGGGAGACGACTGGGAAACAGGTCTGCAATGCAGCAGCCAGACTATGGGCTGGGATCCCTCTCTTTATTCCAGGCCTTTCTCTCCCACCTTTCCTTCCTTCCTTCCTCGATGAGAATTTTTTTTGGGGGGGTAGTGCCCCCTCCTCCTCGTCCAGCTTTGGAAAACCATTTGCACATGTTTCCTCTGCTGCGCAATGAGGCTGAGCGATGTCACACAGAGTTAAAGTCCCTGGGACTCCTTTTTTTAAAGAAGGGAGATTTTTTCAGAAGGGGGGGCGGAGGGCCAAATGAGTTTGGGATCCTCTGATCTCCAGGAAGGAGAGCGTGGCAGACCTGGCCCCTCCCGGATCAGGCCCCCCAGGCATCCTCCCCTGCTGCAGCCCTGGGACCCCCCCCCCCGTCTCCCCACTGCACCCTCTGGGGGGAGAGAGAGGAGACTCACCAGATCCCAGGAGGGGACAGCGAGGCAGCCCTTGCAGGAGAGACCCCAAAGCAAGGACAGGACTGGGGAGGGAGGGGCCTTGGCTCTGGAGGACCTGGCCCCCTCTTGCTTCCTGGCCTCTCTAGGAAGGCAGCTCACTTCCCTTTAACCCTTGCCATGCCGAGTCCCTCCAGCTCAGCCCTCTCTCGCTTGGCAGAACCTCAGATTCTTATTATTTTTTATGGATTAAGGGGGGCATCTGCCCCCCTGGCTACGCCAATGCCCAGATATCCTTTTAGGGGTGAGGTTCTTGGCTGGACTCTGAGCATCTCCCTCCCTTGTCCAGAAACCAGAGGAAGAGCTTGCAGGGAAAAGGGCTTTGCAGGAGGCAAGGAAGCTCCTTCTGGAATTCCGGAGTGGAGAGATAGGAGGGGATCCCAGGGTCATCTAGTCCAACCCCCAGCAATGCAGGAATCTCAGCTAAAGCATCCATGGCAGATGGCCGTCCGATCTCTGCTTAGAAACCTCCAAGGAAGGAGAGTCCACCACCTCCCAAGGGAGACCTTTCCCCTGCCCAACTGCTCTTAGATGTCCCTCAAGGCAGCGGGTCCTGAGTTCTAGCCCTGCTGAAACAATCGCACTGGCTGCCAAGGAGGAACCCAGCGAAGTTCAAAATAAATAAATCCTATTCTCATCATAAATGAATAATACTTTCCTATGCATGCTTTTTATACTAATATACAAAAGTATGCCATTCCCTTTTCCAGAAATGCTTAATTGCTAATTCAAAGGACTGAAAATGGATGGTTGTTGTTATTATGTTTTGGGAAGCTTTTAATATTGGATGGACTATTGTATTTTGATATTTTGTTGGAAGCCGCCCAGAGTGGCTGGGGAAACCCAACCAGATGGGCAGAGTATAAATATATTATTATTATTATTATTATTATTATTATTATTATTATTATTATTTAAACTGATCAGGTTAGTGTTCTCCTTTCAAAAGAGGCAGGTGGAATCTCCAGGGTTGCTAATAGCGTAACGTTACTAATAGCATTTCGTTAGCGTGGGGAGCCACATTCTGGTTGAAGGAGGCCAGGATTTGCCTCCAAGGCCTGAGATGTCCCTCCTCCCCTGCAGTAGGACTTGGAATCCAGGAGAAAACTCTTGGAATAGCCTTGCCAGGTGCTCAGGGATGGACTCACTTGTCCCCATGTCCTTCTCTTTGCAGATGTGCTGCAAACTGTGTTAAAATGTGACATCAAGCTTTATTTACAGCCGAAAATAACAAAGAAACATGGTGTGAGCTGTCTTCCACAGCCATCTCCTCCTCGGTCAGAGTAAAAGAAAACAAAGGATGAAAGCGATTTACAAACTGACTTCCATTCTTACACAGACAGTACAGAAGGTGTAAACATGGACATCATGTTACACTAGCAATGAGAGAATGAAATACTGACAGTTTGGCCCCCAATTTGGTCCAAGACCAAAATCTGCAACCCTCATGGCCCAGGAGTGCCAGGGACTCCGTGGTGGGGGCAGTGGGGGCCGCTTTGGCCCAGAAAGGCCCCTGACTCTGAGGCATCTTTCCTCCCGCAGGACCTCTGATGTTACGCCCTTTGGGAAAGTGGGGAGCAACAGAAACCAGCAGCCAACAGCATCCCTTCTCTGCTGGCCTTTGCCCGAAGGTCCCCCCATCTCAGAGCAAGTAGCTCTCCCTCATGGATTCAGTCCTTTCATCACTTCCATCTCCCCAAGAGGCTCCCAAGGCTACTCATCCTCTGCAGTTGATAACAGACCTAACTGAAAAGAACAGCTTCCTCTTCTGGCGACACCAGAGAATTCTAGAAGACATTCACCCTTTCCATAGCATTATGGATGCGCGATTCCCACAGGCAAGTTTCTTGGCAAGACAAGGGCCTTCGCTGGTGAAATATACTCAGAATCGCAAAGTGATTTCATGCTCTTTATTCAGCTCATAGTGGTGAGGAGAAATGAATGAAAGTCCCCTTAAAGTATCTGCTTTATATATATTATTTACACAATGGGCTGCACATGATTGGCTAATTCTGGAATTCTACTGTAAGCCAATCAGGTTGTGGATTCACTTATATCTGGAGCATGATTGGGTGGTTCCTGCCAACCAATCATACTGCTGCATTGTTCTAGGACCAATCAGACTGCTGCATTCTGAATCCTATTGTTCTAGGACCAATCAGACTGCTGCAATTTGGATCCTATTGTTCTAGGACCAATCAGACTGCTGCAGTTTGGATCCTATTCAACTCAGTACATAACACTCCTCCCCTCTAAGTTCCAGTCCTGCCCGGGAGGTCGCATTCATAGTCCTCGAGGTATGCCGGCGTACTACGTGTGCGTTGCGGCCTGTGGTGCTCCCTGGTCCGGGGTTCAGGTTCTGGCTCGTGTTCAAAGGATGCTGGCTGTGATGGGCCTGTTTGGTCTGGCGCAACCGGCTTGCTCAGTCATGGTTCTGGTTCTGGTTTCCTTTCGGCCTCGCGGGTCCTCTCTGTATTTACTGATTCTGCCTCTCCTGCTGGCCCCTCCTGCTCTATGGGCCTCACTGCCCCTCTGTTCCCTTGGGACTCCTCTGACCTTTCCTCCTCCTGGTTTTCTCCCGGGAATCGTCGCCGTATCTGGTCGCAGTGGCGGCGCCAGCATTGCCCCCCATCCGTTAGCACCTCGTACGACACGGGGCCAGTGACCCTGGTGACTGTGGCGGGTACCCGTGCTGGGCCTGCCCCAAAATTCTTTGTGTACACTGGGTCCTGGGCCTCGAAGGCCCGGGGGTTCCTGCCTTCCCCCACCACTACCTCATCCTGAGCTCTATCGGGGTGAAGGCGGTCCAATCTGACTGCAAGGCACCGACCCATTAGTAGTTCAGCGGGGCTCCGGCCAGTCGTTGAGCTGGGGGTGCTGTGCTGTGCTAGGAGGAATGTGGCAAGGCAGTACTCCCAACCCCCTTGCGTCATGCGGTGAAGGGTGTCCTTGGTGGTCCGCACCATGCGTTCTGCTTGGCCATTGGTGGCAGGGTGGAATGGTGCTGAACGGATGTGGCGGATGGCATTCTGCGCTGTGAAGGTTTGGAATTCTCCTGACGTAAATGCAGTCCCGTTGTCTGAGACGAGAGTGTCAGGGAGCCCGTGGGTTGCAAACAGCCTGCGTAGTACCCGGATGGCTGCGGATGTAGAAGTGGACGGTACCAGTGCGACTTCCAGCCATTTGGTGTAGGAGTCCACCACTATGAAGAATGTTTCCCCTGAAAGGGGCCAGCAAAGTCCACATGCAGGCGTGACCATGGTGCTTGGGCGGACTCCCAGGACTGGACTGGGGCCCTTGGGGGATCTGGGCGGGATTCTTGGCAGGCCTGGCAGTGTTTGACCCAGGCCTCTATCTCTCCGTCGATCCCCGGCCACCACACATAACTCCTGGCAAGGGCCTTCATTCTTACTACCCCTGGGTGTGTCTCGTGTAGGGCTGTGAGGACCCTTTTGCGGAGGGGGTGGGGAACTTCAGCACTTCTTAGGTAAAAGTAAAGGGACCCCTGACCATTAGGTCCAGTTGTGGCCAATTCTGGGGTTGCGGCGCTCATCTTGCTTTATTGGCCAAGGGAGCCGGCGTACAGCTTCCCAGTCATGTGGCCAGCATGACTAAGCCACTTCTGGCGAACCAGAGCAGCGCACGGAAACGCCGTTTACCTTCCCGCCGGAGTGGTACCTATTTATCTACTAGCACTTCATGCTTTCGAACTGCTAAGTTGGCAGGAGCAGGGACCAAGCAACAGGAGCTCACCCCATCACGGGGATTCGAACCGTCGACCTTCTGATCGGCAAGTCCTAGGCTCTGTGGCTTAACCCACAGCACCGCCCGCGTCCCACTTCAGCACTTCTTAGACCCCCCATATTGCAGACCCACCTTGTGACCCCTTATATTACAAAGGCAGGGTCAGGAAGCAGAGACTGGCAGAATCGCTAGAACTTTAGTAACTTTCATGTAGGCCAATGCGGAAACTCCAAATGGTGACTCTGCTCCGGGAAGATGTTCCTGTCTGCTTCATAGGCAGGATGGGGTTGGCCCAAGACCAAAACTTGCAGCCCTCATGGTTCAGGAGTGCCAGGGACTCCGTGGTGGGGGAAGTGGGGGCCGCTTTAGCCCAGACTGGCCCCTGACTCTGAGACACTCTTTCCTCCCGCAGGACCTTCAAGGCTGTACCCTTGGGGAAAGTACCGGCCAGCAACATTTCTGAACTGCTGGCCTTTGCACAAAGATTCCCCCACCTTAGAATAAGTAGCTCTCCTTCCTGTATTCATTTCTTTGGTTGCTTCCATCACTCCCGAGAGCACACCCCCAAACAACTTTCAACACAGATGATGCAGTATGTGTCCCTGGGTGGCATGATGAGGCCAGAGGCTTTTCCTGTCCCCTTTCCTGATGCTGCCCTTCCACCTCTGCCCAGGAGGCTGTGGGGCCCAGGGAGGTCCTCTGGGGCAAGGGACTGGGTCCAAACCAGGGGGAGAAATAGATTTGGGGAGCCATGCCACAGCAGAGGGTGCGCTATTTGTTCACACCCATCATGCTAGAACCCAACCCTTGGTCATCCAAAGCATGTCACACAGCACACAGTTAAACAAGGCAGGCCTCTTCTTATGTCAATTGCAACGCGTGCACACAAATAAAATTGGTTTCTCTCTCCCCACAGCCGAACTGCTGTAAAGTTTTTGGCTTGCCTGGAACGCTGAACAACAGCACTCCTGTTAGGGACTAAGAGGGGACATACCGTATTTTTCGCTCTATAGGACGCACATTTTCCCCTCCAAAAATTAAGGGGAAATGTGTGTGCATCCTATAGAGCGAATGCAGGCTGCACGGCTAAGCCCAAAGCCAGAACAGGGAGACGGAGCGATGCGCAGGGCTCCATCTCGCTGTTCTAGCTTGGGGTTAGTTGCGCAAAGCCTCCTGTCTTGCAGAGTCTGTGCGTCAGTGTGCTTACAAGAGAAGCCCCAGCTCTGCCATCCTGTCTCCACTGACAAGGTCATCCATTAAGCGTCACGGACTGATAAAGGAGAGAGCTGTTGTTTATACAGCTGGGTTCCTGTTACACATTTGCTCAAGTGCTTACATTGATGGTTTTTAGCTAATGCATCCGTGGAGGAGGAAAAATGGGGATTTTGGGGCCCGTTTCAGACTGACTGCACAGTCAGGTTTTAGATTTGGGAAACCCATTCCTTCATTACCTTTTTATATAACCCTGGCTGCCCTGTTGCCTCCCTGGGTCCATCAGGGAGCCACAAGCAAGGCTGCATCTAGACTGCAACTCCCCACACAGAGCACAGAAGGCAAAATTCATCTGCCTCACAATTTGGTTTTAATTAGAAACAAACAAGAGTTCGAGTCTCCGTCCAGAGAGCCCAGGAAATTATCTGGTCACCAAGACCTCCCCCCCCGTAGTCCTTTTCAAAAGCTGGAGAAACAAAGTCACAGAAAAACACTTCTACAAGGAGAACGTTTTATTAACTTAACACTTTATTCAACTAAACCCACTTCATAATCCAGACACAAAAAAATACTTCCAACAGAATCAAAGTGCAAATTTTCAGTCCATATTGATAATACACCCATTGTCTCTTAGGCAGAAAAGCACATCTGAAATGAAAGAAGGGTAATGAAAAGCTTGCCTGGTACCACTCTTTAGATTCAGTTGAAGGGCAGTCCAAGATGGTGACTACCCTGGTTAAAGCAACAGTCCTGAAAATGAAGTCAAGTAGGATACATAAAAAGGAAGCTGGAGGTTGGGCTGGGCAGGTGCTAAGTGCATCACCTCCTTCCAAGCTAAGGGGGCTACCAAACGAAGGCAGACACAGTAAGGGGCGAAGCCTTGCTTTGCTTTTTGTACTCAGTGTTTTGTACTACACACACCCTGTCTTGTGGGAAGGGTACACCTATGTAAACTTAGGACATGCACATCTTTCAGAACAAAACAAAAAGAAGAGACATGGAATCTTAACAGTTGTAAGAATCACACCCTCAACTCCTACCATTCCAGCTTTTGAGTGGCAGATAACGCTGCAAGGTCCCAGAGGGAACACACAAGGTCTCTCACTATGGCACATAAGATGTGTATTTCCAATAAAGGGCAAAACACGCTCTCTCTCTCTCTCTCTCTCTCTCTCTATATATATATATTCTTGAAGCCTCTCAACAGTTTGGAGCTTTGAGAAAAGAGGAAGAGGGTGGTGCCACATTATAGCTTGGGATGTGGCTGGGTTGGGGCAGCCAAACAAGTATTCCAACCGAGTCTCATCTCAGTTGGCATTCCTGCTGCACTTGGGCTGTCTGCAATAAAAAGCCCAGAAGAAGCGGTACACATTTCTGAAAGTCTCAGTACACACTGAACAAAAATTATGAAGGAAGGTCTTGCTTTGAGTCAAACATCTATGGACTATGAATGGTCAATGCCCCACCTGCAAAAAACTGAATTATCTTCACACTGATCAACAGAATGCTTTATGGCCTTAAGTTCTACACAAACTCCAGTGCTTGTTTGCGCAAGCGCACATTGCAGAGCATGACTCCCCATGCCCTGAAAGCATCCTTAAGTGAGATGAAATTGGATGCAGTGAGGCACAGGTGAGCTACGAAGCTCCATTCACCAGAACCAACAACGAGTCAGTCAAAGAGACTCATCTCCGCTTGACCAATTATTGCTGTGATTCTCTCTATTTGGCCTAGGAGAGTTCAGCTCCCCGAGATGTTGCTGGGCTCCCTCTCAGCGCAAAGCACAGCTGCTCAGGCAGCAGTCAAGGCTGAAAGACATGCAGGAGAGGGCCCCGCCTGGGACTTGTAAACCTGGCACAGGGAGTGGCAGGAGCTGGAAGAAACTGAGGCAGGGGACTGGATGTGCCCTGCCAGTTTCGAAAGGTTATTTCAACACACTCTGTTGGCATGAGGACTTAAAAACTTACTGAGTGTGATTTGGAGCTCCAAGTATACAGAGCCCACTATAGCACTGGACACTGCTGATAATGGAAAAAATCTTGCTTGCATGTGCGGGGCTTCTTCTTTATGGGATGTGATTCATCAAGTGCAAGGCTGCACCAGAAAGGGAGTCTTCTCCATAATAAAAATGAGACCAGATTTTAGGCTCTTCCTTTGAGGTTGATATTACAAGGGAAAGTCTGTTCTCTCCCTCACCTATTCCCAAAACAGTGGTTGCCGTTTATTGTCATAACAGACGATTAAGACGATGAAGACCATTAAGACGTTTTCTTATTGGGTAGGAAAGGGGAGGTTTTCTCAAAAGCATACTCAAGTAAACCAAGCAGCCAAAGTGAATTATAAATATTCTCAACTAGCAAACTTCGTGTGTGTGTGTGTGTGTGTGTGTTGCTTTTCAAAGCCTGCATTTTAAGCTGCAAACCTATACTCTTTTAGCTTGGAGTAAGTCCCACTGTATTCACTGGGATTTACTTCTGAGGAGACATGCAGAGACCATGCTACAGAATTTCAGGAGACGAAAGTGCTTTCAGCAAATCATTTCAAGATTTGAAAGAGCAAAACAACAAACCACCCCCCACCTTATCAAATCATCATACAACAACCTGGTGATATCGCTCCACACCAACATCTTAGAAGGGAAGAGGCATCTTAAACAAACCACAGTGTGCTTCTGAAGTGGTTTCAAATACTTTTGCCCGTCATGCCACATTATAAATGTTCCTGGCATCAGTCAAGAGAAACCCCGCAGGGAAGGAGGGTGGGAGCAGAAGCCCAAAGGACCTCCATGTTGCTCATTGGTGAGGTAAGAGGAGGAGGTCATCTTTCACAGTTAAGAAAAGCAGGGAAGAGAAGAAAAAGAAACTTCCCCCAATGGAATAGGATGGATTTTCAAGCATTGTGAACAATTGAAAAAATAAAAAAAACCACCGATAGCAGCGGTTCCAGCAGAAATAATCAAATCCTTAACAAGTCAGCTTTCTCAGGACACTAAACAAAACTGGAGCCTTAGCCCTCTTTCCCATACATTTTGGGGGTAGGGAATATATGCCCCCTCTCTCTTAAACTCTTGTCCCAGGACAGAATCAATCCGATAGTGATCCCTAAGCTACTCACCCCATCATGTGAATTGGGTAGAAAACTTGTCAATGAACATGTTGCTTTGTTCTTCCATGACTTATGTTTGTTCAAACTAAACCAGAGAAAGAGGGTTCTTTCCCCCCAAATCAGCAAAGGATTCAGAAAGAGCCTCTTAAGGCCTTGGATTCTGCTCTCTCTGTTCCAAACAGCAACACTTTAACGAGATGGGAATTGGATTCTTAAAGGATGACAAAACTCCCACGAGGCAAACATTTGCCCCCACTGTCTTTGGATGCCTTCTGGCACGTCGGTTGGGGCAGCTCTGTCACTTTAATTGCCCCCTCGTAATTTCTCCTCGCTACGCTGCAGCACTTTCAAATATACAGTAAATGAAAAAGAAAACAAAGAGTAAAAAATAAAATAAAAAGGAAGGTTTTTTGGCATTCAATACATTTCACTCAGATATATACGAACAACCTGGAAGGCATTTAAGCATTAAATAATAAAAATAATAAATAAATATTGCATGTAAATCAACAGCAAAACACAACAGGAATACGTCCCGCGCACAGGACGAGTTCCTGGTGGATCTTGCCCCGAAAGCCTCGTGCAATACAAGCAAGTTCCTGCTGTCCACATACATTCAGATACCACAAAGGTACTTTGTTATGCCACAGAGCAAAAGCTTCAGTTGGCATCAATCCCCCTCTTTCCCCCCCAAACCCCCAACCCGGATGTACAAGAAATGGAGTTTCTTGTCCCTGTGGCCTAAAGCAGGACAGAAGTCACCTGCACCACCTTATCAGATCCAACTCACAAACGGCGTAAGGAGAAAGAGGAGGACAAAGTCAAGCAACAGTGGCAAAGCTATATCAACTGGGCTACCAAAACTCAGCTTTTCCGTCAACTCAGAAGAAAGAAGCTACTGGGTTTGAAAGTAGAAAAATCCGCTTGGAAACTTTGGTAGTGCCAGATGGGGAAATGGATGGGACTTCTCCCTATTTCAAATATATACTTGATCAATTTAACCAAACGGCATTATGTCTAGTTCTGAGGTGGCAAAGCTGTGTCTGGGCTCTACCATTTCGCATTGCAGCTTGGAGGCTCCCATGACCAATAGCTCCATTTGGGCCCGGGTCAAGCAAGATCTGTGGTCAGGCAAAGAATCATGGATACAGAGAGACAACAGGACTGCTTGAGGTCCCCCAATTATATAATTGCAGACAATGAGAGATATGTTGCGGCCCCGGCAGTATACCTCTACTTTCTCGCATCAAGAAACACAAGAAGGGCTTTTACTCTAGCCAGAAGCTCGGCCTTGCCCTCGCCAGTTTTGGAAGGAACATTTGGAAAAGTCTTGCCCCACCCTCCAGCCCTCTCTGGGAGCCTTTCCATGACTTTGAGAACAGCAGAACCAGCTGGGAAGAGAGGCGTTCAGGGATATTTAAAAAAATAATAATTATTAGTTGTGTGTGACTGTTTCTCCATTTGACCCTTTTACATGGTTTTGTAGGTTTTGTGGTATTTTATGCATTGCGATTTGGTGTTATCTTTATTGATTATAGATTAGTAATTCTTTGTTGTAACTGATAGGTGCAAACTGCTTAGTTATTATTCGCTGATGCTTTACTGTTTACTCTTAGATTTGGATGGATTATTGAATATTGCTTTATTTGATGTAGGTTGTTTATTTTAAAGATACTGTGACTTTAAAATAGTGGCAGGGGCAAAGCTGGTATGTCTAGACTAGAAGGATTTCTAATGGTGGCAGGTGAAGGCAAAGCAGGCACAGCAATAATCAATTTTGTATCCCCTTGAGCCAAGAGGTCTGCATTCTGTCTTGCTTCCTAACTTCCAAGAAGCCCAGTAGGCAGTCCGAGGGCCAAAAGAGGAATGAGGTGGTCCATCATACCTGCTTTGGCCCCAGGGCTAGCCAGCTACACCTCACATGATATAGCTTGCCACTACTGCTTAACTGTCGAGTAAACTTCAGCAAATACACAGACAGATAAGAATACAATGCACAAAGAGCACCTTTCAAAAGAAGAGATTTAAAGAGCTGGAACCTTTATGACTTCTAAACAACTTCTGCACTAGAAAACCCTAAGTACTGAATTCTACTGAACAGACTGATTTTTTAAAAAAGGTAAGACTCAACAGTACAGTAAAGATACCTACACTCAAAACAGCTACAAGGAAGCAGGACCATTCTGCCAGTCCAATATGATCATCCAGGACAGCTGCCAAGGGACTGAGCAAGTTGAAGACTTCAGATACCCAACACTGGTTTAATACAAGGCGGCAGCCAGGAAAGCCTCCAGGGATGCGTTTATTTCATTTTTGAGGTGCGGCAGTAGAGGAAGTCCCTTTCACCAATCACTCCTGGCAAATTTGCCAGAAACTGCTCAGCCTTTTCCTTTTGGCTTGATGGATCTCTGTGGGAGCCCAAAGCTGTCTGATAATCTGCTTCTCATTTTGGAAAGAAAGCTGACAAAATGATACTGCTTCCATATAAATATGCTGGCTAAGGAACATATATATCTATATATAAAACACACATACACACACAGAGGCATTCATATATATATATATATTGTATATATATAAATGCAAACAGGAGTTATCATCTTGGTTCCTTTGTTCCACATTACGCAGTGCATGGAGTGACTGCTATCACAGCCAATGGCAGCAGCAGCAGCAGCAGCAGGAAGGCTACACTGAACGCCAGATTAGTCCATTCTTACTAGGCTCCAGAAAATTCTCAATCAGGGCATCAATGAGGTTCTGTAGATCCTCTTCCAGGAAGACCGTGTCGCTAAAAGGGAAGAGGAGTCAGAGGTTATTAAGATACCTCTCCACAATCCAAAATGCCAACTCACATTCTGAAAAGAAAAGTTCTATCAGACTTCCATTCATTTTCTTCATGCCAAAGCTACTCTGCTGTCACAGAATCATAGAACTATAGAGCTGGAAGGGACTAGGGTCATCTAGTCCAAACCCCTGCAATGCAGAAATCTTTTGCCCAATATGGGGCTTGAATTCCCAACTCTGAGATTAAGTGTTTCATGCTCTAGCTTTCAGAAGACCATGCATGCTCCGCCTGGCTGGACTTTGCAGAGATCAAGTGAGAAGTCAGGAAGGCAACTGCACAGCCTGCCTCCAATGGCAAAGGGTCTCTTCTGCTTGTACATTTCCACTAGCTTCAGCAAAAAAAGTGTCAGTTCAGGCACATGTCTTATAGGCCATGAGTGGTGGGCTGAATAGGAGAGACACTGTCTCAGCTTTCAAACAACTATTGCGTCAGCTACAAGATGTGAGAGAGTAGTCAGTGAGAAAGGGACCGCTGTGATGATGGTCATGAATTTCTCTAGGTGACCTAGTGGACACGGAGCAATGGATCCAAACTACAAGAAAGAAGATTCCACCTAAACATTAGGAAGAACTTCCTGACAGTAAGAGCTGTTCGACAGTGGAATTTGCTGCCAAGGAGTGTGGTGGAGTCTCCTTCTTTGGAGGTCTTTAAGCAGAGGCTTGACAACCATATGTCAGGAGTGCTCTGATGGTGTTTCCTGCTTGGCAGGGGGTTGGACTCAATGGCCCTTGTGGTCTCTTCCAACTCTAGGATTCTATGATTCTATTCTATGATTCTATGATTCTATGATTCTATGATTCTATGATTCTATGACCTTGGGTCAGTCATTCTCTCCCTCAATTAAACCCGCCTCACTGGGTTGTTGTGTACTGGGGGGAGAGGAGAAGAGAAGAGACCACGCACGTTGCCCTGAGTTCCTTTGAGGAAGCGTGGGATAAAAAAAGAAAAAGGAAATCAAAATCCCTACTAGCTGCCCTGCAGCTTGACCATTCGGCAGCAACGGTGTGTCCACATCAAGCCATAATGAGACACCTCCTGCTTTGTAAGTGCTTGGTTCAGACAAGACTGTTCACAGAACCACTGGCAGGCATAAAACCTAACCCATGGGAGTGATGGCACAAACAGAATTCCCCACCTCTGTTCTGGTGGTGCGCACATCTCTGCATAATATTTTATCTTTGGTTCAGTTCCACTTGTCCGAAGGGTGGCGACACAGCCATTCTGAAAGGTGAAGGTGATCATCTGACTGTTTTTACTCACAGGCAGTACCTGCAGCGACGACAACAACAAGAGCAGCAGGATATCAGGAGAAAAATCATTGTGGAATTGATGTAGGGGTTCATGCAGCCTCCCCCCACCCACTAATTAAATATCAAGTGCTCCAGTTAAGTGTTTTATGGACAAGTTTCAACCCAAAGACTAAAAACACTGCATTATGATGGTGATAGTATCTGTAGACCTGAATTTACTCTCTAAAGCACTGATGGCACAGTACAAATAAATCTGTCACATGTTCGTTGCTGTTCTGCGATTTTAAGTTACAGAATTGTGCAAATGAACCCATCGATGAACTAGTTAGACCTTGTTCAAAGTATATACAACAGCATTCGTCAACTACTGTTTATTTATAGAGAGGTTCCTTTGACTCTCAAGTTAGGAATGGTAAATTCCTTAGCCAGTTCTGGCAGGAGGAAAAAAATATTTGAACACTGCAAGAAGAGTCCTCCTAAAGGATTTTGAATCCAGTTAGCCTGTTTTACATCCCCAACCTTGTGCCCTCCAGATGCTTCAAAGTGCATCGCCTATTGGCTGAGGCTCATGGAAGTTGTAGCTGAAGTCATCTAGGGGGCACCAGGTTGGGGAAGCCTGTTCTGTATATAGGCTAACAATTTCATATTCTGCTCTGAGGAATTTGGTGTCAGGTATCTTTGAACCAGACTCAGTCCTGACCGGAGTTTACTTTTTGTTGAGGGAACATGGGATGTGGATGTAATTTTAATACGCAGGCTTGTGATCGAAGCACACAAAACTCTGCACTGTGCTCAGCTACAACTCAACACATAAGGCAGCTGAAGTTTATATGAACCATCATAAGTATCTGCATGCCAATATGATCTTTTATGGGTTTCCTCCTTTAAGGTGGCAACCCACCTGCTGAAAGGTGGTCAGCCTGACAGAACCTAGGCCAGTGTGTCCCCAACCTGGGTCTCCAACCGTTTTTGGACTACAATTCCCATCATCCCTTAACACTGGTCTTGCTAGCTAGTGATGATGATGGGAGTCGTAGTCCACAAAGAGCTGGAGCCCCAAGGTTAGGAAACACTGGCCTAGACTGAAATGACATACTCGCTTTTCCTTCTCAACACCCAAGCCTACAATCTAATTACTGATTTCTTCCAAGCAACACCTCTGTTACTTGAAAACTCCGCAAAGGGTTGCAAGGCAAAAGGGTTCACATTAAAGCTATTATGAGAATGATCTGCAACAGCTTCCTAACAAGAGTCACACAACTCACCGACTTCTTATTTGGCTGGCTGCTGTCATACCCAGTGGTCACATCCCGGATGTCCAATATACTGAAAGTGCCACAAACTGCTGGGTAAGAATTAGGCGATGAAAAGTTTCGGAGTCTTTCAAATATCCTTTTGATGGTAGGAGGATCATAACACAGGAAATACGAGGTTTTTGAAATGTGGTAGCCATACCTACACAAAAACAATATATAGTCAGCCACGGTAATCTAGATCTCTAAATTCAGTCACTAGGAAAAGAAAGCTAAGCACAAACCAGAGTCCTTCATATCACTAAACGTATCTATGATGTCTCTACAAATGGTGGCACAGAAAAGGGATAAAGTAAGGCCCCGCCAGAAGTTCTTTTTCGAATGCTACCCCTTCAGCCACTTCCAACATTTCTGAGTTATCTCACAGGCAAAAACACAGGAAAGACAATTCCTACTCTTTTCCATTCAGATTTATTTATTGAAAGCATTTTAACGTCACCCTTTGGCCAAAAAGGCTCCCAGAATGGCTTACAAAAATCAGCACCAGAAGACACTCCCTACCTCACACTTATAATCTAAAAAGGCACAACACACAAGGAAACAATGTGGGGGAGGAGAAAAGCAAGATCAGGCTTTAAGTTACAGTTCTAGTAATGACTAAATTTATTTTTCACCAGCTGGAATTGATGCAACCAGCTCCATGAGTAATTTCCGTGATGGAAAGTCACTTTAACTGTCTTCAGCATTGTGTTTCAATGTTGTAACCTGCCCTGGGACCTCAGGCGAAGGGCGGGTAATAAATCAGAATAGCGATGATGACACACAGAACTTACATTTTATATATTTCTGTTAGTTGGGATGCCAGCATTTGGCTCTTGGTATCTAGATAAGCAGCCATTTCTGCAATCACCACAGCTGCGCTGACGCCATCTTTGTCCAGCACGGAAGTGCCACACATGAAGCCTGGAAAACAAAAATTTGCAAAACAGCATTTTGTTTTATTTTATCCACATGTCGCCTTAAATCCACCATCTTAACGTTTCTGTACAACAGAACCAAACACAAAGAGTAGCTTCCTAGAAATTTCCTTATCCAGCTCATCCGAGCATCTAATACGCGGAAATCTCAGCTCCAAGTTGGTAGGCCTGGGGGGGTTCAAGTCTGTCATTACAGAATAGGTCCCTTTTTACATCAAAGTGGAAGCAAAGCGGTAAGTGATCATTGTATACCCACCCCTCCACCCTGCATTCAAGGGATCTATTCAGAAGGTTATATGACGCTAGAACCAAACACAAAGAGTTTGAGAGTTAGACCATGCAATGGAGTGATGGGAAACAACAGCCTGAAGGGAGAGGCCAGATTCTAGGACTGGGCTCTGGCTCTGGCCCCACCTTCTGCCTGGCATAGCACCCAACACTTGCTGTGCTTACCAATGGACTCTTCAAAGGCAAAAAGGACTTCTTTGCCGCTGTCCAGGAGGTTTTTAACTCTGCTGCCAATCGATTTGAAGCCAGGGAGTGTATCCTGAAAGACAGGAAGGTGCCTTCACTTAATACAGATCGTTCTCATGGAACATGCCAACTGCACGCAAATTCACCAAGCTGCTCATTCCAGGAGGCCTTCTGAGAGCAACTCTCTTTTAAGTATGCAGCCCTGAGTGGGCTTAGAATTGCAGCTGGGTCACCCAAGATTGGGAAAAGGTTACTCAGAAGAGAGTTCTAAGCATGGCTCCCAAGGGAGCATCCCTGAACTCCCTAGCCAACCAGGTGTACTGCCTCTGCTCTCTAAATGGGCAAAAAGGGCTCCTTCTTATATGCCAGCACATTGTAGAATGGTACCCAAATTAAAAACAGTCCTCTGGCCCAAGATCAGTGCTCCTGGAAGATGTGACTGAAGTTTCCTTTTCTCAAAAGTCTACCATAACTAAACAATTTCTTTTGACCATTAGAATAATAGTCTGCCCTGTTTAAACTGCACACAAGGACAGTGCTGCAAAACAGAAACTGAAGGCTTGAAAGGCCTAACAAACAAAACAGATTTTCTCAGAAAGATGCCACAGCAGCTGTGCTCCAGAAGGGGCACTAGAGGGCAGTAAGAGTTGCAATAATGAAAAGGAGTCAATGCTCTCTCTACAGCTTTAATCATCTCAGCCCTTGCAATCTAGTCATATGGCACTCTATAAATTCATTATATATCACATTGAAGCTGACCAGAGCTAGGTAAATTGCCTGCAAGAAGCAAAAGACAGATCCTGCCCGAACCCAAACTTGTACATCTGCACACCATCTGGATCAACTCGATACTCCCCCCACAAAAATTTTATTCAGAGTAAACCCATTGAAATTAATGGCTCTAACAAGTCTTCTCCATGAATTTCAATGGGTCCCCTCTGAGTATAACTTATTACATGTCAAAGGCATAAGTGAGGGGGTGCTCACTGCTTCATTCCTTCTAACATCTCGCGTGTCCTTTAAAAAGACCCCTGAATTGCACCCTGAACGCTCAAAAGTTTCCCCTTCTCCCTGGAGCTCCTTCCCAGAACAGCTTCAGTTCTCTCCTTTAGCTCATAATGAATGTAGTAATATTCCATATCTCACCATGGTCAGATGCACCCTGTACAGTAGTATCTCGGGTTACAAATGCCGCTAATCCGGAAGTAGTTGCTCCGGGTTGCGAACTTTGCTTCAGGATGAAAACAGAAATCATGCACTGGCAGCGTGGCAGCAGCGGGAGGCCCCATTAGCGAAAACGCACCTCAAGTTAAGAACAGTTTCGGGTAAAGAACGGACCTCCGGAACGAATTAAGTTCATAACCCGAGGTACTACTGCACAAAGACGGCTGGGATTTACTCAGCCAAACCACAACCCTAAACACCATTCAGCTCTTACTTCAAAGTGAAATCCTTCTTTTTGTGCGATGGCCTTCAGGATCTTAGAGGAGACCGTAGTGGCCAGCATGTAAACATTCTTGACGTCGGCATCTTTGGAACAATTCTCCTTCCAACAAGTAAACATCCACCACCCAAACAACGCTGCCAGCTCATTGCCAGTGAAGACTTTCCAGCGGCCACTGCAGGAGGAGGAGGAGGAGGAGGAGGAGGAGGAGAGGAGAGGACCAGAGGTCAAAAGGAATACACACGAGAATCCAAAACACAGAGGAATGCAGCCACAAACACAGTTGCTTTAAAAGTTTCTTCTGTGCAGAAGAGGAGACTTGTCCACCAGCAGGGCTTCTTAAATGTGGGTGCCAATACAACACCCCATCATTTTCAGAATGGTCCAGGAAGCAGAGTTTCCCAGGTGACTGAAGCTCCTCCCCTGCACTCACTGCACTGTGGCTGGCTTGTGGACTCATTCATTTGAAAGGCACTCAAGGGACTTTCAGGTTGAGGCTTAATTTTTCAAACAATTCAGACTTTGGTAACAGGTGATTTTTAAAAAAAGTTATTGGATTTTTCACAGGATGGGTAAATTGAGATTTATTTATTTTTAATTGAATTTATATACCACCCTATACCCGCAGGTCTCGGGACAGTTCACAGAATAAAATCAAAATATAAAACCATAAAATATATAATCAAAGTATTATCATGATATAATCATAATATATAATCAAAATAAAAACAAACCAATAGATGGATATGGGAATATGGGTAGGAATCCTGATGACGACATCAATGCTGTGCAGATGATGCAAAAACCCTGCAGGTATGAAGAATCCCCCATCCCCCAACACAGACTTGTTTGGAAGTGGCCTGAGAATTAGCGGTGGAAGGAGAGGCAGGGGGAGTACTAGGAGAACTCAGAAGAATAAGTTGTGGCAGAAAAGTCTTCCAGTTGGAAGGTTTATGGAGAACGAAACAAGAGGAGTAAAGGAAGGAAGAGAGGGCGATATCGGGGAGAACAAGCTGGTAGCAAAGGGGAAATGAGATGGGCCAGGACAGAGAGAACAAGAACAGCTCCACATTTTTATGCAATTTTTGCTTCTTATAGGCACACTGGAACCTTTGGGCATTTCCCTAAGCACTCCCTGCTCCCAAACTGGGAGCATCCTTGCCAGTGATTTTTTTCTAGAAAAATAGGTGCCTGTACTCACCATAGAGTTGTTACAGTAAGTGCCACACTTTTTAACAACTACAAAAAGAGGTGCTGGTACCAAGTACCATTGAGTACCCCCTGAAAAGAAAAGGCATTGATCCTTGCTGTGTACAGTATAGAAACAATCTAAGAGCTTCCTAACTGGAACGGAGCCATGGAATAACGGTGGGGTGGGATGGGGTTGGAGATGGTGGCAGAAGGGAAAACAGAAACCGGGCTGCTTTTATGCGTTGGTGCTGTGTATCTGTTTCTCTTCCGATGTGGCCTGAGAGAGGCAGGTGCAGATATATTCCTGGACTATAAAGGGATCTGAGGATTTTCATGTCCCTTCTAAGCCTTTAATTCAATTTCTTGGAATATCTGAAGCACAGGGAGCTTCAGCTATATGTGCTTTTAGTGGCGCTGTGGGTTAAACCACAAAGCCTAGGACTTGCCTATCAGAAGGTCGGCGGTTCGAATCCCTGCAACGGGATGAGCTCCTGCCCACATAGCAGTTCGAAAGCATGTCAAAGTGCAAGTAGATCAATAGGTACTGCTCCGGCGGGAAGGTAAATGGCGTTTCCGTGCGCTGCTCTGGTTCGCCAGAAGCGGCTTAGTCATGCTGACCACATGACCCAGAAGCTGTACGCCGGCTCCCTTGGCCAGTAAAGCAAGATGAGCGCCGCAACCCCAGAGTCGGTCACGACTGGACCTAATGGTCAGAGGTCCCTTTACCTTTACCTTACCACCACCCCACTTACAATTACAGGTGTCATTTTTAAAACAGAAGTTTAGATATTCAAACATTATTCAGTATGGAGGTCTGCATCTCAAGGAACACCCACAAGACTTGCCTGTCTTTTCCCCTTCACAGAGTAAACTCTCTCTCACACACAAACACACGCTTACTTCTTCTGCAGTTCTGCCACAGCTAATCTGTCTGCATCAGGGTCAGTTGCCACCACCACCCTGGCACCTTCCTTCTCCGCAAGCCTCAAAGACAATTCCTGGAAGAGGAAAGTTATTATTTTTACTCAACATGAAACAGCCAGTCCGTTTCGCCCACCCTTATTTACATACAGAACTGTTGACGAAATCGCCTGCCAAACTTACTAGCACAGATTCTCCTTCTTCAGGATTCGGACATTTTACAGTGGAGAAATCTGGATCTGGGTCTTTTTGTTCAGGAACTGGAATGGGAGGCTGAAAGCCAAACGCCTGAAAAGCCAACTGCACGTAGTCGTGCCCAACCCCATGAAAGGACGTGTGAACAAATTTCAAGCTGCTCTTTGTGTTCAGCTCCCTATAAAGAAAACAACAGAATGGATTAATAGGAGACCTGCTGTTCCCAAAAGGTGGGGTGGCATCACATGAGATGGTGACATGCCCAGACGCCAAAGCAGACTTCATATAAAAACAGCTCACAGCACATGTCCAGCATCTGAGGAATGAGCCAGGCTTTCATGGGACACTGCAACTAAAAATGATAGACATGGATAACCAGCAAATCTAATGTGGGCTCAGCCGTTACCTTTGCCCTTCTCCTAGACTTCAAGTGCGCTGTCTGGTAAAGTTCTCTGGGTGGCTCACAGCAAATAAGGGGGGGAAAGCCAAAGTAAATACAAAACTAAACATAAAATCTGAGGGAGGTGCAGAAGGTGGCTGCATGAGAATGAGCCTTTTCAGTGGTGGCCCCTTCATTCGTGGAATGTTCTCCCCAGGGAAATGTGGCCTGGTTCCTTTGTTCTCAATTCTCAGCCAGCAGGCTACGTCATTTTTATTCAGTCAAACCTTTGGTAACTAAGTTTTCCTCTACAGTGGTGGCCATCTTTCAGTGGTCTTTGTCCAGAAAGGTGGTCTTATAAACAAAAATTAAAAAATACACACTCTTCTTCTGCTCTTCCCTGTTCAAATATCTATGCCCAAGCCAAACATTTGCATCTTACCTGCTTCCAATTCTGAACCTCCACCTTTGAGGGCTTCTAACATATGGAATTGATGCTTACAGGAGTTGTGCTTTGATTTCTTACCTATGGTAACAGATCTTTTTCAGGTCCTCCATGTAGCTTGCACAGATTTCCTTCAAGGGATCTCGCGTAAGAGGGCTGCTTTCTACCAGATTCTCATTCCAGGAGTCGTTCCACGGCTCAACACATTCTTCTATACACTTCAGGATTTCTTTGTCATGAGGAGATGTGATCTGAGCGCCATTTTCCCAGTATACCTAAAGTGAGAGTTGGGAAAGTGTAAGAGTTCAATCACTGCAAGACCTCTGGGCAGGGTCTGAGCACTCCAAAATTTAAATGCCAAACGTTCAGCAACTATAGCACGAGAATGCTATATGTTTAAATAAACATTCACATCTTTATTGATAAAGAACAATTAACGGGATGAAGGAATGATATAGTGGATTGTATGAAACAGCAGTATAATAAGGAGGCAATAAATCAGAAATGGAAGCTGAGGGAAGTCCGGGAGGGAGGGGGTGACCATGTGTAATATGTATGTTATTGATATGAGATGTTTTTAAATAATAGAAAAGAAAATTAATTTAAAAATTCTTTAAAAAAGAAGAAAAAGAATGCATGTAGTGATGCAAGCTCTATGAGAAACGTGAGGAACCTGAGGCCTAGGGGCCAATGTGGCCCCTCAGCCATCTCCTTAGAAGCCCTCCTCAAGTGCTTCTGTCCAGCTAATACCTCCTGCTTGCCTGGAGAGAAATGTGGGTGTGTGGGCTTGCAGGGCTAGATTGCAGCCTACTGTACGAAGCTAAGCGTCATATCTGTTGTTCTGCCTGCTTTGACTTCATTTGGGCTGAAAAAGCCTCGATCTATAAAATGCAACAGCAGCACACTTTTTCAAAAACGGTGCAGGTATATCACTTTTCTATGTAAGTATTCTCCACTTGGTTTGTATTTTTGAAAACAAAATTGAAATGATCAATAAACATACATGCTCATTTAGCTCTGAAGGGCAAACAGGTCAATATTTGATAGTCTGATGTATCAGAATAATAAAAGGCTGTGGTTGGTGTTTTATTATCTACTTTTAGAAATTCATAGTAAAGACAGTAATTAATTATATCAAAAACTGGGAGGATACAACAATCCATGGATTGTATTCAACCAACTTTTACTCTGCATAGATCCACTGAAATCAACAAACCTAAGTTATTTATAGCCATTAAGTTCAGTGAGACTGCTCCAAGTAAAAGTTAGTTGAATACAACCCTAGTATCTGTAAAGGCCAGGGGCTATTTCTTGTTGCTCTGTGCTGCTCATTCAGGCAGGCTCCCTTTAAAGGTGTGTTAAAATGATACCTGATGGCATTGAGATGCACCTACAATGCCAGCTTTCAATACTCTGGGGGTGTCAAAATAAAAAGTCTTTTCACCAAAGTGTGAAAAACTCCATTCACTCTCCCTTGGAGGGTATTTTCACCCAACATCATCCTATCAGCAGAGCTCAGCAGATGGACCAGGCCAAAGGTCCATTTAGCCCAGCATCCTTGTTCTTACAGTGGACAGGGAAGTTTTTAATGTGTGACGTTTTAATGTATTTTTAATCTTTGTTGGAAGCTGCCCAGAGTGGCTGGGGAAACCCAGCCAGATGGGCGGGGTACAAATAATAAATTACTATTACATCTGTTTGTCTATGGGAAGCCTGCAAGTAGCCCTGAGCTCTCCCCACCTGCAAGTCTCAGCAACCAAGTTTTAGCAGACGTTTTACGTATAAACACAGAAAAAAGAACAATTTATTGCAGGGGTCGGCAAGGTTTACCACGCCTGGGCTGGTTCACTCCAGCGGAGATCCCTCTGTGGGCCGGATTGTGCACACCCGCAATTTCCGGAATCTGCGCAGACATGATTTCCGCCGTCTGTGCATGCACAGGCACGATTTCTGGCGCCACGGAAGAGAGTCCCTGTACCGCGCTGCACCAGTTTAGCGCAGCGCCCAGGGACTCACCAAGCAATCTGTTAGGTTCGGGGGCGGCTAGTGGGCCAGTTAAACAACCCCCGTGGGCCGCTTGTGGCCCATGGGCCTTAGGTTGCCTACCCCTGATTTATTGTCTGTGCAAACCAGTAGGGGCCAAAGAACCAAAGCAGAAATCATGCATTTATTTTCATTAAAAGGCAATTATTCCACTAACAGAACATACAGTATGTGGTGTTCCATTCTTGAGCATTTTCCAGAATATTACAGTCTGGAAACTTCCTGACATCAGGTCAGACCACTGGATCCATCCACAAGGATGGAAGAATGATGAAACCCCGACTAAAGAACTATGGCAAGAGAAACTGATGGACTATGCAGAACTGGCAAAACTGGCACATAAACTATGGGACAAGGATAACTGTGACTTTAAAGATGAATGGGAACCTTTTACAAAGTATTTAAAGAGGCAACAAAGTGAACTGGACTCCTTGGCAGGCTTTGAATAAACACTCACAAACTTTTTATTGATAATAATCAGTCAGATAAATTAAGGATTTATACAATTTTGTAACATGCAGAGAATAGCATCTATAGAGAAACCAGAGATTGGAACTGAGGGAAGTTGGGGGGGGGGTTGTTTTATGGGGGGGGGGAATTAAGGATGATATGTTTTGTTTATATTCCATATATATATATATATATATGACCATTGAATCCATCTAGCTCAGTACTGTCTACACTGACTGGCAGTGACTCTTGAGGGTTTCACGCAGGAGTTTTTCCCAGCCCTATCTAAATATGCCATTGGGGACTGAACCTAGGACCGTCTGCTCTACCGCTGAGTTAGGACCTTTCCCCAAACAACTCCAGTATCTAACACAGATCTTTTCTTAGACTCTTGATTTAAAGCAGGGGTCTGCAACCTTTAAGACAAAAAGAGCCACTTGGACCCGTTTCCAAAGAAAAAAAAACTGGGAGCCGCAAAACCATTGCGACATTTAAAACAAATATAACACTGCATATATTGTTTCTTACCTTAATGTCCGATCTGACAGTGGGTGGGAAGGTGACGTTGGGACGGTGCATGACTAACGCACGCACCGCCCCCATGCGACGTCACAGCCAGTACAGCGTCCGCCACAGTGGGGAGTGTCGGGGCGCACAATGCGCCTCCTCCCCTCGCTAGTATCCGCCCCAGAGCCGTGGCAAAGGTGTAAAAGAGCCACATGCGGCTCCAGAGCCGCAGGTTGCAGACCCTTGATTTAAAGGATTGTTAAAAGCTAGCAGGCATCTAGAGAGTTCTTCGACGTACCTTGTAGCCATTGTCTTCCTTACGGTTATGGGAAGCAGTAATCATCACCCCAGCTACAGCTCTGAGCTGCTGAACTGCGTAGGGCTGCAAGACAAAAACCACATTCACTCTCCAGCATGCCAGGATTTCTGAAACAGCCCAGATAGGAACTCAGGATATTCCAAGCGTCTGCAAAACTGATGCAAGAAGAATATGTGGACCCTTGAATGACAACTGCCATTCAGTATGACCTTTGAGTTACGCAGTGTTTTTGGCTTAACAATGCTATTAAACAAAAGAAGAATCCCTAGATATTTCCCAAGTCACATCCTCTAAACAAGCAAGTTATTATAAGTGGCTCAGAGCTGTTCATCAGCTTAGTGCCAAAGATACAGGAAAATCAATATGCCTAACTGAGCCCAAGATGGTGTTGTGAAGACACGCACATTCCAATGATATCAAAAGGCCTGAAAACATGTTCAGCTCTCTCTGTATTGCACCCAAGACTGCAGTCCAGAAAGCCCCAGGCACATGAAAGCAAAGGCTTCGGGTCTTGTTTCTAAGCACAAGCCACTCCATACCCAAGGGAAGAGTTCAAACATCTACTGCGCATGCTGAGATGGGTTGGAGCCCAGGATTTTGACCTTTCACAACTCTGGAAAGCAAGTGCTACAAACGGTAATAATGGTAATCCATACATTTGAGGAGCACATCTGCCATAAGTCGAGATATGTTCAGTGGGCAGACCTTCTGTAATGTTATTTGTGCAATTTCTGGTATGAGAAAGAATTGCCGCTCTAAGAGACTTCAGGTAACACATATTCACACACCCCCATTTAATTATTTGATTGATCAAATTTATCTACCACCCTTCATCCAAAGATCTCAAAAATAAATAGTGAAAACAAAAACAAAACAAAAAATAACTCCCAAGGCATCTGACATATACATGTTGATGTTGCAACAGATTTCAAATGGTTTTGAAACAGGGGTTCAAGTCACCTATTCCGACTCTAGCAAAGGATCACCAGAGGATATATACCGGTAATTTCATCAAGCCAAGGCCTGACATTATTCAGAATTCTAATTTCTACTTTAAGTATCAAGCACACCACTGCTCCATTACCGTATGTAAATGCTAGCCCTTACAGCAAACAAACTAACTATGATCAATCCAAACATTCATTTCTTACCCCTGGGACTGCTATGCCACAACATTCCATAAGGTTTCGCACTAGAGATGTGGATCCAGTTTAGAACCTGCTGGCCATGTTCCCAATAATAATAATAATAATATAAGGATGGACTTACCACAAAAGGAGTGGGAACATATCTTGAGAACAGGTAGACAGGTACACCCTTAGCAAGCAGGACTGCTGCTGTGAGCTTTGCAAGTCTGTGGAAGACAAAAAATGATAAAGCCACTCTCCTGTCCATTGCACTCTCCCCAAAATCCTAAGACAAGACAAATTCCCATTTCCTTTTTAAAAAGAAGAAGAAGAAAGTGGCAAATGGATAAATAACTGGGTAATGTCACCTGACCCAATGTAGGGCAGCTGCGCAAAGGGTAGCTTCCCTGTTAAGAATCATTACGAAAGGGATCAACAATAAACTGCAAATATCACTGTGCTTTTATAGGCATCTATAGTACTGATCTATAGTATCTAAGTATCTATAGTATCTAAGTAGGTACCGCTCTGGCGGGAAGGTAAATGGCGTTTCCGTGTGCTGCTCTGGTTCGCCAGAAGTGGCTTAGTCATGCTGGCCACATGACCCGGAAGCTGTACACCGGCTCCCTCGGCCAATAAAGCGAGATGAGTGCCGCAACCCCAGAGTCAGCCACGACTGGACCTAATGGTCAGGGGTCCTTTATAGTATTGCCACACCTGGAATACTATGCACAGTTCTAGTTGCCACATCTCAAAAAAAGGATATTGTAGAGCTAGAAAATATGCAGAGACAGGCAATCAAAATAATTTGGAGTCTGGAGCTACTCTCACACAAGGAAACAGTGCACCGTTGGGGGCTTCTTAAGGTGCGTAAGGGGAAATATGACAGAGAAATATAAAATTGTGCCTGGTGCAGAGAAAGTGGATAGAAGAAGAAGAAGAGGAGGAGGAGTTTGGATTTGATATCCCGCTTTATCACTACCCGAAGGAGTCTCAAAGCGGCTAACATTCTCCTTTCCCTTCCTCCCCCACAACAAACACTTTGTGAGGTGAGTGGGGCTGAGAGACTTCAAAGAAGTGTGACTGGCCCAAGGTCACCCAGCAGCTGCATGTGGAGGAGCGGAGACGCGAACCCGGTTCCCCAGATTACGAGACTACCGCTCTTAACCACTACACCACACTGGCTCTCTCCCCCTCATCTAATTTTTCTCCCCTTCATCTAATAAGACTATAATTTGGGATCATCTAATGTAGCTGAATAGTGGGGGTCAGTTCAGGACAGAATACAGGGAAGTCCCACTTGATGACAATCAACTTGGACAGCTTTAAGAGGGGATTAGTCGAATTCATGGCAAAAAAGGCTATCAACAGCTGCTGGTCATGGCAGCAATATGCCACCTCCAGGATCAGAGGCAGGCAGCATATGGGGAAAGAACAGCAGGAGGGCTATGGTGTTCATGTGCTGCTTGAGGGCTTCTTGCTCGGCAATGTGGGAAACAGGATGCTGAATCAACTAAGCAGGGCTCCTCTTGTGTTATGCTTGAGACGGAGAGCTGAGTCAGCATTCAGTTCACTGGTACAAACACCTGTCATTTGAGTTGCAAGGCGAGAAGGAAGCTTGGTTGACTATGTTCCTTATACTATGTTTGTCTGCACTCCAAATCTACTATGGTTCTCTCCCTCTCCCTCCAGGGGGCACAATTTGATGTCTGTAATGTGCCAAACATGGGACATATCTGCTCTCTAATTCTAAACTACTGAAACTCAAAGAAAATACAACAATACACACACACTGCCACAAGGTCTCTCTTGAACTGGCCTCATATTAAATAGCTCAGTGGCTTTTGGGAGAAGTTTTTAAAGCATCAGGAAGGCTTGGGCAGAGGTTCTGCAAATCTGCCTGATCCTAGGCCTTATCTGTAGGACCTGACACAAATTATGCATTTAATGAAAAGAGCCAGGCCTGTGCAACAGGTGTAACGCCTAAGTATCAATTATGGACTATATGGAATTGGCGGAAATGACTGGCAGAATCCGTGACCAGGGAGAAGAGTCGATGGAGGAAGATTGGAAGAAATTCAAAGACTATCTTCAGAAATACTGCAAAATTAAGGAATGTTAGAGTGATGTTGGATTGAAAATAAGTGGTTTCCAGCTGTACAGGTTAAAGCTAGGATAGATTAAGATTAAAGATTAAGATTGGGAAAAATTTAAAGGTATATGACATTAAGAACAAGGATTATGTTTATGTTATATAGTTTAATATTTTATTAAATTAAAGATTGGGTTTAAAAAGTGGAAAAGAAATTGCTGGACAAATAATGTAGATTGGAATACAAAAGAGGGAGGTATGAGGAAGTCCAGAAAATAAGTAATTCAAAATTGGGAATGTAAAAGAGAGTTTGTTTTAAATTGTTATGTTGTGTGTTTTTATTGTTAAATTTTGTATTGTTTTTGTGTGTGTGTTGTTTTTTCTTTTCTCTTTGTTTAAAACTTTAATAAAAATTATTTAAAAAAAAAAAAAATAACGCCTAAGTATCAAATCCATGGCTTGAGTTACTCTGTGCCTGACTTCATCCACCAAACTGCCCCTTATGACTGAAATGAGATCTGTAATGTGGCAGAACGGAGGCTACATCTTCGTGTCGTTTTCAGATACAGACGTTCACATTCAAAAAGAACTGATATATCTTCCAGGTTTCTTCTCGTCTTCAAATTTTAAAAGTTTGATTTCTGCTTAGTGCAAAGGGGACTTAGTCATTCCATGGCAATCTTGTTTCTACTCCCAACAAAGCCCATACCTTAAGCTGCTGCAACTGCTGGTTATCTGGCCTCGCGTGTCATATCCAACAACAAAACCACGTTGCTTGAAGTCTGGAAACGATTTCTCAAGGTATTTGTACATCCCCTGCAGCAAAGTAAAAAGAGAAGTCCCATGCATAAAGCCTCCTATTTGATTAGGTTTTCAGACCTTCCCTATTCCACTAGCACAGGGAAGTTGTAATAAAGAATTCTCTGTCCCAATTATGTAATCTGAATTTGTCATGGTGGACAAATTATATTATCAATTAGAGTTGTTTCCTTCTTTATTGAGCAATCTCAGGAGAAGCTATAGTACAATGTTTTCTCATTTGTAACTTCACATCAATCCTGCAACGTTGGCTACACCAAGTTAATTACCCAAAGCCTCCTCGTTAGGGAGCAGGTGGAACATCTGAACCTTGGTCAACCATAGTCTCAAATCTGGCACTGATGACTGCCATAAGCAAGGCAAGAGAAACAAAAGGAAATCCATAAATTTGACTTTAATTCACCCTTACCAACTGTCTCCAGTGCTATTCAATGAAAAGTTTCCCTACATAGTAAGCCAGGTATGAGGAATCTTTTTGGCCCAGAGAGCCAAATCTTTAGCTTCCCCCAATCCATGAGCCAACTCTGACAGGTGGGTAAGGCCACCCACCTATCAATCATCTGATGTCGCAATTATGCCAGGCGACTGAAAGATGGGTGGTACCATGGGGGTTCTCTAAAGGCGACCCACAGGGGAAGGGTCTGCTTCACTAGCAAAGCAGCACCCAAGCAGTACTGAACTCCACACATCAGCTGACATCACCCAGTGATGTAAACTGATGGTCAGGAGGGTGTGGTTTTGGGGAAATAACCTTATGGGACAATCTTGGCAGCAAGTCAAGACCGGCCCAAAGGCTGGAGGTTCCCCACCCCTGCCAGAAAACCTTCACAATGAATGGTACAGTGGTACCTTGGGTTACAGATGCTTCAGGTTACAGAAGTTTCAGGTTACAGACTCCACTAACCGAGAAATAGTACCTCGGGTTAAGAACTTTGCTTCAGGATAAGAACAGAAACCGCACGGTGGCGGCATGGCGGCAGTGAGAGGCCCCATTAGCTAAAGTGGTACCTCAGGTTAAGAACAGTTTCAGGTTAAGAACGGACCTCCAGAACAAATTAAGTTCTTAACCCGAGGTACCACTGTATTTACCCAACAGTAAAGCAAATTATTCTTCACATAAGAATGGCTATTACTTATTCATACAGTCTCCAGCAAACATGGCATCTGCAGTTGTAGAACACTGTGGCCCAATTCAAACCACCATAGCTCAGTTTAATTAGCTAATATGAACAAATATTGTGCCTCTACTCATAGACCCTTTCCCACTCAGGGAAAATATTTAAAATATGGTTACCAGGCTTGGAATAGGCCAGGATAGTGAGCCATCTTCAACCGTGTTTTAAGAACCAGCCTTTTCCCAAAGTTGGTAACAATGGTGGCCCTGTTTAGACATTAACAGGAAATTATGGTTAACTGAAGACTTCCTGGTTTATTACAGCACAGTGAGAATTGGTGCGGTCATTTATTTATTTAAAAGTATTTCTAAGCAGTGTGCAAACTGACATTAAAAACACTACCATACAGAAATCCATTGGTTTTTTGCATGAGGATGACATGCATGGGCAAATGGATCATGCTCATCTCAGTTTATTCAGCTGTGGTATGAACATCCAAACTAGACTTCTGCCATGGACTCTCCAAGGAGTCCCTAGGACTTGGCACCAGAAATTATGCTTAGTGCAAAATGCAACTGATGCCAGCCCTAGCATGTTTCGTAGCAGTCTGCACTTGAGGTCTCTGATTAAGCAGATGGTTTCACAGGGAAGCAAGCAACACCTCACCCTTTCCAAATGCAGTACCACAATTTGTAATTTTACTTGGTCTGGGAGAACTTTTAATACCAATTTCACTTTCAGAATGGCTGAAATAATGGTGCTGCTCATATTGAAAAGCCCTTTTTCTTCAGCTTCCCACAAATCCAGCATGGATGTGGCTCAGATTGTGTACCACAGGACACCTCTTCTCTTGACTCAGCACAAAGCCAACATAGAGAGAGGCTCAAAACCTGAATGCTGATTAAGCTCCTGGCACTTCAGCCACGGCCAGCAGAAATCTCAGTCATGAGATTGCTGACCAGCTAGTTAGCATGCTTATCTGAGGCTCAGTAGGACTGCACTGCAAAGCCTTTCCCCCATCATGCTGACTTTGATATAGATTTAGCTGGGACACCATGAAGGGCTTGGGGGTCTGCAAGTTCATGCAAGGAGAAGGGTGGACAGAGTTTCATAATGCCTCTTTTCCCCACAAAAGCGTAAGAACGGGGAGCTCCAGAATCTGAGCTGTAAGGTGCCAAAGGTGGCCAACTCCCCATTCCCATGCCAGCCTGCCAGATGCAACCCAGGCGGATGTGTGCCAAAAGAGGAGAGCAGCTGCACTACAATAAGTGCTTGATTAGCAAATAGTTCCAAACGGTATTAGCAAGCCAGCCAGGATACGATACAGGAGGGCATATGCAACCCAAGGCCGTTAACCAGTCTGTCCTAAGGGGAATAATCTTCCCAATCTAAGTATTTCATTTCATTTCACTTTTCATTTGTATACCGCCTTTCTACATTACTACATTACTATATGCAAGTCAGTTTACAAGCTGAAGAAACAACAAAATACCATACGGTAGACAACAAAGATGGTTTTATAACACTCTAATCCAATACAAAAAAGTCATAATAAACACATAACTTTAAAATAAACGACTTATATCAAATAGTTCTATTCAATAATCTAAGGTATACCTGTACAGTAGTACATCAGGTTAAGTACTTACCGTATTTTTTGCTCTATAGGATGCACCGGACCATAGGACGCACCTTGTTTTAGAGGGGGAGAACAAGAAAAAAATAATTCTCCCCCTCTCTGCTCAGCGCCCCTTCAGGGAAGTGGCAGGAGAAACGGAGCCCCTTCCATTTCTCCTCCCGCTTGGCTGAAGGGGCGCTGCGCAGCTCTCCCTCTCTGCTGAAGCCGGGAGAGCAAGACTCTCCTGGCTTCAGCAAAAGGAACCTGAAGCCTCCGGAGCGTATCGGGAACTTGTGCTGCGCTCCGAAGGCTTCAGGTGGCTATCCCTGAAGCCTGGAGAGTGAGAGGGGTCGGTGCGCACCAACTCCTCTCGCTCTCCAGGCTTCAGCGAAAGCAACGCGAAGCCTCCAGAGCGCGGAGGGAGCGCTCCCTCTGCGCTTTGGAGGCTTCGCGTTGCTATCGCTGAAGCCAAGGAGCCTGCATCCGCTCCATAGGACACACACACATTTCCCCTTAATTTTTGGAGGGGAAAAAGTGCGTCCTATAGAGAGAAAAATACGGTACTTCGTTCCGGAGGTCCATTCTTAACCTGAAACTGTTCTTAACCTGAAGCACCACTTTAGTTAATGGGGCCTCCTGCTGCTGCTGCCGCGCCACCAGAGCACGATTTCTGTTCTCATCCTGAAGCAAAGTTCTTAACCCGAGGTACTATTTCTGGGTTAGCGGAGTCTGTAACCTGCAGTGTATGTAACCCAAGGTACCACTGTATTTGGCATGGCAAAGCTGGACCAGCCCTGTACTTATTTATTTTCTAGTCAATGCAAAATGCAAAAGTTTAGTCAAAACCAGCAATAGCTGGCAGCCTCCCAAAATGATTTCCCAGTCTTAGCCTTCACCAAAATGCAAATATAAACCTGAAACAAAGGGCTTGAAGAAGACAAACAAGGATTTTCAAGAACTCTTGAAGTTCAGGGGAAAACCTGCCTTAACCCACTTGTCAAAGAATGCTGTCTTACGCAACAAGAAATCATTACCGAAGAAAATAACCACCAGTCAGGGAGATAACCTGCAAAGCTAGCGCAACAGTGTTCGCAGAGACTTCCTGGTATCTGAACTGAAGTCTTCTGCCAAGAATGCTTATTGTTACTTAGCAGCCAATCCAAAGTTCCTCGTGCTTCCAGTAGACCAAAACACAAAGCCGGCACGTGCTCTTCAGGCTGTCACAGCATGAACACTTTCAAAGTGAACAAAACAGAGAGGTCAGAAAGTACAAAGCTGTGTTTGCTTCCTCAGCAGTTGAGCAAGGCCCATGAGCACGTTTAGTTCCTTAAAGCCTGCCCTGCAGTAAAAGTGCTTTGGTACTCCTCATATGCACATATTAATTCGGTAATCATTTATAGTTGAAGGCTTTCAGCTTGTTCATGTTCAACAAAGGGAATTACATTGACCATATGCACACGGGAAGCTCAAATTTATATAGCAAGGTAGTTGACTTTTGTGTGAAACAGCTCTCTTTTGGAGCTCCTGAAATTTCAGAAAAGCCAACATAAACCCCCAAAAGAGGAGCCACATTGATGTGTAGTTCTGCTCCTGGGGCACAGCTTTGCACAACTGGGTTCCTGCTTAGTGAGGCAGCCACGATGCCACTCTTTGTTTCCTCTGAATATACTGCCTTGGTGCTTCCACATCTTCAAAACACTTTTTAAAAACCCTTGCTATTCTGGCAGACCACAGACACTGAAGATTTTTAAAAATGTAACGAATAAAAATGTTTTAAAACCATAAGGCGGCAGTTCAGGGAGGCACTGACTGCTCCACCTGGTCTTTTTAACTGCACAATAACCCTGTGACGTAGATTAAGTTGAGAGCTAGAGACTGGCCTTAGCTAACTGCTCTAAACAGACAGGCAAATTTGTTCCCCTGAATTCCCTGTGCAGACTCAATTGGAAAAAGCTTTCGTTCACCATCCACTGTCCAGAGGTCTGCTCCCTCCAAAGACTCTGCCCTTTCTCCCTTGCTACCCTGTTTGCTCAGAACTCCTTCCCAGAACACCAATATGATGCCACCTCTCTTCCTTGCTATCCCTCATGGCCCACCTCTACCATGAAGGTTTCATTATAACCTGCTATTTCCTTGCCCTACTTTAACTCATTCTGCAACTATACCTTAGCATGTGCCAGTGCCACTGAAACAGCTGTACATGGGGCTCCACATGCCTCCACTCCCTGCACCGTTGTTTCCATTGTGCTGTATTTGATTGCAAGCTCCTCGGGGCAGGGATCTGTCCTCTTGTGCACACAGGTGACACTTTATAAATAACAATATTTTTTCATTTCCTCTACTAATTGACTCCACGGCGTCCATACTCTATGGGGCAACTACCACACACCAGAAAGGCTCAGGACTGGAAAGTGAAATGTTTGTATTTGTAAAATAATGTTGCAAGTTACTCGGAGTAGAAGAGGGACAGGCAGTAGCACATAGATTTCCTGCCTGCACACTGTTGCCTGGAACTCACCTGTGTTGACTGGATCACAGTAAGATCATTGATGTAGCAAAAGCCGGCCCCCATGGCAGAGCGGAGCCCGGCAGTTCCAAAGGTAAGCCGATGGCATAGACGGTCCCGCAGCTCCTTATTCTTCCCATTTCGTAGCAAGTTTTCAATTTGCTCTTTCGTTTTCGGATTCTGCAAATGAAACACACAATAGGGTTATGTTTTAGAAACACAAAACTCAGAACCGGACGGCATTTATGATGCGTGAAATCATGTATGTTTGGGTTATATCAGAGGACTAAGTCTCACAGCCCTTTCAGCACATAAAAGCCACAATTGTTACGTCTGAATCTGCAGTAGCACACCAAAGCCAGGCCAAGTACAGAGCACGTTCTCTGCTGCCTTGACACAGCCTGACATGGTTATACACCAACATGAGCCCGGGGTGTGTGTGTATGTGCAGAATCTCTGCTGCTGTGGACAGGGAGGTTTGGTGAATCAACCCTGGCTGTTCTTCATCTGATTATGTCTTTACCCCTCTAGGGAAGTGAGTAAATGTGGCCCAAGTACCCCAAACCAAGCTGATGTCAGTAGATAGCATCTTAATAAACCTCATGGCTGACTGCAAAGTCCGAACACTAGGATATAAGGGGTCAAGGGCATTAACAGATCATACAGTTCATAGCATGCAGGATCTACTCTCTTCAAAACAAAACAAAGCAGATAGACTTATGTAAATTGTGCCAAGAAACATTTTCAAGCCAGAGAACATGTAGCATAAGTAGGTACGCTGCCCAGTTAGTCAGTATGGAACACAAGGCAACAAAACAGCCACTTGTCAATAAAATATCATTAAAAACAGAGAATCAAATAAAATACAATAAGCAGCAGCGATAGTATCTGTAGCAACCCGCCCCCAACAATTACTACGTGGTCCAAATGCCTGGCATCTCCAGACGCCACTGAGAAGATTGCCATCCTAGCCTGTGTTATGTGCAGGATGACGATCTAGTTCAGAGCTTTCCAAACTGTGTGTTGCGACAGGTTAGTATGTCAGCTATAGTGTGTAGGTGTGTTATGCACCATAAAAATATATTCAAGTTTACCTGAGAAGAAGAAGAAAAACTAGAGGAAGAGCCAGTGTAGAGTAGTGATTAGAGTGCTGGAGTAGACTCAGACCTGGGAGACCAGGATTCAATCTCCACTTGAGAATGAAGCCCATTGGGTGCCTTTCAGCCAGTTACTGTCCTACAGCTTAACCTACCTTACAGGGTTGTTGTGAAATAAAGAAGAAGAAGAAGAGTTTGGATTTGATATCCCGCCTTTCACTCCCCTTCAGGAGTCTCAAAGCGGCTAACATTCTCCTTTCCCTTCCTCCCCCACAACAAACACTCTGTGGGGTGAGTGGGGCTGAGAGACTTCAAAGAAGTGTGACTGGCCCAAGGTCACCCAGCAGCTGCATGTGGAGGAGCGGAGACTCAAACCCGGTTCCCCAGATTACGAGACTACCGCTCTTAACCACTACACCACACTGGCTCTCGCCAGTGGGGGGGAAAGTGTGTATGCCAACTTGAGCTCTTTGGAGAAAATGTGTGATATAATAAGAAGAAGAAGAAGAAGAAGAAGAAGTAATTCTTCATTTAACCGATTCTCGTTCCCCCACCTTCTTAATGTCTATTTCCCATTCAGGTGTCCCCAGGGCACACGTATGAAGCACCAGCAACTCATTCCAGTCATATTCACTAAATGCTAAGAACAAGACAAAACCTGTTCTGAGATTAGGGGAAAATTCCAAGGTGATTTGTGGGAGCCTTGCACATATGCAAAGATTTGTTCTGCCAGACTCTCTGAAGTGGATATGTAATCACAGCAACCTTTGCTAGTTATTGCTTTCATGCTTCAGCCAGAACTTGGAGCTGGCTGGCTGACAGCACGGAATGATCTTAAGTGCAATTTGTACTACATAATAAAACCAAACTACTTTTGATAACATAGAGTTGCTCAACAATATGCATGTCTCTGAAGCCATTCTCCACGGTGAGCAGGGTAAACAGGACTCCTCAGCAGGGGTTTAAAAAAGGCAATGGAATCTGAAGTCTCAAGGGTGAGTGAGCAACGGTGACATTTACCACAAAGAGGTCAGCCAGCTTCTAGGTCCAGCAACTGCAAGGCACCAATCAGCTTGTGAAGCCTGAATAATATTTATTTCAGAATGAGGAAAACACCCATGGTGCAGTTTTAATGTTATTCAGTCTCCAGATCTAGCATTGCAAGCAGTTCAACAGAAGAAAGTCCTGAGAGTCACAGAGGGAAACTTTAAAAAAAGTTTCATTTCCTGTTGAAACCAAAGCAACTATGCAGCACCATGGAAATGAATATCAACAAACGGTTCTTCGTGTCTGTTTTTTAATTATTCTTCATCTGAAGATATCAAGGCGGTTTACAATATAAAGACAAAAATACACACTGTAATAACAACCTGCCACTAGTTAAAGAGTTTAATAGAATGCAAAAAAATAAAAAATCTATACGAAGAATCAAAGTGTTCAAAGTGTTGGTGCTGACCTTTAAAGCCCTAAACGGCCTCAGTCCAGCATACGTGAAGGAGCGTCTCGTTCTGCCCGGACACTGAGGTCCAGCGCTGAGGGCCTTCTGGCGGTTCCCTCGCTGCAAGAAGCCAAGTTACAGGGAACCAGGCTGAGGGCCTTCTCGGTAGTGGCGCCCGTCCTGTGGAATGCCCTCCCACCAGATGTCAAAGAGAAAAATAACTACCAAACCTTTAGAAGACATCTGAAGGCAGCCCTGTTTAGGGAAGCTTTTAATGTTTAATAGGTTATTATATTTTAGTGTTTTGTTGGAAGTCGCCCAGAGTGGCTGGGGAAATCCAGCCAGATGGGCCGGGTATAAATAAATTATTATTATTATTATTATTATTATTATTATTATTACTATTATTATTATTATTACCAACATCCAGATTACACACCCATATTCTGGAACACTTGAGCGTTTGGTGGGTGGTGGAGCAGATGCACTGACTGCTTTAGTCCTCACCCACTTCATTTAGTCCTCACCCACTACTGCCAGCATTATAACCCAAGTTCCCCTGATTCAAAACTATTTCTAACAGTTTCCATTCATTTATCGACAGATGCTCTATGCCACTGGCACCTGGCGGCCAGCTTTTGCAGGGCTTCAAGCCAATGACTTGGCTCTGATCAGGGTTGCAGGCATTCTGCCATTCTACAGCTGCATCATGCAGGGGCTGGAATTTTATTATTTTTAGAATAAATCAATCAATAACAAATGCAGCTGGCTCCATGGCAATGAATATAGGGCAGCAGCAAAGCCATTCCTGCTACCACACTCCCCGACTGCCCACTCCTGAGCAGCTCCTGCTTTGCGCATCTGCTGCGGGTGGCTGTTCTCCAGTGCTGTAGCTTCATCCCACTCCACTCCATCAGCAAGACAAAAGGGGCAGAAGCTGCTGAAAATGGACCAGGATGTTGCTTAGGCCCAGCGCCAGCTGCTCTCCCCACCAATTAGAGGGCCTCGGAATTGGTTAGGCAGAGACGTAGTGCCACTATTATTATACTTCTTTCTGCACGAATGGGGTGGGGAATTGAATCTTGCCGAAAGGGTAAGATGTGAGCGATTGCAAATAATGAACAAAGCAGAGGGATGATTCATAGACTGTGGGAAATTAACCTTGGTTGAACTCTACTATTTTCTAGGAATTAATGCTCCTTTCACCACTGTGGCCTGGAAAAGCAGAATCTTGCGTCCCCAACTATCTCTTCTACAAACAATGCCAGGTCTAATTTTTGCTCTGAACTCTATTTGAAAAACAGGAGGATAGGAAAAATAAATTAAATATCATAGAATGAGTAATAAAATGAAAAGGAGGTAGAAACTGTGAGCGGAATTGATGTTATGACGAATGTTGTTTGTGCAGGCATTGCAGCTTGCCAGACAGAATGACCCCCCTCTCCACCAGCCCCCCCCCCACTGTTCTGGGGGTTCTCCCAACCCCCTCCTGCTGTTTTGGGGGCACATGGGGGGAGGAGGGCAGGGAAAGCACCATTGCACAAGCTTATGTCCTTGCACAGGGTTTTTGCTGATGGGATTTGATAGGTGAATCCCACCCTGTAAATTTATATCTCTAAATAACACTCAATGGAAGGTAAGCATTTATTGATAAATGCCATTTTGCATTTTCTTTTGCAGGGAAATGAAGGGCTAGACTCACGCATGGCTGCGCATCGGGAGGTGAGCTGTAACAGTCACTCAGTATAACTCCTTGTACTAGCACTGTTTTACAAACCTTGACTGGATCTGCTGGCAGGGTTAGTAAAGAGTTTAGCCAAGGACGATTTGAAGTTTGCTTAGTCAAAATTTGTCCACTACTTTTTGTTGAAGAAACAGAAAATTTTAAGTGGGCGCAAAACCCATTTGCAACTGATGTCACAAAGTTGTCTTTCTGCAAAAAGAGCGCATTTAAAAAAATATTTATTTATTGCTTTTCATAAATATATTATTTTATTTATTTATTGCAATATAAAATGCTTGCTCTTCAGGCACAATATTCCATTACATTCAGAGCTGTCTTATTGCTGCATTTTAACTATTCTCCCCTGCCCCACCCACTCTTTGCATCTCAACTTGCAACTCTGTACAGTGGTACCTTGGGTTACATACGCTTTAGGTTACATACGCTTCAGGTTACAGACTCCGCTAACCCAGAAATAGTACCTCGGGTTAAGAACTTAGCTTCAGGATGAGAACAGAAATCGTGCTCCAGCGGTGCAGCAGCAGCAGGAGGCCCCATTAGTTAAAGTGGTGCTTCAGGTTAAGAACAGTTTCAGGTTAAGAACGGACATTCGGAACGAATTAAGTACTTAACCCGAGGTACCACTGTAATGATAGGTCATGACAAGGAGAGGGAAGGCTGGGTAATGAAAGGCTCTTGAAAATGTGTAGAGTGGTCGCTTTCTTCCTACGGCTACCATATCAGACAGTGGAACTCTAGCAAACTCTTCAAACACCCCACCCCACCAGCTTAGGAGAAGAAAAAGACAACATACTACACACACTTTCCCATAGTGCTCACTAGTAGCTAGAAACTACTTGCTTTTTTCCCCAGGTACAAATTATAAGCATGCTTTTTATTTTATCTATTTGGGTTGCATCCAACGATTCTGCCTTCCAGGGAGGGAAGAAATTTCCAGCAATTCTCCCTCTCGCTGCTGCTCCCCCCCCCCCCCCGCATTCTGGAACCCTCCAGACAATTTTAGGAAGGGGAGGAGGGGAATTGCTGAAAATTATTTCCTTCCCCATTCCGATGACAGAAACCTGTCAACTGAACAAGGTTGTTTGATACAACCCTTCATAGCTCACCTCTCCTGATTTGTCAGACACAAGACTACAACAATTAAACTCTGACAAATATAAAACGGTAAAAGAGGCACACACACAATGCAATATCCTCTAGGCATGCAAAGGAACAGCACCAGCGCAAGCTTTCGAAAGCCAAAGGAACAGGTTTCTTCTGCTTTTCCAAGAACCAACTTGATGATTTACTGTCATCTCTCCTCTGGAAAGAAGAGAGGAGGAGGCGAGCACCAGAATGCAAAGAAAATTAAAGACCAACACCGCCTCTCCTACTATTTTTTAAATTTATTAAGCAAGGTATTCAGCAAAGCTTTAATCAGAGTAAAGGTAAAGGTATAGGGACCCCTGACCATTAGGTCCAGTCGTGACCAACTCTGGGGTTGTGGCACTCATCTTGCTTTATTGGCCGAGGGAGCTGGCATACAACTTCCGGGTCATGTGGCCAGCATGACTAAGCTGCTTCTGGCGAACCAGAGCAGTGCACGGAAACGCTGTTTACCTTCCCGCCGGAGCGGTACCTATTTATCTACTTGCACTTTGACGTGCTTTCGAACTGCTAGGTTGGCAGAAGTTAACCAGAGTAGACTCAGTTAAATGGACACGACTAAGTTAGGCCCATTAATTTCAATGGGTCTGAGTAAAACTTAGCTGAATAGCATTCTAAGTTTATATCCTGCCCTTGATTCCAAAGGAGCCCAGGGTGGCAACTGGACCTGGCGAACAGGTAGAAGCAGAACAGCTGCCTGCCACTGTGTGTGGCTGAATATGATCCCATCTCCCCACACCCAGGAGCTGAAATATGCAGAATGTTTCAAAGGACAGCCCCACCTGGAGCACCTACTATAGCCCTGGAACCAATGCAAGGACAAAAGGACGGGAGGCTGAAGAACCAATAAAGGGGCTGGGACTGATCCTCCCTTCTAGCGAGTCATGATGCTGCTTTTCAGAGCAAGACAAATGGTGCAGATATGCTCTCTGGCCTCTTCCACCATCCAGCAACAGGTTGGATTGCTTAAGATCAAGGCAATTCAGGTTTTGACCTGAAATAGCCAAGCAAAATATGTGGTGGTGATGATGATGAATTAAATATGTATACCACCCTTCATCCAAAAATCACAGGATGGTTCACAACATTATAATACAAAATGAGAACACAAAATACATCATAATAAAATTTAAAAAAACCAATAAGCCCCATCCCACTCCCATTATTATCTTGTCCATAACATTTATGTATAACCATACTTTCTAAATCAGCATGCATACCCAAAATAAAATTAGCACACGTTAATCTTAGAAAGACCTGAAAGATATGAAAGTAAGCCTAATTCAACTGAATGGGTCTATCTTTGAAAGATGGAAATTATTTCTACGTGAAAATTAGTGATGTGGGCGGAAAGTTTTCCAAGATGCGGAGTTTTCCAGTGCTTATTTTTTCTGCAGAAAATTTTCCATTAATAAGTTCAGCTTTAACCATGAATGGATGCCAAATGCAAAGACACTATTAGGAAAGCTTGGCAGGTTCAAGGTTTTTAGCACTGTTCACTAAATACAAGTAAAATAAACAAGAGTATAAGAATTTTTTTCCAGTGAAAGGGTTTCTATGCAAAATTACCATAACATTTTTTTCCTGAAAAACCCACACCGCCAGTTAAAATGGTGTAGAGTTTTTCACACTGTAAAATTGCATCCCTATTCTCTAACCAGTCCTTCTGCACCCTGCACGCTATGCTGGAAGTTTTACTGAGCAAGTCAGATTAGATCTTACATCCCTAGGCTGTTATTTTCACAGCCACACAACACCTGAGCATGCACAATACTGATTCACCAAGCTCCAGCATAACTCTTTGCTCTACACACCACCATCTTCAACAGAAATCAGACATTCACAATGCAAACCAAATGAAGAAAGTTGTTTAGTGTAATCTGAGACACATTTACGTACCGTATTTTTTGCTCTATAAGACGCACCTAGTTTTTGGTGGAGGAAAACAAGAAAAAAAATATTCTGAATCTCAGAAGCCAGAACAGCAAGAGGGATCATCCACTGCACAGTGAAAGCAACAATCCCTCTTGCTGTTCTGGCTTCTGGGATAGCTGCGCAGCCTGCATTCGCTCCATAAGACGCACACACATTTCCCCTTACTTTTTAGGATGGAAAGGGTGAGTCTTATAGAGCAAAAAATACGGTATCTTCTTTATAACACCACAGAACAAGCTGCAGTTACGCACATATCTCAAATGGTCAGCTTCACAAGAGTACATTTTTTGTATATTTTTAAAACTGAGAAGTGATCTCATTTGTGCAAAATTCCAAGCATGAGAAAGGGCAGTAGTCAGTAGTAGAGCATTTCTGTTTTGCCTGCAGAAGGTCCCAGGTTCAATCCCTGGTATCTTCAGGTAAGGTTGGGAGAGATGCCTGCCTGCCAGAAACCCTAAAAAGCCACTGTTAATCAGAGTAGACAATGTGGAACTAGATGGACGGCCCCATCTGACTGAGTACTGTATAGGGCTGCTTCCTATGTTCCACTTAGAAGAGTGAGCTGATAAAGATGAGGCAGATCTGTGTTTTTCCACAATTTGAAAAGTTTCCATAGTGGGTGCAGAATCAAAAGCCTGAGATAGGAGCCAAGCAGAGAGAGCCCTGCTGTAAAACAGGGCTAAAAACAAGGGATTAAGCTCTTACACTGTAGACAATCCTGATGTGATTCATACTGTTGTTTCCTAAAACCTTTACAGTGGTCCCTCGGGTTACAGACGCTTTAGGTTACAGACGCTTCAGGTTACAGACTCCGCTAACCCAGAAATAGTACCTCGGGTTAAGAACTTTGCTTCAGGATGAGAACAGAAATCGAGCGACGGTGGCAGGAGGCCCCATTAGCTAAAGTGGTACCTCAGGTTAAGAACAGTTTCAGGTTAAGAACAGACCTCCGGAATGAATTAAGTTCTTAACCCGAGGTACCACTGTATATAGATTTATATTTGCCTTATCTAAATTCATAGCCAGTGCCCTACAGGACTAATCCCCGTTACAGAGTGTTCGTGACTTATCAGCGCAGACATCCCTGCCCAACTATCCATAAACCTATAAGCCTAAGAATGTGATGTACTGTAAATTATATTCACCTCCTCCTAACTATGGCTCATTAAATATGACAAAATACTAGGCCAGCAAGAAGTTACAAGGAAGCAGCAGTTTTACTGTCTTCATGGACGCAGTACATTAAGCTTCAGTTTAATTATATGCCGCTTTCCACAAGAAACTGTGCCCACAGTGGCTCACAATACACAATAATTTACCAAAAATCTGGCAAAAAAAGGTTCCCTGCCATACATTCCTACTTCATAATTCCCCTGACATTCCCAGTGAATTGTGGCAGCAATTAAGATCTTCAAAATGCAGCTGCCTGAGGGTGAAGTGAATTCAGTTGCATTACGTCTACATTTTAGAGGCTTGCTCACCTGGATCAGACCCTGGCGCAGAAATCAACATGCCAAAGATGAAATCCAGGATCACTTGAGCGAGGCTTCAGAGAGCTTGCGTGGAAGCAATCTACAGCCTGTTAACTGATGTGCCAAAATAAATACACGCAGGAACTTCATTCCTTACAAGTTTCCATTAAGAACCAGGCCTTGTATGGGCTTTAGTAGGGAGGTAAAAAGTCACTTCAAGTTATCCAAATAATAATATGAATACACTGTATGTGGTATCCAATTGGGTCATTCTCACAGGAGACCCACATAAATCAATTTCAGTGGAATGACTCTGAGGGTGACTGTCAGATATGTAATCCTGTAAAATAATTTATCCATGGCAGGTCTAATTCCAAGACCTACAGCCTTATCAACTATGCACATTTATTATGCATGCTTTTTGCTTATGACACCATAAAATATCATATACAATCAATTTGCTAGATAAATAATACATCCCACTGTAACCAGTGGAGTTTATTCCCTGAAAACTGTGCATATAATTGCAGTTTAAGTCTACTAGTTAAAATATTATTTTGTTTTCTCTCTTTTAGTTGTCAATTCATTTTAAAGTTCTAACATCTTCACGTCTTCAAAACACGTTTTTCTTATTCCTAACTCTTAAAAGAAAGCAATATTTATTTCACTGGAAGAAAGGCCCAGATACCCAAACACTACAAGCTCTTATTCAGCCAAATCAATCTGTTATAGCCGCTTTAAGGTGAAAGTCAAAAATATTAGTTTTGTGTAAGTCTGTGCATGTTCACCCACAACTGAGTCCCACTGTGCTCAATAGGAACTATGTTACGGGAGAAAGAGTTACAGTATTCCCTTCTTCCAACATTGGGAGTGGGTGTCTTGCAGACAAGCATCCAGCTACACATCAAGTACCAAGGCCCCAAACAGACCCAATTTTATCAGCATCTTCTAATCCGTTAGCGGCTAGTTTGGTGATGGTTTAGTAAGCGTGTGTGGGGCATGAACACTACTTGCAGTCTCTCCTCCCACTGCAGATGGCAGGCCCAGACCCCTTGATTCCTATTGGAACCATAGCAGGAGCAAAAAGTTAAAGTCTCCCTTCCCCACCACACTGTCCCCACCACAGTGTCTGGATGGGGACACTTGTATTTATATATTTAAAACCCCAAACACTCAAGGGCTAAAAACATAAATAATGTGACTTTTAGTTCGGCCCTGAAAACCAGAGATTCTAGGCTGGCTCCAAGCATCTGGGCAACTCAAGTCAGTTATCTGTGGTACAACTCCTGTAAATAAACTCTGCCCACCATAGTTCTAGGTTTCCAAATACTGGACAGAGCTTGATTCTAATTTCTAGAAGTCAAATCCCAAAGAAAAAGGAGACAAGAATGCTCCATATATTGTTGTTGTTGTTGTTGTTGTTAAAATTTATATTCTACTGTCAGCTTCATAAAACCATTATCAACTTATCTTCTGAATTATTGGTTTTGTTTGACAGTTTTTCAGTAAACCAAAGATAACAAAGCAGTAGTGAATTGCCAGAATTATGCATGCACTTCTGCTAAAACGAAACTTAAATCTTACCTAAGAAGTCCCAATTTCATGGCCTAGCTTTCACATACATTCAGAGAGAGAGAGAGAAACAGACGCACATACAACTTGTTTTATTTGTACAAGCTCATCTGTTTCTAGAATAAGACGCCATAGGTTGCAAAAAAGTATTCTGACATTTCTCCAAATGTGATATCTATTATCATGTAATGCTGCAAGTCTACACCTCCTGCCTGAATAAGATAAATGTCACAGAGCTTATGTGGGTCACCATGATTACATCTTTAAAGTTACACCTTTATTCCGCTTGATCCAATTAAGCAAAAGTACTTCGATTTAAATTGGATGTAAATCTAGCCATTTGCTGACCTCCTGTAACTCAAGGTAATTTCAAGACACAGGCAAGTACATTTAGGAGCACAGGAAGCTGCCTTACCCAGGGTTGATTCACTCACCTAGCCCAGAACGGCTACTCTGACTGGCAGCAGCCTTCCAGCATCGCAGGCAGGGATATTTCACATCACCTGCTACCTGACCCTTTTTTAATCTGGAAATGTTAGGGATTCAACCTGGAATTTTCTGTAAGCAAAACATCTCCTCCATCACTGAACTACAGCCTCCCCCCCTCCCCCGCTGTATCCTTCACATTTCAAATGCAGGATGATTATTTTTTTACTAACTTTCCTCACTTATACAATTGGTGGCATGCATTATTAACCGCTTGCTACATCCAACCTCAGAGGCAACAGTTCCTAAAAATAGGCCCCAAGCCAATCTGCAGCATCAGCAAGCTGCACAGATAATGAAATATTGATGTATGGCCATTGTTACCAAAAAGGGGAAAAAAAGAGCTGCAGTACTTGGGTACAATTTTGACGTCACATACTGGGGCTCAGGTGCCACCTGCCTCTTTGTAAGATTTTGTATTAACAAAGGAACAATTAAGCTCAAAATGAAGCAATGACCCATGTAGGCTGCCATCTACATCACAAGCCCAGGTTAACTGCTGGAAGTGACAAGAGTGGAAAAACTGAAATATGTGGAATTATGTAAAGCTGTTGAAGAGCATGGAATAAAATGCTGAAACATCAAAGAGATGCAAGGTTTGGAGAAGCACATTTTTAAATGCCTAGAATTCCCATAGACAACCATAGTCATCTAAGGATCTAACTATGGAGCACCTGGAAGCAGTAAAACACGTTAAGCTTCTTTTACATATTATACACTAAATTTTAGAGTGTGATAATGCACATCAGTCCCATCTGCAGTAAGGCAAGATCACCCTTTTGCATTAATGTAGAAACTGTTGGTCTCCCGAGTTTATTTGAAAAATGCAGACACCAAAATGTCCTCCTTCCCCTTGAAAAAATACATCCGTAGTCCACCTGCAAGATGTCATGTTCTTTTCCAATACTTCAGTTTTATTTTTGTGCTAAATATAAAAGCTATTTTACAGAGAACCTTCCTAATGACTGAGAATTCAAAAAACAACAACAACAACCTGTCTATTTCCAAATTACTGATTGTTGCCTTTCAGACAGCTCTCACCCCCTAGACCACTTCACAAGGTTCCCTCTGCACAACGCTAATCAGACTCTGTATGACATCACCAAGCAAGCAGGAGGAGGAAGAGTAAGACATCAGGGAACCAGATCAGCTATAACTGGCCAAAAGACCTACACGCTACTGATAACCAAGCACAAAAGCAAATTTGATGCCAGACTGAAATAGCTTCCCGGAGGAAGCAGAACAGTGCAAAACAAAACAAGCAACAAAACAAAGCCGCACAGTTTGCAGCACTGCCTAGTTTAAAAAAAAGAAGAAGAAGAAGAAGAAGAGAGAGAGAAAGAGAAAAGGGAAGTGTCTTAAGACAGTAACACACAAATTGTGACTTGCAAATTAATTTGTATTCTGCAATGTCATACCTTTCCAAGAATGATAGTGTCAAAGGAACTTATGGGGCACTTACGGCAGAACAGCCCAGCCAAGAAAGTTGTTTAAGCTTGGTCTTAGAATTGCACAGCTTTGCAAAAACAAAATGAAATCAAAATAGCAGAGCTGCCCTCTACTGAAAAGAGAAATTTCAAAGCAGGAAAGCGCAAAACATCCAGCTCTCAGAAACACTTTCCTTTGTCTACAACATAGATGAGTCACTGCTCTACATTGCATCACTGTTTATTAAGCACTACTGCTTAAGGATAGCAGTACATGGTGCTGAAATAAGGGAGAAGCATCTTTTTTGAAGTGAGGGGATGCATTAATTTCTTTCTTCCAGAGCCACATGAGCCCCCTACTCAGAGAGGGGCTTCACCCCAATTTTAAACTATGGTCTTCTTCCTAATTACATGGACCAGGAGCCCTATCTTAAGGGAACATGAATGCAAAGGTTTGCTAGACACTAAGGAATCCCTCGCAATATAAATATGAGTAGCCATGTTAGTTGTTTGCAGAGAGTCTTTGGCAACTTAAAAGACTTAACAAATCTATTATGGCGCAAGCTTTTGTAGACTACAGTCTTTGGATGCACGAAACGTTATGCAGCAGGGCTTCGTTTTTGAGAGAGGGGAGAAATGGCAGTGGCAAGGGAAAACACGCACACCGATCTCGATCGCACATTCACAATTAAAGGCAATCGATAACGGTGTATTTCTTGCCAGCGCCGAAAATTCACCTACGCTGCAAAGGAGGGAGATGTGAGTTTCCCCGAAGCCTTCCCACCCCCCAGCAAGCCTCTCAAGCACGTTAACGTGCGCACGATTTTCCAGCAGTGCCCAGCGCAGCAAACTCCTATTTCTGGCGTTGGCAAAGCCCTTTAACTGCACGAGGAGCGAAATGTATAGTATCGCCCCCCCCTCTCTCTCTGGCAGCTACTTAACAGATCCTGGAGGCTTCGTGGGGGGCTACTGGGAAGAAGAGCCCGACCCACCTTGTCCCAGGTCAGCCACTGCCAGATGGCCTTGTCCAGCTGCAGGTCCCCCGTGCTGAAGGTGATGAGCAGGTTCGAGTTGACGTCGCCGGCCTCTCGGTGGTCCCCCATCGCCTCCCCAGGTGTCCGGGTGGGCGCCAGCAGCAGCAGGAGCAGCACTTCGGGCGATGCAGCAAGGGGCGAGCGTGCAAACGGGCGCTGATCTCGCAGGCACACGCGTGTGTGTGTGTATGCGTGTGCAAAGGCTCACCCCCGCCCCCTCCCACGCCCCCACCCCACCTGCTGGCCGGCTGGGTGGGCGGGGCTGCCGCTGGCACGGAGACCGCCCAGCAGCCCAGCCAAGGGCATGGAGGCGCTCACTGCCCCCACCCGGCGGGGGGGGGAGGGGCTGGTCCAAAATTGGTCGGGGGGCGTGGAAGGGAGGAGGGGCCTGTCAATCTCCCCCCATAAGCCCTCAGTCGGTTTTGGGGTGGGGGAAGCCCCTCCTCTCACGCACATAGAGGATTCACCGGGAGCGGCCAATATTTGGGGTGGGGTTTTTTTGTCGAAAAAAGGCACCCCTCCCCCCTCACGCCCCACTTTTCAGGCCAAAAGAAGCCCCTTCCCTCACACGGCGCCTCACTTTTCCCTCACGGAGAAGGAAGCCCCCCCCCCCAAGTTTCCCCTCAGAGGAGCTGCGCGCGCAAGCGAGCGCGCTCGCCAACTTCCAAGGCGCGCGCACCGAGCCTGCCTAGACCACCGGGCGCCCGCCGTAAATAAGAAAAAAGACGCGCCAAGCCCCGCCCCTGCTAAGCCCCGCCCAAAGAGCCGGCAGGCCCCGCCCCCGCGCTCAACCGCCGCCCGCACACGCCCAACGGCACGGCCTTAATAATAATAAGGAGCAGGAGGACGGGGCGGGAACCACCCAAGCCCCGCCCCTCAGGCTGAGTAACGCGCTGCGGCAGGCTTGGGTTGCGCGCGCAGCTTTCCCTACGGGGTTGTCCCGAGGGCTGATGGGGCGTGTAGTTTTCTCGCTCTTTTCGCTGTCTCCCGCTTGGGGGCGTTGTCGTCCCCGACAGGTTCCCTTGAGAAATGTGGAATTGTAGAGCTGGAAGCGGGGCCAGATTTAGGTTTGATGAGGCCCTAAGCTCCTGAAGGTAATGGGGCCCGTTATATGTCCAGCTGTCCTTTGTCAACAACAAATTGTTGCTGCTTTTTGTGCTGAATATATGCTATATGGTAATTTATGGACCTCATAGGTATCTAAAGCCATTTGCACATGTTGCCTTGCAACCAGTCCATGCAGAATGTAGGCACCCTATATATAGAAAGGAGCAAACCAGGGATATTTTAGGGAGCAGGCTAGCAGGCGGGGCCCATGACTTACATCACAGGAGCCTACACAACACAAAGCACTGTTGCTGTATGTAGGTTTTATTTTATTTGTTTTTTATCTTATATTTTGGAAATGTACATCCAGTTGCTTTTTTCCTTTACATTTTTCTTTTTTGGACCCCTCAAGAGAGTGGGGCCCTAAGCTATAGCTTGTTTTGTTGTTGTTTAGTCGTTTAGTCGTGTCCGACTCTTCGTGACCCCCTGGACCAGAGCACGCCAGGCACTCCTGTCTTCCACTGTCTCCCGCAGTTTGGTCAAACTCATGCTGGTAGCTTTGCGAACACTGTCCAACCATCATGCCCTCTGTCGCCCCCTTCTCCTTGTGCCCTCCATCTTTCCCAGCATCAGGGTCTTTTCCAGGGAGTCTTCTCTTCTCGTGACATGGCCAAAGTAATGGAGCCTCAGCTTCACGATCTGTCCTTCCAGTGAGCACTCAGGGCTGATTTCCTTCAGAATGGATCGGTTTGATCTTCTTGCAGTCCATGGGACTCTCAAGAGTCTCCTCCAGCACCAGTATTCAAAAGCATCCATTCTTCGGCAGTCAGCCTTCTTTATGGTTCAGCTCTCACTTCCATACATCACTACTGGGGAAACCAGAGCTTTAACTATACGGACCTTTGTTGACAAGGTGATGTCTCTGCTTTTTAAGATGCTGTCTAGGTTTGTCTAGCTTGTTTAGCTTATACGTAACTCCGGCACTGGCTGGAAGGGACCCTGAGGTTCAATATGCAGTCACAGGGAATCAAACCTGTAACCTTGGCGTCATCAGCACCATGCTGCAACCCACTGAGCTGTCCGGGCTGACTGCGTATCCTGAAGAAGGAGCTTGCACGCTTCTAAGGATTCTTCGCATGCAGTGCAGGCTGCATCTGGAAACTGTCGCAGGGATTCCCACCGCCTGCCACTGCCACCAGGCATCTCTTATCACGCCCCCCCTTTTTAATTACCTGTTTTGCATTCAAAACGAGCAGCAACCATTGCCAGGAGGGGGAAAGGGAAACGGCAAGTCCGTTAAGTGGCTTGTTGTTCCAGTGAAAGCATCTCACTGCCGTGCGGCTTAATGATGGATTTCTCATAATAACTCTTTTCTGTCGTCACACAGCCCTGGTTAGATACCGGCACTGGAGATTCTTCCTCCTCTGCCCTGCGTTGCTTTCATTTTCCTTGCTATCTCCCACTTCCGAACTAGCTTCTGGAACAAAACGAGTTTAGCAAACGGAACCTATTCATTCGATAGTATGGAGTCTAAAATTAAATTGCACCTGGATGTAAATTGCATTTATTTATTTTATATCTCACCGTTTCCAGCAAGGAGCTGGAGGTGGTGTACCCGGTTTTCTCCCTTACTTAATGCCCACAACAATGCTGTGAGGTAAGGTAAATGTAAAGGACCCCTGGACAGTTAAGTCCAGTCAAAGGCAACTATGGGGTTGTGGCACACATAGAATCATAGAATCCTAGAGTTGGAAGAGACCACAAGGGCCATCGAGTCCAACCCCCTGCCAAGCAGGAAACACCATCAGAGCACTCCTGACATATGGTTGTCAAGCCTCTGCTTAAAGACCTCCAAAGAAGGAGACTCCACCACACTCCTTGGCAGCAAATTCCACTGTCGAACAGCTCTTACTGTCAGGAAGTTCTTCCTAATGTTTAGGTGGAATCTTCTTTCTTGTAGTTTGGATCCATTGCTCCGTGTCCGCTTCTCTGGAGCAGCAGAAAACAACCTTTCTCCCTCCTCTATGTGACATCCTTTTATATCTTTGAACATGGCTATCATATCACCCCTTAACCTCCTCTTCTCCAGGCTAAACATGCCCAGCTCACTTAGCCGTTCCTCATAAGGCATCGTTTCCAGGCCTTTGACCATTTTGGTTGCCCTCCTCTGGACACGTTCCAGTTTGTCAGTGTCCTTCTTGAACTGTGGTGCCCAGAACTGGACACAGTACTCCAGGTGAGGTCTGACCAGAGCAGAATACAGTGGCACTATTACTTCCCTTGATCTAGATACTATACTCCTATTGATGCAGCCCAGAATTGCATTGGCTTTTTAGCTGCCGCGTCACACTGTTGGCTCATGTCAAGTTTGTGGTCAACCAAGACTCCTAGATCCTTTTCACATGTACTGCTCTCAAGCCAGGTGTCCCCCATCTTGTATTTGTGCCTCTCATTTTTTTTGCCCAAGTGCAAAACTTTACATTTCTCCCTGTTAAAATTCATCTTGTTTGTTTTGGCCCAGTTCTCTAATCTGTCAAGGTCGTTTTGAAGTGTGATCCTGTCATCTGGGGTATCTCGCTTTCAGGCTGAGGGAGCCGGCGTTTGTCCACAGATAGCTTTCCGGGTCATGTGGCCAGCAGGACTAAACTGCTTCTGGTGCAACGGGACACCGTGACAGAAACCAGAGTGCACGGAAACGCCGTTTACCTTCCTGCCAGAGCGGTACCTATTTATCTGCTTGCACGGGCATGCTTTTGAACTGCTAGGTTGGCAGGAGCTGGGACAGAACAATGGGAGCTTATCCCGTCGTGGGGATTCGAACCACCGACCTTCCGATCAGCAGGCCCAAGAGGCTCAGTGGTTTAAACCACAGCGCCACCAGTTAGGCTGAAAGGCAATGACTGGCCCAAAGTCCCCCCTTGTGAGATTTTTCTCTCTGGTATTGGGAGAATCTTATGAATGCAAAGCCCTGCTAGATCAGGCCAGATACCTCAAAAGGAAACCCACAAGCAGAGCACAAGACCACTCTCTTCTCCATCAGCTTCCAGCAAGTGTTATTCAGAAGCGTTACTGCCTCATTCCATGGAAGAAGCATCTAGCCATCCTGGCAATATTAGTAGCCATAGATAGACTTATCCTGCTGTCTAGTTCTTCTAGGGCAAAGCCCGCAAATGGATCAGTCCTGGATCTTTGCCAGACATCTTGAACTGTAGGCTTCAATTAGGGTAAACAACAGCAGCTTTGAGAGACCAGTAGTTTCACCCAGGAGAAGGCATTTAAAAATATAAGAGGCTGCTGGATCAAGCCAATGCCCTGTCGAGTTCAACCAGGTGAGAACTGCCCACAAGCAAACTGTAACCTTCAGAAATCCAGGTTTCATGTAAACACATCTGCTCCCCCCCCACAGAAAACTCAAAGACGAGTTCCAAAAGTTTAGACCAATTTGTGGATCCCTTATTAAGAACGTGTTTTACAGATGTATAAAGTTGTGGTGTATGTAATGGAAGATAGGTTTTCATAATGTATTTTGGAGGACGGGGTCTCAGGGGAAATTTAAAGAACACAATTAAAAAATAATAACCCCAATTACATGTGTAAAACAAATATCAGCATTTTAATAAGACGTCCTTCAAAGACAAAAACGGGGAGGCTTGATGTACAGGGTGGGGAGGGGCTGCCCCAATATACAGAAGATGTGCATGGAACGAACTTAGATATCTGAAATATGTTCTGAGGCTGGAGTCTGACTCAAAAGCTCAAATAAAGGAATTTTCACAGTATGTCGGGAGGCTGGCCTTCCCCTTAAAGCCTGCTGCTAGAGAAGGAAGCAAAGGCATCCCTGAATGCATTATCAAGTCTTCTGTTGCCATGGTGACCACAGGCATTGCAGAGAAATCTGGATCATCTGGGCAGGAAGGTTGTGGCGATGGAGCTGTTTGCGCGTCTCTGGGTGCTGGAGGGGCACCCCACCCCTGAAGCAATGGATGCCCATCTCCCCCAGAAACACAAGTAGTGGGTCCGGACCCTCATAAATCCCGCTTTTGTATAAACACAAAAATGATGGTCACAAAGCAGGGGTGACAGATGACGGAATTTTATCCTGCACAGGGCTTGGCGTAATTACTCTTCATTCCTTTCGCTCTTTTCATATCTGTAAAGAGGTTCCACTGATTTTCAGATGGGTGCAGCTTTCATCTGTAAATTAAATTACATTTAATCAGATGCCATCGTTTTGCTGTTTATCAATACGAGCCACGTTATCATAAAATTGCTTAAATGTGTTTAGTTCTGGAACGAGTGAAACCCTAAAGAAAAGTGTGTCTCACGAGCAGATGGTGACTGAACTCCTAAACCTGCTTTCCTGAGAAGAAGCCCCAATGGACTAGCAGGACTTCCTTTTGTGTAAACCCTTAATTGCACAATGCAGACCTGTGTGCTTACTGGGGACTAAATTGGATGATACATTTATAGAGTCCTTACGTAGGTTCCCTATTGGTAGAAGAAGATAACGGAGGCAAACCAGAGAATATTGAGAAGCAAAGCAGCTAGTAAGCCTGATCTTTATTGATCTGTTGCAACAGGGTCCTCACCACACACAGGAGGGAGGAGGAACCCAGAACAATGGCGCGCAAGGCCTTATATAGACATTTTAAAGTCCCTGCCCTGGAGCTCAAGACCACCCCACCATACATCATACATACATTACAGAAGGGGCGGTCTACAGCAGAAATCTGAGTGGTTTGTTTACCTCCTGTCTGCCAGGTTACCTGTTTAATGGTCACTTGATTGGATTGCCTGGGGAGCCTGGCCAGTCTTTTGTAATGATAAATACTTAGTTCCTGAGCCAGGTCACAGGCTCACACCCTATTCATATCTTAAATGTGCCCTTAAGACACGATTTGTGAAGGAAAAAGACAATGGGGAGGTTTCCCACTTTGACTTTGCAGAGAAATAATTGAGGTCAATTTGTTCAGGACTTTTTTCCGTGGGGTTTTCAGACATGTGGTTTATATATTTATGTATGTGTTTGCTTGGTACATTTATGAACATTTATTACATATCTAAGGGACGCAGGTGGCACTGTGGGTTAAACCACAGAGCCTAGGACTTGCCGATCACAAGGTCGGCAGTTCGAATCCCCGTGACGGGGTGAGCTCCCGTTGCTCGGTCCCAGCTCTGCCAACCTAGCAATTTGAAAGCACGTCAAAGTGCACGTAGATAAATAGGTACCGCTCCAGCGGGAAGGTAAACGGCGTTTCCATGCGCTGCTCTGGTTCGCCAGAAGCGGCTTAGTCATGCTGGCCACATGACCCGGAAGCTGTACGCCGGCTCCCTCGGCCAATAAAGCGAGATGAGTGCCACAACCCCAGAGTCGGTCACTACTGGACCTAATGGTCAGGGGTCCCTTTACCTTAAGACCTTAAAATTCTTATCACAGAACCTAGTGTGAAGGGCTGGGGGCTTTAAGCCTCTGTTTCTATCCAGACCAGGGGCCCTGGCCCACCTTGCATGGCTGTTGTAGGACTACAGTGTTGGACCTCCGCTGTATGAGGCAATATGCTTCCGAATACCACTTGCTGGGAATCTCAAATGGGCATCCCATTGGAGCATGTGGTTGGTCCCTGAGATAAGACCAGGATGCTGAACTATATGGACCTCATATGGACCTATATGGATCCGGCAAGACTCTTGCATTCTTAGGTTCTTACATTGCATCAGCCTTTCAGGGTCATGCAAGGTGACCTTGGTGGCTCTCCAGAAGACCAGCTGCGCACACAGATCAATCTCCTTTTTCCAGGACGCCTTTCGTCTGATCATTACTTATTTAACACCAATACTGTCCTGCTTTATCTGGACGTCTCAGATTACGAGGCACTGATACCCTGGGGGCTGGATGTTTCGCTTTGTCCCTGTTAAGCTGGTGTGTGTGTGTGTTCACTCCCAACCTCTGGCAAACCTTAAACTTGGGGTTTTTTTAAAATGAAAGCATCTTCAATGCTGGCTCACTGCAGGAGGAGCAACAAAGAAGCATAGCTGTCAACCGTCCCTTATTTGGCGGGAAACTCCCTTATCCCAGCGCCGTGTCCCGCTGTGTTCTGGCTGGCTCCAACTGTGTTGCTTGGCTGCGTTGCTCCCCCCATAAAGAGTCTAAGAATGACTGGGGGGTGGAGCTTGCATGCCTTGTGCCGATCAAATCAGACGCGTTGCCTGGGGACTTGCCTTTGCTCAGCGCTTCCCAGCGGAGAGGTGACGGTGGTTTTCCTTGCTGCAACCCCTTTGCCGGGTTGCTACGCTGTGGGAACCACCACTTGAGGCTTTGTTTGGCTGCTGGCTGGGCTTTCTGCCTTTGGTTCGGAGGGGCTCAGAAGTTGAACATGCCTGTGCTCTGAAAATCCCTTATTTTGGCTGCTGGTCCCTTATTTCCGAGGCTGCTGGTCCCTTATTTTCAAATCTGTAAGTTGACAGCTATGCGAAGAAGTGAAGCGGCAAGAATGTACAGGATTAGTAGTAAGACATGTTGGAAATGCAAAGATAAAGATGGAGATTTTTACCACATGTGGTGGACGTGTGAGAAAATGAAACAGTTTTGGGAACTGATTTATAACGAATTTAAAAAGATATTTAAATACACTTTCCCCGACTTCCGGGGTGGCGCCATCGGTAATGGCGGACTCCCTCTGATCCGGAGGGACTGGCTCTACGGAAATCGGGTCTGTTCTGCTACGGCGAAGCGGGGACCCTTTAAAAAATCACAGGCGGGTGAAGCCTGTGACCGTGGGACTCGGCGGGCACCTTTCGCGCGCCCCCAATTTGTAAAGGAACCCAATTACGGGCTCCGGAGCGAAGCGGGGCAAGCGGCGCGGTGCTGAGAGTCAACTGCTTCTTCCGTGGAGCGAAGCCGCACAGCCGTTACCGGAGAGCGCTGACTTTTTCCTGTGACAATCTGGCTACAAAAACAACTACCCGTGAGTAGATTAAATTTGGAAATAAAGGAAAATAAAGACTTAATTCGGTACCGAAGCGGGGAGGCATAAACAGGAAGTCTGCCTTCCGTTTCTTGTAAATAGAGTAAAGCAAAGAAGTTGTAAGCTAAAACCTGGAAAGTCGATTGAAAAGGACTATAATCCTAACATCAAAACAAGCAATCTCCCCTCTTGGCTGCAGGAGAGGAGGGGGGAAAGGTGTGAACTATATTTTCCTGCAAAAAGAGAGGAAAGGAAGTTAAAATCCACCACTTAAAACCTGGGAACAGGCTGCCAATGGACAATAAGAATGCCGTATTGTGAAATGCGCTGTTGGTGAATAGAGTACTTTTTGACAGCTAACTCTGCAAGAGAGATACAATGTTTCTGGCTGGCTTCTCCTGGTTTTAAAGTAACTGGAAACTAACTGAAATTGAAATTGTTGCCTATTTTGTGAATTGGGGGATTAAAAAGGGTTATTTTTTTTAATGCAACAAGTTTTGACTGCTACTGTGTCCCCCTAGAGGAAGTTTGAAATTGTTACAACAACTGGGCCAGGGGAATTTTCCACTTCAAAACAAATTCTGGCCGTGGGATTGACCTTGGGCTTCAACTAGAGTGTTATGGCAGATGGAAAAGAAAAGATAGACTTGCTTCAAGAAAAAACAACGAGGTCTGGTAAATCTTTCCATCCAGACACTTGGCTGCAGCGAAGAGCATCAGCATCTGGCCCTTCTGCACCATCAGGGGCTCCCTCTGTACAACCTAAACCAAAAGGAATGGCATCTGAAGATGTTTTAGCTCTGGCATTAGGCAAAATTAATGAATCTTTGGAAAAACTAAGTAAACAAGTAGCTGAAGCATCAACTAAAATTGATCAAAATACTACAAGCATTAATAATTTGGGACAGAAGGTGAACACTAACACAGAAACTATTGAGAAACTGCTACAGGAATCTACTTTGACCCGAAAGACAGCTGAAGAAGCAAAGGAAATAGCAGTTGCTGTAGAAGAGAAGATACCACCGATACATAGGCAACTCGAGGACCACAGGTCGATGTTGTCTATGATTGAATTGAAGGAGAAACAAACGAATTTGAGGATCAGGGCCGTACCTGAACTTGAGAAAGACAATCTGATTGACTTTCTTATGCAGGAATTTGCAGACTTTTGGAACCTAGATTTGGAGAAGGAAGATTTTAAGATAGTGAGTGCTTTCAGGCTTGGAAGAGGGGGGAAGAAGAACAGGGTGAGAGACTGATCACCCTCCGAACAAAAGAGGAGAGAGACAAAATCTTGAGTCTGCACTTTCAGAAGACTCTGGAAATACATCAGTCAAGAGTGGAGATATTTAAAGACATCCCGAAACATCTTTTGGACCTTAGGTCCAATTATGGAGATTTGGTCGCCCTGTTGAGAAGCAACAGAATTATCTTTAGGTGGGAATTTCCCCAAGGCCTATCTTTTAGCTTCAAAGGAAGAAAGATAAAAATAAGATCAGTGGACGACAAAGAAAGATTTTTGAAAGATCACGGAGAAGATTTGCAGAAAGAATCTGGAGAAGAGCTAAGAGCACTAGAAAGAGGAATACTAGACATAGCAACACTACCTTTTGGACTGGACTGCTTAGAGAAAGCGATACCACCGACAGAACAAGAACAAACACTTGGCGCAGTTGGAGGAAAAGCAAAGTAACTACATCATGGCTCTGCAACTATTAAGCTGGAATACTAATGGTCTCAACTCCCCCCAGAAAAGGAACAGAGTTTTTCATTTATTAAAACAGTAACAATTGGACTTGATTGGTTTACAGGAAACACATGTGATAAGGCTACATAGAAAAGTATTGATCAACAAAAGACTGGATCAGGAGTTCATCTCATCGGACAAAGTTAAAAAAAGAGGAGTAGTGATTTATGCAAAGGAGAGTTTATCACCAAAATTTATCTTTAAAGATGACCAAGGAAGATTTGTGGCAATTGAAATTCAAATACAAGGAGAGAAATTTTTGATAGTAGGAGTTTATGCACCAAATGAGGGGAAATCTGAATTCTTTAAAAAGTTGCATGAGACCTTGATGGACTATTTGGACTATAATGTGATTTTGATGGGGGATATGAACGGAGTGGTATCTACAAATATGGACAAGGCACAAAGACAGGTAGTCACTAAAGATGGTAGACTACCGAAAACCTTTTTTGAGATGACAGACAACTGGGATTTAGTTGATATCTGGAGAACAAAGAATCCCTTGGGTAGAGAGGGAACCTTCTTCTCTGAAGCCAAAATGACATGGACAAGAATTGACCAAATATGGGTAACTAGAGGAATGGCACCAAAGACAAGAAAAGTGGAAATTTGCCCAAAAACCTGCTCCGACCATAATGCCGTGAAGATGGAGATGAAACTAACACCAACTGGCTCTTTCAGATGGAGGATGAATGACACCTTATTTAGAGATGAAGAAGTGACTAAGAAGGCCCAAAAAACCTTGAGAGACTATTTCGAGACAAACATGAACACTAACGTTGAAAAAAGAGTAATCTGGGACGCAAGCAAAGCGGTTATGAGAGGGTTCCTGATACAACAGAATGCAATAAAGAAGAGAATCCAAAATGAGAAGAAAGATAAAATTTTGGAGAAAATAAAGGAAAGTGAGAAGAAATTGAGAGCAAAACCAAAGTCGCAAGAGATCTTGAGAGAAATAAAGTTATATCAAGTACAATATATGAAAATGATGAATCAGGAAATAGAATGGAAAATTAAACAAATGAGACAAAAGACATTTGAGTCGGCTAATAAATGTGGGAAATTGTTGGCCTGGCAAATGAAAAAAAGACAAAAACTAAACACTATTATAAATCTAGAAGTGGAAGGAAAGAACATACAGAACCCAGTCGAGATTAGAAACTGTTTCCAGAGGTATTTTAAACAATTATATACACAAGGGCCACAGAAAGAAATTGATGTAGATCGATTTTTGAAAATAAATGGATTACAAAAATCTCTCAAGAAAACAAATTAATGTTGAACTATAAAATAACTGAACAGGAGGTAGAAGGTGCCATTCAGAATATGCAATTAGGTAAATCTCCAGGACCGGATGGACTGACTTCTAGATACTATAGATCTTTAAAAGAATGGTTAGTACAACCTTTAAAGGAAGTCTGTAATGAAATAATGGATGGGAAAAGGGCACCAGAGTCGTGGAAGGAAGCGTATATCACACTTATACCGAAAACAGAGACTGAAAAGACGCAGCTCAAGAACTACCGCCCCATATCACTGCTTAATGTGGATTATAAAATCTTTGCAGATATTTTGGCTAAAAGACTAAAAAAAGTGCTAGTGGAAGAGATTCATAAAGATCAAGCAGGCTTTCTCCCAGGTAGACACTTGTCTGATAATATGAGAAACATAATCAATATTTTAGAAAAATTACAAGTGAATATTAATACCAAGGCAGTTTTGATATTTGTGGACGCGGAGAAAGCTTTTGACAACATTTCTTGGAGTTTTATGAAGAAGAACCTACAGGGGATGGGGGTAGGTCAAGGCTTTGGAAATGGTATAAGTGCAATTTATTCAGAACAAAAGGCTAAATTAATTGTCAATAACGTGGTGACGGAGGAATTTAAGATAGAAAAAGGGACACGACAAGGTTGCCCAATCTCCCCATTGCTTTTTATATCGGTCCTGGAGGTCCTGCTGAATATGATTAGAAGGGACCAATTGGTTAAAGGTATACAAGTCGGAGCTAAACAGTACAAATTGAGAGCATTTGCAGATGACTTAGTATTGACATTACAGGAGCCAGAATCTAGTACTAAAAGAGTTTTGGAACTGATTCAAGAATTTGGTCAGGTTGCAGGATTTAAACTGAATAAGTTAAAAACAAAGGTCTTAGAGAAAAATTTAACAGCGATTGAGAGAGAGAGGTTTCAGAATGAGACAGGTTTAACAGTGGTTAAGAAAGTGAAATACCTGGGGATTAACATGACAGCTAAAAATGGGGATCTATTTAAAGACAATTATGAAAAATGCTGGACTGAAGTGAAAAAAGATTTAGAAATTTGGTCAAATTTGAAGCTTTCACTGCTAGGCTGCATTGCTGCGATAAAAATTGATGATGATCATCCAAATGTCATAGACCAAATGGAGCAAACAGCACGCAGACCTAGTGGTGGGAGGAAAAAATCCTTAAACAAGAGACACGGGGGAATGATTAATGGACTTCAATGTCTGTACACTAATGCGCAAAGCATGGGAAATCAACAAGATGAGCTTGAGCTCCTGGTACAGCAAACTAAATATGACATAATAGGCATCACTGAAACCTGGTGGGATAAGTCACACGATTGGAATGTAATAATGGGGGGATACAATCTATTTCAGAGAAACAGACCAGACAAGAAAGGAGGAGGAGTGGCGTTATATGTCAGGGATGTGTATACCTGTGAAGAGATCCAAGATTTAGAACCTCAAAGCCAAAGTGAGAGCATTTGGGTCAAAATTAAGGGAGAGAAGAATAACAGTGATCTCATTGTGGGAGTTTACTATAGATCCCCAAGCCAAACGGAGGACATAGATGATGCCTTCCTGGAACAGATGGCCAACCATGCAAAAGGAAGGGAGATAGTAGTAATGGGGGACTTCAATTACCCAGATATTTGTTGGATGTCAAACTCAGCCAAGAGCATAAGGTCAAACAGATTCCTCACTGGCCTTGCAGACAACTTCATTGTCCAGAAAGTGGGAGAAGCAACAAGAGGAACAGCCATTTTAGATCTGGTCCTAACCAATGTTGATGACCTGGTTAGTGGGGTAGAAGTGGAAGGATCATTAGGCGCGAGTGATCATGCTCTTCTGAAGTTTACTATACAGCGGAAAGGAGCAGCCAAGCATACTAGGACTCAATTTCTTGACTTTAAGAAAGCCGACTTCATAAAACTTAGGGAAGTGCTGGGTGAGATCCCATGGACAGTAATACTAAAAGGAAAGGGAGTTCATGATGGCTGGGAGTTTGTTAAGAGGGAGATAGTAAAAGCACAACGTCAGGCAATTCCAATGAGACGGAAACATGGAAGGTGCCTAAAGAAGCCAGGGTGGCTATCTAAAGAACTTTTAACTGAGTTAAGATTAAAAAGGATGTGTACAAAAATGGAAAAGGGGGAAACCACCAAAGAGCAAGTCAACCAAATAGCCAGCCCGTGGCGACACAAAGACAGAAAAGCTAAAGCACAGAATGAACTCAGGCTTGCTAGCGCGGATAAAACCAACAAACAAGGCTTTTATGGGTATGGCCGGAGCAACAGGAAGAACAAAGAAACAGTGGGGTCACTCAGAGAGAAGATGGTGAAATGCAAACAGGGGACACAGAAAGGGCTGAACTCCTCAATGCCTTCTTTGCCTCAGTCTTCTCCGATAAAGAAAACAATGCCCGACCTGAAGAATTTGAAGCAAATGATTCAGCAAAGGAAACACAGCCCAGAATAACTAAGGAGATAGTACAAGAATACTTGGCTAGTTTAGATGTATTCAAGTCTCCAGGGCCAGATGAACTGCATCCATGAGTATTAATAGAACTGGCAGATGTGATCTCAGAACCACTGGCAGTCATCTTTGAGAATTCCTGGAGAACAGGCGAAGTCCCGGCAGACTGGAGGAGGGCAAATGTTGTCCCTATTTTCAAAAAGGGGAAAAGAGAGGACCCAAATAATTACCGCCCAGTCAGTCTGACATCAATACCAGGGAAGATTCTGGAGCAGATCATTAAGCAAACATTCTGTGAGCACCTAGAAAGGAATGCTGTGATCACCAATAGTCAGCATGGATTTCTGAAAAATAAGTCATGTCAGACTATCCTGATCTTGTTTTTGACAGAATTACAAGCCTGGTAGATGAAGGGAATGCAGTGGATGTAGCCTACCTTGATTTCAGCAAGGCATTTGACAAGGTGCCCCATGATATTCTTGTAAAGAAGCTGGTAAAATGCGGTCTTGACTATGCTACCACTCAGTGGATTTGTAACTGGCTGACTGACCGAACCCAAAGGGTGCTCATCAATGGTTCCTCTTCATCCTGGAGAAGAGTGACTAGTGGGGTGCCACAGGGTTCTGTCTTGGGCCCGGTCTTATTCAACATCTTTATCAACGACTTGGATGATGGACTCAAGGGCATCCTGATCAAATTTGCAGATGACACCAAACTGGGAGGGGTGGCTAACACCCCAGAGGACAGGATCACACTTCAAAACGACCTTGACAGATTAGAGAACTGGGCCAAAACAAACAAGATGAACTTTAACAGGGAGAAATGTAAAGTATTGCACTTGGGCAAAAAAATGAGAGGCACAAATACAAGATGGGTGACACCTGGCTTGAGAGCAGTACATGTGAAAAGGATCTAGGAGTCTTGGTTGACCACAAACTTGACATGAGCCAACAGTGTGACGCGGCAGCTAAAAAGCCAATGCAATTCTGGGCTGCATCAATAGGAGTATAGAATCTAGATCAAGGGAAGTAATAGTGCCACTGTATTCTGCTCTGGTCAGACCTCACCTGGAGTACTGTGTCCAGTTCTGGGCACCACAGTTCAAGAAGGACACTGACAAACTGGAACATGTCCAGAGGAGGGCAACCCAAATGGTCAAAGGCCTGGAAACGATGCCTTATGAGGAACGGCTAAGGGAGCTGGGCATGTTTAGCCTGGAGAAGAGGAGGTTAAGGGGTGATATGATAGCCATGTTCAAAGATATAAAAGGATGTCACATAGAGGAGGGAGAAAGGTTGTTTTCTGCTGCTCCAGAGAAGCGGACACGGAGCAATGGATCCAAACTACAAGAAAGAAGATTCCACCTAAACATTAGGAAGAACTTCCTGACAGTAAGAGTTGTTCGACAGTGGAATTTGCTGCCAAGGAGTGTGGTGGAGTCTCCTTCTTTGGAGGTCTTTAAGCAGAGGCTTGACAACCATATGTCAGGAGTGCTCTGATGGTGTTTCCTGCTTGGCAGGGAGTTGGACTCGATGGCCCTTGTGGTCTCTTCCAACTCTATGATTCTATGAAAAATGAATGTATTGCCTAGAATGTTGTTTTTGTTTCAAACATTGCAAATTTTGGATAAAATGGATTGCTTCAAGAAGTGGCACAGAGATATTTCTAGATTTGTCTGGCAGGGCAAGAAGCCTAGAATAAAATTTAAAATACTAACGGACGCAAAGGAAAGAGGTGGATTTGCCCTGCCAGACCTTAAACTTTATTATGAATCAGCAGCTTTTTGCTGGCTGAAAGAATGGCTGCTTCTTGAAAACACAGACATTTTGGATTTAGAAGGTTTTAATAATGTATTTGGATGGCATGCATATTTGTGGTATGATAAGGTCAAAGCACATAAAGCATTTAAAAATCATATTGTCAGGAAAGCATTGTTTAATGTCTGGATAAGATATAAGAACCTACTTGAAAATAAAACCCCAAGGTGGTTGTCACCGATGGAAGCGAAGGCTCAGAAAAAGCTCAATATGGAGGCCAAATGGCCGAAATATTGGGAAATTTTGGAACAAGAGGGAGACAAATTGAAACTGCAGAGTTTTGAAAAACTAAAAAATAAAGTGTGAGATTGGCTTCATTATTATCAGATAATGGAGGCATATAATTTGGATAAGAAAATTGGCTTCCAGGTGGAAAAATCAAAATTGGAAACAGAACTGTTAGACTCCAAAACCAAGATTTTGTCAAAGATGTATAACTTGCTGTTGAAATGGAATACTCAGGATGAAACGGTGAAATCTGCTATGATTAAATGGGCATAAGATGTTGGACATAACATAATGATGGCTGACTGGGAACAGTTATGGACCACAGGTATGAAGTTTACGGCATGTAATGCCTTAAGAGAGAATATTATGAAAATGATTTACAGGTGGTACATGACACCAGTCAAGCTTGCAAAAATCTATCATTTGCCCGATAATAAATGTTGGAAATGTAAAGAAACTGAAGATACATTCTTTCACCTTTGGTGGATGTGCCCAAGGATTAAGGCTTTCTGGGAGATGATTTATAATGAAATGAAAAAGGTATTTAAATATACCTTTCTGAAGAAACCAGAGACCTTTCTCCTGGGCATGGTTGGCCAATTGGTGTTAAAGAAGGATAGAACTTTCTTTATGTATGCTACAACAGCAGCGAGAATACTTATTGCAAAGTATTGAAAGACACAAGATTTACCCACTCTGGAAGAATGGCAGATGAAGGTGATGGACTATATGGAACTGGTGGAAATGACTGGCAGAATCCGAGACCAGGGAGAAGAGTCGGTGGAAGAAGATTGGAAGAAATTTAAAAACTATCTACAGAAATGCTGCAAAATTAATGAATGTTAGAATGATGTTGGATTGAAGTTAAGTGGTTTTTAGCAGTAATGTTATAAAGGAATATGTAAAAATGGATTGTTAACAGGTGATAATTTAAAGCTATAATATATTAAGATAAAAGATTAAGATAAAATTAAAGAGGGAAAGGAATTGCTGAATTAACTAATTGAACTGGAATACAAAAAAGGGAGGTGTGAGGAGGTCAGGGAAACAAGCAAATGAAAGATAAGATATGGAAAGACTGACTTGTTTTTACCTTGTATTTTTCTTTTTTTCCCTTTTTTTTCCTTTTACTCTTTTATTTTTGTAATATGCTGAAACTTTAATAAATGTCTTATATATAAAAAAAATACACTTTCCCGAAAAAGCCGGAAGCTTTCTTGCTAGGCTTGATGGGAGAGGAAATAGAAAAAGCAGATCAAAGGTTATTTATGTATGCTACGACTGCTGCCAGAACTTTGTTAGCCCAAAAATGGAAAGTACTAGAATTACCAACAATAGAGGAGTGGCAGACGAAGATGGTTGATTATACAGAACTAGCAAAACTGACCTGTAGAACCAGAAATCAGGAGGAAACAAAATTCTAAAAAGATTGGAGTAAATTTATGGAGTCCATAAATAATAATTGTAGAAATTTGAAGACTCTGGCAGGACTGAAATAAATCTTATGACGTAGATAGGATTGCATACAATAAGAAACTGTGGAAAAGTAGCTGACATAAGAAAACCTGTTGAAGGGAGGGAAGGAAGTCAATGCTCAGCAGAGTGTGGGGAAAGAATGTGGGTAAATGACTGTTGAATTTTACTGTATTTTGTTTGTTTGTATTAAATGAAACACCGATAAAAAGCTTTAAAAAAACAAAAGTGAAGTGGCTTGGTCCTGAGATGAGTTTCTCGTCTGACCTGGGGTCAAAGCAGCTGAGCGTTTTTGTCCCATTCAACCCAAAGGTTAAGAACGTAAGAAGAGGCCAGCTGGATCCAGCCAATGGCCCATCTAGTCCTACATAACAATAACAATAATAATTTATTATTTATACCCCGCTCATCTGGCTGGGTTTCCCCAGCCACTCTGGGCGGCTTCCAACAGAACACTAAAATACAATAACCTGTTAAACATTAAAAGCTTCCCCAAACAGGGCTGCCTTCAGATGTCGTCTAAAAGTCTGGTAGCTGTTGTTCTCTTTGACATCTGGTGGGAGGGTGTTCCACAGGGCGGGAGCCACTACCGAGAAGGCCCTCTGCCTGGTTCCCTGTAACCTCACTTTTCGCAATGAGGGAACTGCCAGAAGGCCCTCAGTGCTGGACCTCAGTGTCCGGGCTGGATGATGGGGATGGAGACGCTCCTTCAGGTATACTGGACCGAGGCCGTTTAGGGCTTTCAAGGTCAGCACCAACACTTTGAATTGTGCTCAGAAATGTACTGGGAGCCAGTGTAGGTCTTTCAAGACAGGTGTTATATGGTCTCGGTGGCCGCTCCCAGTCACCCGTCTAGCTGCCGCATTCTGGATTAGTTGTAGTTTCTGGGTCACCTTCAAAGGTAGCCCCACATAGAGCGCATTGCAATAGTCCAAGCGAGAGATAACTAGAGCATGCACCACTCTGGCGAGACAGTCTGCAGGGCAGGGAGGGTCTCAACCCGCGTACCGGGATAAGATGGAGATAGCAGCCAGGTTTAAGCAACATGCGACGAGGATTCGTGAATGTTAATATGCAACTTAAGTGTTAGATGCAGGTTTTTGATGAGTGTTTTTATTGAGCTGAACCCTCCTGGAATCTTGTATATATGCCAATAAAAGTTTGAAAATTTGAACTGGATTTGCCTCCTGAGTTGCACAGTATAACTACGCACAATGTGAAGGAGTCCTTTTTATCTGCTCTGAATCTTCCAGCCTTCCGCTTTGTTGGATGCCCACGAGATCAACGCCAGGCTGGCAGCTCTGCCGGGGAGTCATAGTCCCTAACCTCCAGCGGGCACCGGGTTGGGGAAGCCCGTTCTGTAGCAAAAGCCTTGCTATGGAGATGGTGGGGCGATGCTTTGGAATTCTGCAGCGTCCCTCTGATTGGCTGCCGGTGATGTCATCCCCCATTCAGGTTGACTCTGCTGTTCCTTGATCACAATGGTAAAAATCTCTCCCCGGTTTCACTGAATGCAAAGTCAGATGCGGCCCTAGCAGAATTTGCAAAGGTTTTGCTGGCTCTCTGTCCCACCACTTTATCATCATCAATGCAACAGAGGCATCACCCTTCTCCTGTTTCCTTCCCTAGGTCCCATGTTTGGGTCCCAAAAGCTACTTCCAGCCACGGTATACCTTACCGGGTCCACACTTTCAACCTGAATAGAACAGATTTACTTTTTCTTTTGCTGCATATTTGCATCATGCTCTGTCATCAGTGGGACGCGGGTGGCGCTCTGGGTTAAACCACAGAGCCTAGGACTTGTCAACCAGAAGGTCGGCGGTTCGAATCCCCGCAACAGGGTGAGCTCCCGTTGCTCGGTCCCTAAAAGCACACATTCTGCTCATGTAAAAACACCAGGCAGGCCTTACAAATAACCCAGAGAAGCATTTTAAATAAAAGGGCACATTCTACTCATGTAAAAACATGCTGATTCCCGGACCGTCTGCGGGCCAGATTTAGAAGGCGATTGGGCCGCATCCGGCCCCCGGGCCTTAGTTTGCCTACCCGTGGTTTAACAAATACAGTAGTACTTTCTTTTATCTGCCCTGAAATCTTCCGACCATGAGTTGTAGCATGATGAGAGAGGGAGGAAAACCTTTTCTCTATCCCCTTTCTCCAATCCATCCCTAATTTTATAAACTCACCTGAACTCAACATTGAGAAAAGCTTCGTGAGCCCAGGGACCACATCGCCGGGTCACCTTGGTCCACCCTTTATTACCTGTGTGTTTTCATAGCAACTCTGCCCTGCGGTTTCCCGGGTGACCCCATCCAGCTGCAGTGTAAACCCTCCACCCAGTGAATCTCCTCCCCAGCACTAGTTGCCCTTGTTGCGATGTAAGGCTGAGTTTTGCCTCTTGAGCTGCTTGCCTGGAGTGAACCGAAGATCAAATCTACTCTCAGCCAGACAGTAAGTGCTACAGATATGTGGTCCTTTTTTTCTGGAGGAATAAGCTGCTTGCATCATCTCAGTTCGTTAGGAAAGGTGAAGTCACACAGTGCATCTACAACACAGATAAATTAAGACCCTCTCCTTCCCTGGAGGTTTCCAGGCAGAGGTTGGAGGGCCATCTGTCATGGATGCTTTAGCTGAGATTCCTGCATTACAAGGAGGTTGGAATGGGGTTCCATTGCAACTCTATGATTCTATGATTCCAACTCTATGATTCTAAATAATGATGGAATCATTATTTTACCCTCTTGATTTGCACCACCACCAGCTCGCCAGCAGCATCCATATTTCAGATGCAGGAACCTTTCAATTTCATAAAAACTTCTCACAATATACACATTTTTGTATGTGCTTTTTGCCAAAAAAGAGCACCTTTTTGTAAGAAATACAATGCATTTTGTATGTCGTTTTCATGAGTTTATGTGTTTTTAGGCACGCTCTCGCCTAATATATACATCGCTGTGCCCAAATTTTGTTTGAAGAGCTGCATCACAAGAATAGATTGGGAAAACGGAGAATTTCCACAGGTTTCGGTTGGTGTATAGTTTCAGGAAGAGCAAATTGGGCAGGGTCATATTAAAATGCAAACGGAACCAGTTTTCTCCCGCATCCTTTGCATCCATAACTAGGACTGTGATTTTTTATATATTTGAGAAGCTCCTGCCCATATATGTTTGCTTAAGCTATAATAATGGGGTCCCTGAATGGCATAACAACATCAGAAGAGTCTGTCTGGATCAGGCCAGTGGCCCATTTAGTCCATCAACCTGTCCTCTCATTGGTCTCTTTCGGGGAACCTGCAAGCAGGATCTGAGCACAAAAGCAATTATCTCCCTTCCTGTAGTTTCCAGCAGCTGGGATTCAGAATCATTGCTGCTTCCAGCTGTAGAGGCAGAGCATAGCTATTGCAGCTAGCAGCCATTGGTAGCCTTATTCTTCATGAATTTCTCCGGTCCTCTTTTAAAGCCATCACTGCTTCCAGTGGGGGTGAGTTCCATGGTTGATTTATGCACTTTGTGAACCCTAATAAGGAGGGCCGCCAAATGAAAAGCTCTAACAGGACAGCCTAGCTGCCTTGGTGGCGCGGTCTAAAGCACTGAGCCTCTTGGGCTTGCCGATTGGAAGGTTGGCGGTTCGAATCCCCGCAACGGAGTGAGCTCCCGTCACTCTGTCCCAGCTCTACCTCTCTTTCAAATTGGAACCAGTGAAGGCGCTGAAGGTCCTCTGTGAGTGCCTGGAGGCGGTTGGAGGATGGATGGCAGCTAACAGATTGAGGTTGAATCCTGACAAGACAGAAGTACTGTTTTGGGGGGGACAGGGCGGGCGGGTGTGGAGGACTCCCTGGTCCTGAATGGAGAAACTGTGCCCCTGAAGGACCAGGTGCGCAGCCTGGGAGTCATTTTGGACTCGGCTGTCCATGGAGGCGCAGGTCATTTCTGTGTCCAGGGCAGCTGTTTATCAGCTCCATCTGGTACGCAGGACGAGACCCTCCCTGCCCGCAGACTGTCTCCCCAGAGTGGTGCATGCTCTAGTTATCTCCTGCTGGGACTACTGCCATGTGCTCTGTGTGGGACTACCTTTGAAGGTGACCCGCAAACTACAACTAATCCAGAATGTGGCAGCTAGACTGGTGACTGGGAGCGGCCGCCGAAAGACCTACATTGGCTCCCAGTACGTTTCCGAGCACAATTCAAAGTGTTGGTGCTGACCTTTAAAGCCCTAAACAGCCTTGGTCCAGTATACCTGAAGAAGCGTCTCCACCTCCATCGTTCTGCCCAGACGCTGAGGTCCATCCAGCTCCGAGGGCCTTCTGGCGGTTCCCTCGCTGCGAGAAGTGAGGTTACAGGGAACCAGGCAGAGGGCCTTTTTGGTAGTGGCACCCGCCCTGTGGAACGCCCTCCCACCAGATGTCAAAGAGAAGAACAACTACCAGACTTTTAGAAGGCATCTGAAGGCAGCCCTCTTTAGGGAAGCTTTTAATGTTTAACAGACCACTGTATTTTAATACTTTGTTGGAAGCTGCCCAGAGTGGCTGGGGAAACCCAGCCAGATGGGCGGGGTATAAATAATAAATTCTATTCTGTTTTATTCTATTCCTTTACCTTTACCTTACCTTTTGTTTCTATAAACAAAACCTGAGGTGTCACTTCTTCCTGTCTGTTACAGAATGGATTTGAGCAGCTACCTGGGAGACTATGAAGATGACATCTTCCGAGGGTCTTCCCCCTTGGGGTGGGAAGATTCTGAAATTTTTCTGGGTAGCCAGAGCGGGACAGATCTGAGCCAAGGGGACTTGCAAGATGACACAACCGAGTCTATCACGGATGAAAGCGGGCCGCTGCTTCGATGCCTCAAGAAAATCTACCGGAAGGGAAAGAAAGAAAAGACGAGGCGACGAAAAACCATGACTTCAGGTAAAGCAAGGTCTCAGCGGCTCAGATTGCGTTGGAATTGTGGATGCGAGGAAAAATAAATACATATTAAAGGATAAATCCCAGATGCCAAGTTCCAGGTTTGGGGCTAGTTAGTGTTCTTTGGTGAGGGAATCCCAGTAGAGATTTATAATATGCAGCAAAGTGAAATAGGCAGCAATATTGGCTGTTAGGCCTTTAAAATATGCCTTTGTGAGTAACCAAGCAGTCCCTGCTGCCCCAAGCATAGGAAAAGACCACAGGTTTGGTCAGTTAAAAATGGGTTTACTCACAAATTCTTCAAAGGTCAGGTTCATGTGCTTTTCCACACATCCATTCAGAAAAGTTGCACAGACAGTAAAACCTGGCTTAGTTACAGTGGTGAGAGTTCCCAAATTACTGGTATAGGAATTCAAGTGTGGCTTGTAAGAGCCATGTGGTCTGAGCTGCAGGAACCAGCTCAGTGCAACTCAGACCCAGGGCTGGATTTAGGTTTGATGAGGCCCTAAGCTACTGAAGGTAATGGGGCCCTTTATATATGTCCAGCTGTCCTTTGTCCACAACAAATTGTCGCTGTTTTTTGTGTTGAATATATGCTATATGGTAATTTATGGACCTAATAGGTATTTTATCAAACGTATTTGATAAATATGTATTTTATCAAAGTAATTTGTTTTTTATCTTATATTTTGGAAATGTACATCCAGTTTTTTTTCCTTTTAAATTTTTTGGAGGCCCCCAAGAGAGTGGGGCCCTAAGCTATAACTTGTTTAGCTTATATGTAAATCCGGCACTGCTCAGACCTCCTCACATGCTTCTCTGGTAGACTGGCATCAGCCAGCACCCCAAATTCTTAATTGTATATCACATGCATGCACAGAAGTTGAGGAAAGCCTTCATGGATCCTGCAGGCCAAGGCTGCCCTCCCTTCTGGGGGCCACTTGCCATTGGTGGGCGGGGCCAGAGGCAAAAGTGGGCGGGGCAGTGAACAAGATGCTTAGCTTTGCAGCATAGGCTGATTTCACTCCCCTCTATTCTCCATCCAGGGCAGGTGACCTAGAGAGAAGGGGTGGGTGGCCTGGAGAAAGTCCTGCAGGCCAGGGAGAGGTGCCAAGCAGGCTGAATTTGGCCCCCGCATTTGGCCCACCCCTGCTACAGGCAAACTACCGTATTTTTTGCTCTATAAGACTCACTTTTTCCCTCCTAAAAAGTAAGGGGAAAATTGTGTGCGTCTTATGGAGCGAATGCAGGCTGCACAGCTATCCCAGAAGCCAGAACAGCAAGAGGGATTGCTGCTTTCACTGCGCAGCGATCCCTCTTGCTGTCCTGGCTTCTGAGATTCAGAATATTTTTTTTCTTGTTTTCCTCCTCCAAAAACTAGGTGCGTCTTGTGGTCTGGTGCGTCTTATAGAGCGAAAAATACGGTACCTCTGGAGAAAGCTGTTAGATCCTTATTCCTCAAGGGACCCTGAATCCCCATTAGGAGAGTACAGTGGATGCTGGGGTTGCGAACGTGATCAATGCGGGATGCACGTTCGCAACCCTCAGCGTCCGCAACCCTCAGTGGCGCATCTGCGCATGCGCGGGTTACAATTCTGCGCAAAGCGCGATTTAGCGCTTCTGCACATGCGCGACCGCCGAAACCCAGAAGTAACCTGTTCCGGTACAGTGGTACCTCGGGTTAAGAACTTAATTCGTTCCGGAGGCCCGTTCTTAACCTGAAACTGTTCTTAACCTGAAGCACCACTTTACCTAATGGGGCCTCCTGCTGCTGCCGCACTGCCTGAGCACGATTTCTGTTCTCATCCTGAAGCAAAGTTCTTAACCCGAGGTACTATTTCTGGGTCAGCGGAGTCTGTAACCTGAAGCGCATGTAACCTGAGGTACCACTGTACTTCCGGCTTTCGGCGGTCCGCAACCCGAAAAAATACAACCTGGAGCATCTGTAACCGGAGGTACCACTGTAATTGATTTCTCCTTTCTCTCTTCTTCCCCGGCGCTTTTAGTCCCTGATCTCTCTGCTATGGCAACCATCTGGGAAGAAAGCGAGAACCCTGGTTCTGCTCAGGAGCCTGAGCTCCTGTTGAACTCCTGGAGGAGCACCATAGATTACTTCAACAGTAAAAAAGAGGTATGGGGGCACGACTTAGGAACAGGCTGTCTGAGGGACCGTACTGCCCCATACGTGTCTGCCCAGGCTCCAAGGTGTTCAGGGGAGGCAGAAGGCTGGAGGGAGTAGAACGGACTCCCTCAGGACATGATGGGCCCTCCTTCCTTGGATTGTTTTCAAGCAGAGTTTGGATGGCCGTCTGTCGTGGATGCTTTAGCTGAGATTCCAGCATTGCACGGGGATGGACTAGATGACCCTCGGGTTCCCTTTTTACTTTTTAACCATTATCTTTTATATGTTCTTAGCTGTGTGTATTTTACCTCTGTCCTTTTAATTTGTGTAAACTGCTTTGAGTCCTGGACTGGGGAAAAGGTGAGATATCAATCATAATAATACAGTGGTACCTCGCAAGACGAATGCCTCGCAAGACGAAAAACTCGCAAGACGAAAGAGTTTTTCGTTTTTTGAGTTGCTTCGCAAGACGAATTTCCCTATGGGCTTGCTTCGCAAGACGAAAACATCTTGCAAGTTTGTTTCCTTTTTCTTAAAACCGTTAATACCCGTTAAAACCGTACTTCGCAAGACGAAAAAATCGCAAGACGAAAAAACTCGCAGAACGAATTAATTTCGTCTTGCGAGGCACCACTGTATAATAACAAATTTGATTATTTATACTCCGCCCACCTGGCTGGGTTTCCCCAGCCATTCTGGGCGGTTCCCAACAGAACACCCATAACAATAATTTAAAAAGCGACAAAACATCAAACATTACAAACTTCCCTAAGCAGGGCTGCCTTCAGATGTCTTCTAAAAGTCAGGTAGTTGTTTATTTCCTTGACATCTGATGATGAGGGCGTTCCACAGGGTGGGCACCACCACCGAGAAGGCCCTGTGCCTGCTTCCCTGTAACCTCGCTTCTCGCAGGGAGGGAACTGCCAGAAGGCCCTTGGAGTTGGACCTCAGGCTGAATGATGGGGGTGGAGACGCTCCTTCTCTCTCTCTCTTTCTCTGGAAACCACAATGTAGGGTTATCAACTGCCAGCCTAAGCATCCAATCCGGCCTCCAGGGGGCTCCCCATCTGACCCCCATTCTGGATCCAAAAGATCCCCCATCTTTATACACTGTCTACTTTCTCCTCCATGGGCACAGACAAAGAGAGCCAGTGTAGTGTAGTGGTTAGTGTTGGACTAGGACGTGGGAGACCAGGGTTCGAATCCCCACTGGGCCATGAAGCTCACTGGGTATATGACCTTGGGGCCTGTCACTGTCTCTTTCAGACTGGCCTGGTTGTTGTGGGGCTTAAATGAGCAGAGGAAGAACCCTGTGCTCCCCCTCAAGCTCCCTTGAGAAAAAAGGCGGGATAGATCTGCAATAAATCCATAATAATAATAAATACTTCTCTCTCACACACACCCAATTTCCTTTAGGAAGATGTCATGAAGAAAAGTTTTTTCAGGTTCTTATCCATCCTCAGCAAGACAATCAACTGGAGCAACATGACTGATTTTTTTATGGATAACTTTACCTCCGATGTTGTGGGAGTCTTAACAGTGAGTTTCTCTATTTGCTTGTTTGCCTGTTTTCAATCTGACCCCACTCTTGAAAATATTTACTCAACCCTTGCTTTTTTCCTGTACATGCAGAGTCCTCCTTGTACCTTAACTGGAGTTAAGGTTCCTCCTGTTACCAATCTTGTGGTCAGGCCACACTCTTGTGCACTGACGCTGACCTCACTGTTGATGAGTTTTGCAGGATTTCTACCTCATTCACTGAGGATATCCCACTTCTCGTTTACAGGAGATGATTAAGAGAGATTTTCCAGAATCCAGCGTCGTCTGTCTTCATGCTATGGCCACCGTTATTGACTTGAGGTAGATTCAATTCCTTAGCTCACTTCCTGGGTTGACTTCTAACTCTTGACCCACCGCGGCAACTGCGTTGAAGCTTTCCGCTGTTCAAAAGGAATCTGTTTTACACTTGTGGCCGAGGGTTTCAAACGAAGTGGCGCCTCATAGATTAGGAGGAGATATAACATGGCGCTCTCCAGATATCATTGGGCCTCCAACTCCTATCAGCCCCAGCAGTCATAGCCAATGGCCAGGGATCATGGGAATTGTAGTCCAAAACATTTGTAGGCTGCCACATTGGTGAAGGCTAGGCCCAGCACTATCTAAAGGGTCATTTTCTTCCACTCGAACCTATCCCTCAGTAAATATGTTCTTCAGAGACCTGTCTTCTAATTTCCCTGCCTTCTGAGGTCTAGCAGGAAGCTGTGGAGAAGAGGGCCTTCTCCGTGGTGGCACCCAAAAGATGGAAAACTCTCCGCTGAGAAATTTGCTTGGTCACATCTCTACATAGCTGTCAACTTTTCCCTTTTCTTGCGAGGAATCCTATTCAGAATAAGGGAATTTCCCTTAAAAAAAGGGAAACGGTGACAGCTATATATCTCTACCATCCTTTGGGCACCAGGCCTGCTCTCTTGGGCTTTTAATGGTAGATGAGATCTTTTAATGTCCTTCTGTGTTACCCTGTTGCTCAGGACTCTGCAGTTCCTTTTTCTAGGAAAAAAGGGATGCCAGAACTCATCACGAACACTTCCCTTGTTGTCTTATAATGGCAATGGTGCCCACCTGAGAGGTGCCAGAATTCTGGTGACTTCTGGCTGGAATAAAAGTCCAGCAACTATGTATGCTAACTAACTAACTAATCAGTTGCAATCCTTTATTGTTTCTATAATAATAATAATAATTTATTATTTATACCCCACCCATCTGGCTGGGTTTCCCCAGTCACACTGGGCGGCTCCCAACAGAACACTAAAAACACAGTAAAACATCGTACATTAAAAACTTCCCTAAGCAGGGCTGTCTTCAGATGTCTTCTAAAAGTCAGATAGTTGTTTATTTCCTTAACATCTGATGGGAGGGCGTTCCACAGGGCAGGAGCCACCACCGAGAAGGCCCTCTGCCTGGTTCCCTGCAACCTTACTTCTTGCAGGGAGGAAAAGGCCCTTGGAGCTGGACCTCAGTGTCTGGGCTGAACGATGGGGGTGGAGATGCTCTTTCGGGTCTACTGGGCCTTTGAGGCCATTTAGGGCTTTAAAGGTCATCACCAACACTTTGAATTGTGCTCGGAAATGTACTGGGAGCCAAGGTAGGTCTTTCTGTATTATTGTCCTAAAATTACAGATTTGAAGAAAAACAAAAGGGTCAATCCGTGAGATCATAGGTCAAAAGGCTGGGTTGAAATCTTAAAAGTAACACGAGTGAGTCATTCCCCAGCCAGACGCCCACCAGAATCTTCAGACTCCATCTCGCATCGTCCCCAGCTGGCAAAATGCCATTCTCTGACTCCCGTTTCTTCCACCAGCAAGGCGAACGTCACAAAAACGATGGGGTCCTACAAGAAGGGGATATTGCTCCGCACCTTTTTCAAGAGCGTCTTTGCCCTTTCACCCCTGAAGGCGGGACAAGAGGAAGGAGCGGCCAATTCTGCCAATGCCCAGTACGCAAAGGTAGTTTTGTCTTCCTCTCTGGCTTAGAACATAAGGAGAGGCTGCTGGATCAGGCCAATGGCCCATCTAGTCCAGCATCCTGTCATCTCAGTGGCCAACCAGATGCTTCAATGGGGATCCTGCAAGCACAAGAGCCTTCTTCCCTCCTGTAGCCTATGGCAGCGAGTCACATAGTTCAGCTATCATAAAATCATAGAATTGCAGAGTAACTTAAAAGTAAAGGGACCCCTGACCATTAGGTCCAGTCGTGACCGACTCTGGGGTTGTGGTGCTCATCTCGCTTCATTGGCCGAGGGAGCCGGCGTACAGCTTCCGGGTCATGTGGCCAGCATGACTAAGCCGCTTCTGGCAAACCAGAGCAGCGCACGGAAACGCTGTTTACCTTCCCCCCGGAGTGGTACCTATTTATCTAACTTGCACTTTGACGTGCTTTCGAACTGCTAGGTTGGCAGGAGCAGGGACTGAGCAACGGGAGCTCACCCCATCACGGGGATTCGAACCGCCGACCTTGTGATCGGCAAGTCCTAGGCTCTGTGGTTTTACCCACAGTGCCACCCGCGTCCCACAGAGTAACTTACAACAAGACTAAACCTTAACACTAAGCATACTGTGTACAGAACACCACACCAGAAAGAGAGATAGAAAGAGAAAGTGAAACCTAGGCTCCTTCTGACCTTACTTTTATAGCCAGCATGACCTTGTCAGAAAGAGATAACAGAACCAGTTTAATCCCTCTGTACAGTGGTGCCTCGCAAGACGAAATTAATCCGTTCCGCGAGTCTCTTCGTCTTGCGGTTTTTTCGTCTTGCGAAGCACGGCTATTAGCGGCTTAGCGGCTATTAGCGGCTTAGCGGCTTAGCGGCTTTAAGAAAAAGGAAACAAACTCGCAAGAACTCGCAAGACGTTTCGTCTTGCAAAGCAAGCCCATAGGGAAATTCGTCTTGCGAAACGACTCAAAAAACGGAAAACTCTTTCGTCTTGCGCGTTTTTCGTCTTGCGCGTTTTTCGTCTTGCGAGGTACCACTGTATAACCCAAACATCAGGATGAACCTTCCGCTTGTTTCTTTCACACAGAGAAGCTTCCAGAACCCTCTTGAATTAAATAGAATAGGAAAGATATCTGCACATCAGATCAATACTATCTGTACCAATAAATGCAATTTGACAGTTTTGCGGCAGGCATAGCTAACCTGTGGCACTTCAGATATTGTTGGACTCCAGTTCCCATCATCCTTGACCAGTGGACGTGCTGGCTAGGGATGATGGGAGCTGCAGTCCAACAACATTGCTTAGCCACCCTGGTTTAGTGGACATTTTATCCAGCCGTGATATAAAGAACGGGTTTCATGTATGGGAATCCCCCCAGATCCTGGAGCTCACCAGCCCAGCCAGCCCAATATTCCATCATAGAATCATAGAATTGTAGAATTGGAAGGGACCCAAGGGTCATCTAGTCCAACCCCCTGCAATGCAGGAATATGCAGCTGTCCCATACAGAGATCGAACCTGCAACCTTGTCGTTCTCAGCACCGTGTTGGTAACCAAATGAGCTATTCAGGCATTATGTGAGCTGCATGAAGAAGTGCTTTTGTCTTTCCTGAATCTTCCAATGTTCGGCTTCATTGAATGTTCATGAATTGTAATGTTACAGATCGATCTATCGATCTATCTATCTATCTATCTATCTATCTATCATCTCTGTTCCCACACTGCTCCAGTGAGAAGTTTGTGGCTTGGATCCTGACAAGGAACTAATCCACACTTCCAGCTCAGCCAGTAGAGTACGAAACTCTTCATCTCATCAGTCATGGGTTCAAGCCGCACCTTGGGCAAAAGATTCCTGCATTGCAGGGACGGGGTTGGACTAGATGACCCTTGTGGTCCTGAGCAGTAATCTAGGCAGGGCATTTAGCTCTCCCAGTTTCCAAGGTCATCCTTTCCTGGGCCCTTAGTGAACTGGTCTCCTTCAACATTCCTACCCCCTCCTCCAGAACCTCTTCATCAGAACATACCAGACCTTCAGTGAGATGCTCCAGCAGCTGATGGTGGAGAACCCAATTCCTTCGGAGCTGGAGAGGATCTTGCAGGTAAGAGGAAAGGAGTAATAACAATAATTTATTATTTATACCCCGCCCATCTGGCTGGGTTTCCCCAGCCACTCTGGACGGCCCCCACAGGCTAAAAACAGAATAAAACATCAAACATTAAAAACTTCCCTAAACAGGGCTGCCTTCAGATTTCTTCTAAAAGTCAGATAGTTGTTTATTTCTTTGACATCTGGCGGGAGGGCGTTCCACAGGGCGGGCTCCACCACCGAGAAGGCTCTCTGCCTGGTTCGCTGTAACCTCACTTCTCACAGGGAGGAAACCGCCAGAAGGCCCTTGGAGCTGGAGCTCAGTGTCCGGGCTGGATGATGGGGGTGGAGATGCTCTTTTGGGTATACTGGGCCAAGGCTGTTTAGGGCTTTCAAGGTCAGCACCAACACTTTGAATTGTGCTCGGAAACATACTGGGAGCCAATGTAGGTCTTTCGGGATCAGTGTTATATGGTCTTGGCGGCCGCTCCTAGTCACCAGTCTAGCTGCCACATTCTGGATTAGTTGCAGTTTCCGGGTCACCTTCAAAGACAGCCCCACTTACAGCACATTGCAGTAGTCCAAGCGGGAGATAACCAGAGCATGCACCACTCTGGTGAGACAGTCTGCGGGCAGGGAGGGTCTCAGCCTGTGTACCAGATGGAGCTGATAAACAGCTGTCCTGGACACAGAATTGACCTGCGCCTCCATGGACAGTATCTTCAGACTGTCAGGATTCCATCTTACTGCCTATGGGTTTAGTTGCTGGCTAAGTGGGAGTTCCTGCTCAACTTCTATATATTTTATACAGTCATACCTTGGGTTACAGATGCTTCAGGTTGCGTTTTTTCAGGTTATGGACCACCGAAACCCGGAAGCACCGTTACTTCCGGGTTTTGGCGGTCACGTATGCGCAGAAGCGCTAAATCGCGCTTTGCGCATGCACAGAAGCACCGAATCACAACCCACGTGTCCACTGCATATGCAGTGTCTGCTCCACCTAGATAATTTTTATGGGCCCACATTCAAAATGTATGTTACATGTTTCTCATGGACACTGACACTAGAGGGCTCTGCACTTTCTGGTACTTTGGGAAGACAAGTGAACAGACCTGATGGCTGCAGAATTTTCTCTCTCTGTTGCGTTTCCCCTCCTCAACAGCTGATGGCTCCTTGGCTACAGTCCTCGGAGGCCGACCTGCGAGAGAGGGCTATCTGGACCAGTGCATCGCTGCTCAACTTTGTGGCCAGCAAATTACAGCTGGATGTGAGTAGACTGTGAAATAACCAACTGAGCTATCCAACAAATTTTCCTCTAAGGCAGGCATCCCCAAATTCAGCCCTCCAGATGTTTTGGGACTACAACTCCCATCATCCCTCGACGATCGGACCAGTGGTCAGGGATGATGGGAGTTGTAGCATAACTGTCAACTTACAGATTTGAAAATAAGGGATCAGCAGCCAAAATAAGGGATTTTAGTCAATCAGCTGAAGTACGAAGTTAAAAGGAACCAGATAATTTGGGAGAGCAGCGCCGGTTTTTAGCCCTTCATTTCCAGAGGTTGCTGCTCAAGACACCAACTGATGAAAGACTGCAATGAAATAACTACAAGCAGCAACCACTTTTCGCGCAAAACAAAGTCCAAGCTACGAAGATGCTGCTGCAGTTCTGTATCTTTTCTCTCGTGCTCCATCTGCAGCTCTCAGTTCCATCAGGCGGGGCGGGAGGAAGGGGGGGGGAATCGCGCCCGAAGTAAACCCGCAGATCAGACCATCTATGCTAGTCTACCACTACAAATCTAGGGGAGAAGCGCTTGCAGTCCTTCCCTTGTAGCCCTTGGAACACCTGCCCGCGCCTCCGCCTCCTCCTCCCATTCTTTTTATCTTGCAGCGCCTTACCTGCGATTTTTGACGCGAACGCGAGTTTTGAGCAATACATTTGCGAGCAGCGAGCGCGATATTAGGCTGGGCCTTTTAGTTAGCGCCGCGCGAGTTGCGAAGCCAGCCGCAAGTGCGGGGGGGAGCGGGTCCCCAGGCCGGGCGGCGGGCGGGGCGGCGCGCAGCGCGACGCCGCAACGAAGCCTCCTGGCAGGGCGGCGACTTATTAAGAAGCGGCAAGATGGGCAGGGATGCCTGCTCTGAAGTCCCAAATGCTGCAAGCTTTCCTCATAAGAGAGCCGCTCCATCCCCTTGATTATTTGGGCCACTCTTTTTTGAACTCGTGGGGCTCTCCTTCCTCGTGCTCAGCACTGCTGTGCCCCCTTTAACAGCATGGGAAGAACTATGGAGAAAGAACTGGAAATTTACAGCCTGTGAAGTATTGAGGGAAAATCTAATCAAGATGTTTTATAGATGGTACTTAAAGGTAAAGGGACCTCTGACCATTAGGTCCAGTCGTGGCTGACTCTGGGGTTGTGGCGCTCATCTCGCTTTATTGGCCAAGGGAGCCGGCGTACAGCTTCCGGGTCATGTGGCCAGCATGGCTAAGCCGCTTCTGGCGAACCAGAGCAGCGCACGGAAACGCCGTTTACCTTCCCGCTGGAGTGGTACCTATTTATCTACTTGCACTTTGACGTGCTTTCGAACTGCTAGGTTGGCAGGAGCAGGGACTGAGCAACAGGAGCTCACCCCGTCGCGGGGATTCGAACCGCCGACCTTCTGATCAGCAAGCCCTAGGCTCTGTGGTTTAACCCACAGCGCCACCCGCATCCCTTAGATGGTACTTAACACCTACCAAAATAGCTAATATGTATAAGACAAAAACAAATCTGTGCTGGAGGTGTGGTAAAACAGAGGGGACACATATACATGTTTGGTGGACCTGTGGAAAAAATCAAAAGCTTCTGGAACACAGTATATGACGAGCTTAAAAAAATGTTTAAGTATAACTTTATGAAAAATACAGAAGCTTTTCTACTAGGGATAACGGACACAGCTATAGCAAGAGAAGATCAGAAACTATTCCTCTATGCCACAGGAGCAGCAAGGATCCAATTGCCAAAAACTGGAAAAAAGGAACTGTGCCAACAAAAAAGGAATGGCAAGATAAAATGTTAGAGTAAATTGAACTGGCTAGATTAAGAGAGGCAATGAGAGATCACACTAGACAAGCGTTTCAAAAACGCTTTGGGGGAAATGCAGAGAACACTTCACAAAACAGTGCCCTAAAATACATACCTGGACTTGTTTCGGTTAATGTCTGCAGGAGACTTTGTGGATATGTAAGTTATAATTAGAAAAATCTCAATAATTATTCATAAAGGAAACAGTTTATAAGAAGTAAATAAGGAGGCCAGGTACAGGATAAAGGAAGTCATTTATTTGGTTGTTTGTATTTTTGTATGTTATGCTTATTGTATGTTATGTTCGCGTTTAATGAGGGTGGATTTCTGTATTGGGGGTGGGGGCTTTATGTTATGTTGTAAATAAAATTTCCAATAATTTTTTTTTTTTTAAAAAAGCACTGCTGTGCCCCTTTTCCTCCGCCAGACGCTGTCCAAATTCTCCCGGCTGGGCCACCTCGTCGCGGTGCTGGGGATCTGCTGCGGAGACGCCGTCAAGTCCATCAGCTCCAAGGCAGCCAAGAGTGTCCACCTCCTCCTGGCGATCGTGCTTGGCCAGAAAAGTAAGAAACGGGCGGTGAAGCCATCCTTGAGCATGTGCAGAGTGTGGGGGGGGCGTAGCTCAGCGGCAGAGCCTCTGCCTCACAAGCAGAAGTTCCCAGGTTCAGTCCCTGCCATCTCCTGCCTGAAATCTTTGGAGAACGGCTGCCAGTCATTGCAGGTGGGTTAGGTTGCGAAGGCAGCAACTCTCACCCAGCGAGCTTCATGGCTAAGCAGGGATTTGCACCCTTGCCCGGTGCTGTAGCCACTACACCGCGCTGCCCTGAAACTGACGGGTGTGTTCTTGTTTTTTAAAATTTCCGGGGTGTGCCAGTTGCGAGGCTGGATGAGAAGAACGTCCACACGGAAGCCATCAAGCGCAAGCACAAGGAGTTCTTGGAATCTTGGAATCCGTCCGTGTTTCTCAAAAACCCCTCCAGAGTTGCAGAGGTAACTGGGAGGACACAACTGGGGGGTGGGCATTATCCCAGGACAAATTTATGTCTGGATATTGCTCACTACAATATCCGTGGCTCCATGAATCCCCTTGGTTACTTTCAGGTTGGGATATTAAGTTTCCCACCATTCTGGCCGTACCGGATGGGGGAAAAAGGCTCACCTCTTAGCTGAGATGGCAAAACTGACATGTTTAATCAGAGAGAAGTCCTTGCTAACGTTTCTTAAAGAATGGAAACCTCTCATGGACTTTTTGCGTGAAAAAGAAATAACAATATCTGGATTCGAGGATATTTCAGGATTTGTTGATAGAAAACGGCTTTGTTGGAAGTGAATATTGTTTTTACATAGCGGACAGATCAATCAGAAATTCTTTCTTTTCTGAGTCTTATTTTTCTATCTTCATCTTTTAAACTCTTTCCTATTTTTTAAAAAAATTATTCCTTTTTCTTTCTCTAGTTCTCTCCCCCCCCCCTTTTTGTGTCCTTACGGTATCTAAAGTCTTTTATCTAAAGTCTTGGTTTGGTTTAAAATAAGGGAAAAGATATTAAGCTTCAATTTTTTCTCTGCAAGCCTTAATAGAATTTATCATCATCAACCTTTATTACGGTCCAGAGGCCCAACAAATCGTTACAATGCAATACATAATTCATACATCCCACCTCCAGGTTAAACAAGCATTTCGTTCAGAATATAAGGATCATTGGTTCTTGCAACCACCGATAAAAACTTGGCCACTGCTAATGTTCTAGCATTTGTCCGGTCTTCTAATAGGAACCTGACATAGTGAGCCTCTGATTTTCCCGGAAAAGGTACCAGCAAGGGTAGTATCAGTTCAGCCCTGGCTTGCTCATATTTTGCACAGTGCAACAAAATATGTTTTATGGAATCGATGTCTTGAGCACACGAGCAAAGTCTGTCCTGGTAGGGAACTCCTCTCAACCTGCCATCCAACACTGCAGAAGGAAAGACGTTTAGTCTGGCTTTGGTGAAAAGCCTTCGATAATTTGGTACTGTCAGGTTTTTAATGTAAGATGTTAACTTAAAGACATGCCCATATTGTACTCCTACTGCCAGCGGACTACAGACTGTGTGTGATTGAGATCGCAAGTCACTGTGTGCATTATCCCATAATCTTTGCTTTAACGTCTTTAGGGCGCCTTCATAACCCAGGTAATACAGTTGGGGGGGGGTGACAGACCAATAGAGGTGGCTTTTTTAGCCATGGTTTTCTGCTAATAGAATTTATTTTAAGAAAATGAAAAAAGCAGGGGGCATCTCTGCACAACCCGCCCCAGTCAACCACACGCCAACAGCATTCCTCCCTCCCTCCCCTTGTGCTCCAGGTCTTTGGCGTCTACTTCAGCCCAAGAGAGAAGACCGATTTCATCCTGACCGCTTTGGATGGCTTGACGGTGCAGTGCACCACCCAGTGCTGCGCCACCACAGAGGGGCTCCTTGCCAGCATGGCGAGGCACTGCGGCGCCGAGATAGAGAAGGTGGGGCAGGTCTGAGGCAGCAGGTGGGCGTCCTGAGGATGCTGATTTGGCAGGTGGGGAGTCCTTGCAGTGGCGTAGCGTTGCTTGCCGGGGCCCGGGGCACGGAGGGTGAACGGAGCTCACAGCACCAGCCCAATCCTCACTGCCACCGCCACCGCAGGAGCAACGCCAGCCCTACGTCGCTTTGCCAAATGCACAGTGCCCCCTAAAAAAATGTGTCTCCCCCTCACACTGTACCCCTGAGTCCTTCCTGCAGCGGGGCTGAGCTTTTCTGAACTTCACAATAGCCACTCCACTGGGTGACTACAACCTACAGAGACCTGCCCATCACTCAAGACTCTGGCTGAAGGTCTTCTCCTTCTCCTTCTTCTCCTCCACCTTCACTTTTTCTCCTCCTTCTCCTTCCTCCTTCTCCTCCTTACTCTGCCTTCCCCCTCTCCTTCTCCTGCATCTCCTTCTTCTTCCTCCTGCCCCATCTCCTTCTCCTCCTTCCTCCTCCTTCCCAATCTCCTCCTCCCTCCTCCTTCCTCCTCTCCATCTTTTCCTTCTTCCTCCTTCCCCATCTACATTTCCTTCTTCTTCCTCCTTCCCCATCTCCTTCACCTCCTCCCTCCTCCTTCCCCCTCTCCTTCTCCTCCATCTTTTCCTTCTTCTTCCTCCTTCCCCATCTCCTCCTCCTTCTTCCTTCTCCTTCCCCCTCTCCTTCTCCTCCATCTTTTCCTTCTTCTTCCTCCTTCCCCATCTCCTCCTCCCTCCTCCTCCTTCTCCCTCTCCTTCTCCTCCTCCCTCCTCCTTCCCCCTCTCCTTCTCCTCCATCTCCTCCTCCTTCTTCTTCCTCCTTCCCCATCTCCTTCTCCTTCTTCCTCCTGCTTCTCCCTCTCCTTCTCCCTCCTCCTTCCCCCTCTCCTTCTCCTCCATCTCCTCCTCCTTCTTCTTCCTCCTTCCCCATCTCCTTCTCCTCCATCTTTTCCTTCTTCTTCCTCTCCTTCTCCTCCTCCCTCCTCCTTCCCCCTCTCCTTCTCCTCCATCTTTTCCTTCTTCTTCCTCCTTCCCCCTCTCCTTCTCCTCCATCTTTTCCTTCTTCTTCCTCCTGCCCCATCTCCTTCTCCTCCTTCCTCCTCCTCCCCCCTCTCCTTCTCCTCCATCTCCTCCTTCTTTCTCCTTCCCCATCTCCCCCTCCTCCTTCCTCCTCCTTCCTGCCCTCCTACCTCCCAACCCCTTTCCCCTTCCAGGTCTCGGACATTGTGGATGGGATCTGCAGCCGCCTGGACCTGATCCACCAGCCCAGCGCAAGGAGGCTGGTGATGAAGCTGGTGGGCTTGCTGGCAGGCAGGACCGAGCACTTGGACACGGTCATCTCCAGCCTCCTGGAGCATTCCTTCCCACCAGACAGGTAACAAGTTCCTCGCGTTTCTCCCTTGAGAACCGAACCCTAGGCAGCAAGTCTCTGTCCACATGGGGAATCCTGGTGCCTCTGGTTTTTAGCATGGGTGGTACTCAGCTAGATGGATCGGTGGTCAGACTGAGAACAAGACAATTTCCTATGTTCATCAGGTGCATCCATAGCTCAGTCCAGGCACCTACTTTGACGAAGGTATTGGGTTCAATCTTCAGGGGCATTTCCAGGTATGGTTTGGTTTCAGATTGGATGTATTGCGTGGCAAGTTCCCGCCCCCCCCCAGGTGGAAATAATGACACATGACACACTTATTAAGGTTAATGGGCTAAAAAAGGCCACAACTTTATTGGTTACAGGGATGAGCGGTATTGGCTTAGGCATTGGTCCTAACCGACTATATCCGACTTCAGCCCGTCCGCTTGAAGTCCAGGAAGGGTTAACCACCAGTAGGGGGAGTCCTGCTGATGCACATCAACTAGAAACTCCCCTGGGGTCACCGATAGGGGGGTTGTCTTAGGCCCTCACCTCCCCAGGCTTCGGACAGGGCCACACACCCCGGAATCCTTTATCGGACTACCCTTCAATATGTGGGGCAGGTGATGGCGTTACCTCCCCATTTTCCATCTACAGGACTGTCCCAATGCCTAACCGCCAATACCCAGAAAGTTGTCACGATTTGCTACGAGGGAGGCGAAAACCAAGTGGCTGGTGCCAATTTGCCAAGTAGAAAAATTCCTACCAGGCCCCTCAACAGCAACCAACCGAGGTCCATAGCAAGGTCAAAGAATGAGAACCTTATAGGACGGGAGGGTGGGATATTTTAGGTGATATTTTAGGGAGCAGGTGGGACCCACTGCTTACATCAGGCATAGGCAAACTCACCCCTCCAGATGTTTTTGGGACTACAACTTCCATCATCCCTGGCCACAGGTCCTGTTAGCTAGGAATGATGGGAGTTGTAGTCCCAAAACATCTGGAGGGCCGAGTTTGCCTATGCCTGACTTAAATCATAGGAGTCGTTTAGTCGTGTCCGACTCTTCGTGACCCCATGGACCAAAGCACGCCAGGCACTCCTGTCTTCCACTGCCTCCCGCATTGCTGGTAGTGCTGGCAAACTCATGCTGGTAGCTTCGAGAATACTGTCCCACCATCTCGTCCTCTGTCGTCCCCTTCTCCTTGTGCCCTCCATCTTTCCCAGCATCAGGGTCTTTTCCAGGGAGTCTTCTCTTCTCATGAGGTGGCCAAAGTATTGGAGCCTCAGCTTCAGGATCTGTCCTTCCAGTGAGCACTTAGGGCTGATTTCCTTAAGAATGGATAGGTTTGATCTTCTTGCAGTCCATGGGACTCTCAAGAGTTTCCTCCAGCACCATAATTCAAAAGCCTACACAACACAAAACACTGCTGCTGTGTGTAGGTTTTATTTTATTTGTTTTTTATCTTATATTTTGGAAATGTAAAGGTAAAGGTAAAGGGACCCCTGACCATCAGGTCCAGTCGTTTCCGACTCTGGGGTTGTGGCGCTCATCTCACTTTACTGGCCGAACAATCCAGCGTACAGTTTCCGGGTCACGTGGCCAGCAGGACGAAGCCACTTCTGGCGAACCAGAGCAGCACACGGAAACACCGTTTACCTTCCCTCCAGAGCGGTACCTATTTATGTATTTGCACTTTGACGTGCTTTTGAACTGCTAGGTTGGCAGGAGCAGGGACCGAGCAACGGGAGCTCACTCCGTCGCGGGGATTCGAACCGCCAACCTTCTGATCGGCAAGTCCTAGGCTCTGTGGTTTAACCCACAGCGCTACCCGCATCCCTTATCACTCTTTATTTAGAAGCATACAAAAAAAAAAAGAAAAGAAAAGCCTACAGAATCTAGCTGCATGCTTGCAGCTTTCTGTCTCTAACAAAAATGAAACTACCTTGCTCACATTCTCAGACAGACTGCTCTCAGCAGCCCCCAGAGAGCACAGATCAAAGGAAAATGCCTGGGTCATGTGACCACTGAACCCCGTGAATACAATTTGTCTTCCAGAGTGCCAGTGTTGTCCAGTGGTAAGAGCCAGTCGAACTCGTAATCTGCAGTGAACAGGAATCACAGCTCCAGAACTCCTGCACACTGCAGCCATCCAAGTGACTTTGGTCTAGTCACACTTCCAATGAAGGAGCTCAGTCCCACAACCTCACGAGGGTGACTGTTGTGCGGACGATGGCTAAGCAGACTCTGAGCTGCTCAGAAAGTTCTTCGCGTGATAATCGGAATCAAATCAAACTACTCCTACTGCTACTACTCTGCTAAGTCTTCTTCTTCTTCTTCTTCTTCTTCTTCTTCTTCTTCTTCTTCTTCTTCTTCTTCCTGGAGTGTTAACTGTCCAGAACCACAACAGGGAGCAAGCTTGTGGTTCTGGACAGTGCACTCCGGAGGAAGAAGAGAAGACAGCTGAGGAGGAGCAGGAGTTTGACTTGATATCCGTTATCACTACCGGAAGGAGATCTCGATTATTAGCGAAGAACTTTCTGACAGTCAGAGCTGCCTCGACAGTGGAACAGTCTCCTCGTGAGGTGAGTGGACTGCGACCTTCATTGAGAAGTGTGATTAGACCAAAGTCACTTAGCATGGCTGCAGGTGGCAGGAGTTCTGGAGCTGTGATTCCTGTTCACTAGCATAAGGAGTTGGACTGGCTCTTAACCACTACACCACACTGGCACTCTGGAAGACATTATGTATTCACTGGGTTTAGTGGTCTGCATTACCCAGGACATCCTTCCTTGCCTCTGTGTCTCTTGGGCTGCTGAGCGCAGTCTGTCTGAGAATGTGAGCCAGGTAGTTTCATGTATATGTTAGAGACAGAAGCTGCAAGCATGCAGCCCGATTCTGTAGGCTTTCCCAAGCTTTTAAAGGAAATACTCCTAGATGTACATGTCGATAAGGGATGCAGGTGGCTCTGTGGTTTAACCCACAGAGCCTAGGACTTGCCGATCAGAAGGTTGGCGGTTCGAATCCCCGCGACAGGGTGAGCTCCCGTTGCTCGGTCCCTGCTCCTGCCAACCTAGCAGTTCAAAAGCACGTCAAAGTGCAAGTAGATAAATAGGTACCACTCTGGAGGGAAGGTAAACGGTGTTTCCGTGTGCTGCTCTGGTTCGCCAGAAGCGGCTTCGTCCTGCTGGCCACGTGACCCGGAAACTGTACGCTGGATTCTTCGGCCAGTAAAGTGAGATGAGCGCCACAACCCCAGAGTCAGTCACGACTGGACCTAATGGTCAGGGGTCCCTTTACCTTTACCTAAATAAAGAGTGATAGATTAGAAGCACTGGTGTCGAGCTGAGTTATCGAAGACACCATACAGACACAGACAAACCCATTTTACGCTGCTTGTGAACTCTGCCACTATCCGACAACTGATAAGAGAGGCGGCGCGTGAGTGGAAGTGTGTGGGCGCCATTGAAGATTGGCAGAGTGCCAATAAATCAGATTTATTGCAGTGCCATTGCAGCAGACTCCATGGGATTTACGACCCACAAACTTTAACACTCCCTCTTCTGTGTGACACCCCTGTAGGTAGTTGAATATGGCTCTCCTATCTCCTCTCAGTCTCCTCTTTCTCAGGCTAAACATACCCAACTCCTTCAACCGTTCCTCATCAGGCTTCGTTTCCAGACCCTTGATCACCTTGGCCGCCCTCCTCTGCCCACCTTCCAGCTTCTCAGCATCCTTCTTAAATTGTGGTGCCCAGAACTGGACACAGGACTCCAGGTTGGGGGTCCGACCAAGGCAGAGCAGAGTGGGACGACAAGACACGTTTCAGAGGCCCTCAGCCATTGATGTTGCTCCATCCTCTTTTGGCCCTTTGCAGCAATTCGTCTGAGTTGTGGCAGTCCCTCTCTACCGAGGAAGTCGTGGAGGAGCAGCTGATGGAGAATTTGCTGGCCAGGCTTCAGGACCACCACAGCACTGAGCTGCAGACCTCCGCAGCCTCTATTGCCGTGAGTCTTGCCATATCTTTGGAGATAACAGAGCTACGGGTCTCTCTGAACATCACCCGCTCTAAAAGGCCATCAATAGTTAAAAGCCAAAGGCCTGGTTAACAAGAAAGGTTTTTCCCTGGCACATAATGCTATATAATGACGGTGCCAGGCAAGCCTCCCTGGGGAGAGTGTTCCATAAGCAGGGAGCCAATACCAAAAAGGCCCCATTCTCGTCTTGCCACCGTCTGAGCTGACCTGGGCAGAATGAAGATTGGGATCTGATTGGCAGATCTCTGGGTGATTGGTAAAAGTTCCCAGTTCCCCATTTTTAAACTAAAGGACTGCCCTCAGTTACACTAAGAATATTAGGCAGCCACCCTCGCTAGATTGCTTTAGATAGCCTGCTGAAAAGGATTTATTTTTCCAGCAAGCCAATCAAGGCATATAATTTTATTACTTACATCTGTTTTTAAATATTTATTAGTTTTGTATTTGCTTTTAATGACAGTGGTTCTGTATATATTTTGTTTAGCTGTGAGTGTTCATTTCTTAAGCTTATTTTATATTTAGTGACAATTTGTGCATTTCAGGGGGTTGGACTAGATGACCCCGGGGGGGTCTCTTGCAACTCTACAGTTCTATGATTCTAACTCAGGAAGCTGCCTGTCAAAGCATTTGTTTATATGTTTGTGTGTGTTTGTTCAATGATGATCTTATACACTGTTTTTCATTGGACTGTGGGTTTTAGTCGTGTTTCATCTCCCGTTTTATTTGCAATCCGATTGGAGAGATTTTTGATCAAGCAGTTTATAAATCAAAATAAATCAATACTACTGAATTGAAGAAAGGGAGGTGGTGGTAACCAGGAGGCACATCTTGTGTGGAAGGACTGGATGTCCCATTTAGTCAAGAAACAGATTCCTGGACTTCTTTAATTGAAGGCGTCGCGTCTTTCCCACCAAGGTCCCTGACACAAGAGAGAATTGTCCTCACGGCCTCCCCACCCACTCTTTTCTCCTGCCTCCCCTTTCAGATCACGCAGGCTCTCTACGAGCTCATCTTGGTGCCTGAATCCAAGTAAACTGGCAAAAATGTATAAATTTAAATCAAACAAGTGCTGGAAATGTAAAGAGAAAGAAGGTTCTTTTTATCATATGTGGTGGTCTTGTAGTAAGGTTAAAGCTTATTGAGAAATGATATATAATGAATTGAAAAGGATGTTCAAAATAACTTTGATTAAAAAAACCAGAAGCTTTCCTTTTGGGAATTATAGGGACAGAACTACCTAAATTGTACAGAAACGTATTCATGTATGCTATTACAGCAGCAAGAATTTTCACTTGCCCCAAAATGGAATAAGCAGAAGTCCCAATAAAGGAAGAGTGGATAAAAAAACACATGGAATATGCAGAGATGGCGAAACTTACCAGAAGGATAAGAAACCAAGATAACAAACTTCTTATAAAAGAATGGAAATTGTTTATTGAATCTTTACAGATAAATTCTAAACAGATAAAAACATGGGCAGGATTAATGTAATAACCTGCAGTTTTATAAGAGTATATATTTAAAGCAGATGGATACATGAGCAAGTTGGGTATGCAGAAGATATTAAAAAATTAAATTAAGCAACTGCAGAAAGAGGGGGAAGGAAGTCAAAGTTTGGAAATGTTAAATTGATTGTAAAATTAATGAAATGTATAAATTTGAAAAATATAAATAAAAAACTACAGTGCCTGCTCGGGTTGCGAATATGATCCGTGCAGGAGGCACGTTCGCAACCCGCAGCGTCCGCAACCTGCAGTGCCGCGTCTGCGCATGTGCGGGTAGCAATTCGGTGCTTCTGTGCATGCACAAAGCACGATTTAGCGCTTCTGCACATGCGCGACCGCCAAAACCCGGAAGTAACCCGTTCCGGTACTTCTGAGTTTTGGCGGGTCCATAACCTGAAAAAATGCAACCTGAAGCGTCTGTAACCTGAGGTATGACTGTATTTTAAAAAGACATGAGAGAATTGTCCTCAAAGCCTCCCCACCCACTGTTTTCTCTCCTCCCCAATCAGATCACTCAGGCTCTCTACGAAGTGATCTCGGTGCCTGAATCTAAAGACACCATCCAGAGACTTTATCCAGACCTTCTGACTGCTCTGCTCATCGAACTCTACTTCAGCAATCAGGCCGAAGCTCTGCCAGATATGAATTTCCTCCGGAAGCAATGTGGTCGTGGGGAAAACCTCGCGAGGTGGGTACCTTGGTTGCCCGGCGAGGGCATTCAGTGTCAGGAGTTCAGCCTACACTCGAGTAGGACCCTGGCAGAGACACATGCCCAACTGGCATGTTCGCTCCCTCCTGGTTGATCGTTCAGGAGCTTCCAAAGCTTTCTTCAGCTGAAAATCACAGTGACCAATGCCAACCAACATCGGCACACTTAGGGATCCGCAGAGTTTGCACAGCTTTGTGTAACAGACCTCAGCAACTCAGCATTTTGGCTAATCTACTTTATTTACGTATAAACACACATGGAGCACTGCAACATGGCTCCCTCTCTCTCTAGCACCAGACAGCAAAGAGAGAAAGAACAAAGGACAATAGTCCCACTTCATGGAACACAGTAACACAAACATCCTGTCTCCGTCACTTCCCACTCTGTGGAGTCAAAACATACACCGTTATGTGAAAGACAACAATCCCATGACTGCAATCATGGAGCAGGAATTCTAACATTCAGATTAGCAAATGTCGCTTTTTAACCTGAAAGGGTTAAAAGAGTATTGGGAAATAATTTATAACAAATTGAAAAAAAAATGTTTAAAAGTACTTTTCCAAAGAAACCCAGAGTCCTTTCTGTTGGGATAATTCAGACTGAAATTCCCAGGTGTCAAAAACAGACTATTTATGTATGCCACTACCACGGCCCATGTTTTGTTAGCCCCAAAATTGAAAACAAGTGAGGTCCCAACCAAAGAAGAATGGCAACTTAAGCTGACAGAATATGCGCAGCTCGCAGACTTAACATATAGAATAAGAGAACAAGAAGAAGATACATTCAGAGAAGACTGGAAAGCATTTATTGACTATATGGGTGGAAATTGTGTATGTTTGAAAATGTGGGCAGCGTTAAGATAAATTCAACAGTGTAAACAAGTTTTGATGGATGTGATAATGGAAATTTAGTTTATGTAAAATATGCAGTGATTTGTGTTATGTAAAACGAACCATGGAAAGAGAAGGAGGGAAGTCATTAATATTTTAAGGTTGCTTAAATGAATATTCTAAAATGCATAATAGAAGAACTTAATAAAAGTTATATATTTTTTAAAAAGATTAAGAAATGTAACCTGGTTAGTCTCTCTGCAGTCTGATAGCTATCCATTTTGTTATAACACAGAGCTGGGCTTTTTCACTGGTAGCCCCATGGTTATGGAACATGCTCCCTGCTGAAATAAGAGAGGCATCCATCTGCATTGGCATACCGCCGGCTTCTGAAGACAGGCTTGCTTACCCAGGCATTGCCTTGATCTCTCAACCCACTCAAGTGTTAAAATATAAGCCAGGCACCTATGTCGCTGGGCACCCACAGTCTGAGGCCTGACCCGGGTCCTCTGCTAGTGGGTGACAAGAAGAGAATGCTAGAACTCGTAAACATCTGTATGTTGGAAAATTCAGGACGGTTAAAAGCACTTGTTCATGCAGCACATAGTTAACTCCCACAGGAGGCAGTGATGACCAACAACCTGGATGACTTTAAAAGGGGATTAGACAAATTCATGGAGGGCTTTGGGGGGCTATTAGCCAGGAAGGCTCTGCTCTGCCCTCCCGCCTTGGAGGCAGCGATGCTTCTGGATCCCCGTTGCTGGAAACCGCAGGAGGGGAGAGCTGCTCTTATGTTCGAATCCTGCTTGCGGGTTTCCCACAGGGATCTGGTTGGCCTCTGTGGGAACAGATTAGATGGGCCATTGGCCAGATCCAGCAAGCCCTTATGTTCTAACATTATTCTGAAAGTGACTTCTCCATTTCTACCCAGACTAATATTACCGTATTTTTCGTTCCATAAGACGTACCTGACCATAAGGCGCACCTAGTTTTTAGAGGAGGAAAACAAGAAAAAATATTCTGAACGAAACAGTGGGTGTATGATTTTTGTGGTTCATGCTGTGGCCACAGACATGTGATCTGATGGTGAATTTGGGGTGACCCAATGCAAAAATCCTGAGGATCCATGTGGATCCGTGCTTTGTAACCACGTTTTTGCACCATTGCAGTCCCAGGAAACAGTGGATGTGTGGTTTTTTTGGTGCAGGCTGTAGCCATGGACATGTTATGTGATCTGATGGTGAATTTGGGGTGACCCAATGTAAAAATCCTGAGGATCCATGGGCTTTTACCTCCCCCGTCCCAGGAAGCCTCCACTAGCGTCCCTTATCTCTCTCCCGATACCACCGATCAGCTGTTTCCTTTCCACACTCCCTTCCCTCTTGTTTGCCTTAGTGTCTTTTCCTTAGCTGGAGCAGTTTTTTGCTCCTCCTTTTCTTCTAATTTCTCTCCTTATTGCATTAATCTTCCTGTCCCCTCCCCCTTTGCAAGTTTGCTGTCTTTACCTCCCCCCTCCCAGGCAGCCTCCTTTATCTCTAGCATCCCTTATTTCTCTCCCCAATTGGCAAACGATCAGTGGCTTTATTTCAACACCCCCTTCCCTCTCTTTCTCAAAAAAAGCATAATCTGCTTTTTGCCGCTGGGCAATTCAACTCCAGGGACCACGCATTCGCTCAGAGGCACAGACATTTCCCCTTACTTTTTAGAAAGAAAAAAAGTGCGTCTTATGGAGTGAAAAATACGGTATTATTATTATCACCATCATCAACAACATTTATGTATTGCTTGCTATGAATTATGTCAAGGCGATTTCACAATGCAATAAAGACATGCACAAAACAATAGCAGGTATAAAAACAGTTAAAACCATTAAGAGGAGCCTGCTGGGTCAGGCCAAATGCCTATCTGGCTGAGCATCCTCATGGCCTGATTCTGCAGAGCTTCACTTATGTCCTTATGTAACCAGGCCATCCTCTTGGCTTAGCTTTTCAGCAGAGGCCCTCAAGTTGCTCCTGATTCGCACTGGCTGCCGCTACGAGGTCACGTTCATGGAGAGGACGCGGGGCTGGAGCATGCTGCAGAGTGCCAGGGAAGTGCTCCAGGGGGCCACGCTGCTGGCAAGGTGAGGGCCCTGCTGTTCCGTCCACTTCGCCCCTGGCCAAGGAGAGGCGCCCGCCGGCTCCCACACTGCCACGCTGGCTCTGCCGTTTCGAAAACCGTCACAGCTCTTCTCCAAGGGAGCCTAGGCCCTGGGCCCAGAAGGCTTCAGGGAATCAGCTCCACCCCCCCCCCCGGGGGCAGTAGATAAGCAAACAAAAGAAAAGGAGTCTTCTTACCAGTTAGAAACTTTAATAATCACAGCGAGAGAACAGGGAGTCTTCTCTTCTCATGAGGTGGCCAAAGTCTTGGAGCCTCAGCTTCAGGATCTGTCCTTCCAGTGAGCACTCAGGGCTGATTTCCTTCGGAATGGATCGGTTTGATCTTCTTGCAGTCCATGGGACTCTCAAGAGTCTCCTCCAGCACCATAATTCAAAAGCATCCATTCTTCGGCGATCAGCCTTCTTTATAGCCCAGCTCTCACTTCCATACATCACTACTGGGAAAACCATAGCTTTAACTATACGGACCTTTGTTGGCAAGGTGATGTCTCTGCTTTTTAAGATGCTATCTAGGTTTGTCATTGCTTTTCTGCCAAGGAGCAGGCGTCTTTTAATTTCGTGACTGCTGTCATCATCTGCAGTGATCATGGAGCCCAAGACAGTAAAATCTCTCACTGCCTCCATTTCTTCCCCTTCTATTTGCCAGGAGGTGATGGGCCCAGTGGCCATGATCTTCACTTTTTTGATGTTGAGCTTCAGACCATTGGCAAGATGGTCTGCTGCAATTTGCATCTTAGTTTCTTCAGGTTTTATCCTTCTTGAACCCACATGGATTCAAACTTAGAAACCAATCAGTTCTTTGGATTAATTAGCAATTTGCCAATGGTTACGTGGAGGAAGAATAACTCAGGCTTGTTAGCTGAATTCTGTTTATCAAAAGGGCCTTGAAGATTAAAGCATTCCCAGAGACAGACCAAATTCTTTGAGTTGTAAATTAGCCAGTTAACCCTCTCACACTGAATCTACGTCCCAGAAACCCAGGTGTCAAAACCACAAATCAGCTAGAAACTTTCTTCCTGTGAAGGGAAAGAGATAACCCCGTTCACACTTTTAAAGTCAGTAATTGAGACCCAGATACGCATTCCCAACATTCTACAGTCTTTGGTTCTCCCAGCATGCTCCTCTTCTACATGAACCAAAGTTTTTAACCTACTGAGATTTCCCAATATCACAACAAGAGGGGAGCTGCATTATTCAGCTGCGGCCGCCTCGCAGGGGTGGCGTCACCCTCCTTCCTTGTAACAACATGGCGCCTTCCCCCTGGTGTCTTCCAGAGCCATGCTGCACTTTGCTTGCCCCGAGACCATGAGAATCTTGGACATGATGTTCTCTCTGCTCAGCAAAGGCAGTAAGAAACTCAAGCCGACCACCATTGCTTTCTTCGTAGAGGTAAGAGATGCTCAGGACAGGTAGAGCGACCACCTGGGACCAGGTGACCTGAGAGGATGCCTTCTCCCATACAGGGCCAGGTGGGGAAACAGAGCCGTCTTTCCTGTTGGGCTTACTGGTGCGTTGCGCCAGGGCGCTGGCTTCTCAGGGGAGCCCCAGCGAATGGGGGAGCTGTGTGGCTTTGCCCTTTCCCTGCATGCCCGCCATCTGTGCCCCATCAACCATATGGCTGGCGGGCGTGCAGCTTGCCTCCCAAGCCTCCACAGAAGTAATAATAATAATATTTTTTTATTTGTACCCCGCCCATCTGGCTGGGTTTCCCCAGCCACTCTGGGCGGCTTCCAACAAATATTAAAAATACATTAAAATGTCACACATTAAAAACTTCCCTAAACAGGGCTGCCTTCAGATGTCTTCTAAATGTCAGGTAGTTGTTCTTCTCTTTGACATCTGACGGGAGGGCATTCCACAGGGAGGGCGCCACTACCGAGAAGGCCCTCTGCCTGGTTCCCTGTAGCTTTTCTTCTCGTAATGAGGGAACCGTCAGAAGGCCCTCGGAGCTGGACCTCAGCGTCCGGGCAGAACGATGGAGGTGGAGACGCTTCTGGGTCTACTGGGCCGAGGCCGTTTAGGGCTTTAAAGTCAACACCAACACTTTGAATTGTGCTCGGAAACGTACTGGGAGCCAATGTAGGTCTTTCAAGACCGGTGTTATGTGGTCTTGGCGGCTGCCCCCAGTCACCAGTCTAGCTGCCACATTCTGGATTAATTGTAGTTTCTAGGTCACCTTCAAAGGTAGTCCCACACAGAGCACATGGCAGCAGTCCCAGCGGGAGATAACTAGAGCATGCACCACTCTGGGGAGACAGTCTGCGGGCAGGGAGGGTCTCATCCTGCGTACCAGATGGAGCTGATAAACAGCTGCCCTGGACACAGAATTGACCTGCGCCTCCATGGACAGCTGTGAGTCCAAAATGACTCCCAGGCTGCGCACCTGGTCCTTCGGGGGCACAGTTACCCCATTCAGGACCAGGAGGAGAGCGATCCCCGCAGAAGCTTAGGATGGAAGCTGTGCCCCAAAGGCCATCGTTCAGGGCTGGAGCATCTTCTTGGCATGCAGAACCTCTCTGGGTTCAATCCCTGGGAAGGGCTGGAAAGATTCTGGTCTGAAACCCTCAGACGCCTTCTCTGAGCCTATCCTACCCGTCCGGTTTGTTGTAGAGACTGAATGAGCAGTGGGAGAACCTCACACACACACCTTGATTTCCCTGGGGAGAGAGGTGGAATAAAAATGCACACGGCATGTGCTTTTAAATTTGCAGTGAGGAGAACGTCACCTAGCAAGTTTGAAGCAAAGGAGAGACTGAACCGTGGTCTTCCTTCCCTCTTCACAGGCAACCCCATTCGGAGTCTGTGTGTTTAAGGGGTTAAAGACATTTTAATTTTTGGAAGCTATTTTGATTCCTCCTGTAAGAAATGCTGTGGGGGCGGGGAAGAGAAAGACTGTATCCTAAGGATGAGCTCAGCTCATCGATTTAAAAGACATTTAAATCGAATGGAATTAAATGTAACGGACTAATGAGTTATCTAAATGGTTAATTATGATGTGAGTCCTTAGTTGATTAAGGACTGTTTAAACAGCAGGCCGGCCTAATGAATTGGTTGAGGATTTATTTATTTTTTAATTTGCTTGCCTCTTTATCCTTCCAATCTTGCACCCATGCATGCAGCTCAGCCAACCTAAGTAAACATGTAATAAAGATATTGTACGGTAAAGGGTTAAGACATGACTTCCCACGTGCATGTTTGCGCTAAAGGCAGGTCCTGGGTCTGAAAAGGTAGAAAACTCCTGCCCTAAACCACCTTGTTATTTTGCACACAATGAGAAGCAGCTGGGAGGAGAGTTCAGGGATAGTTTTTTTAAAAAATAAATAAATAATAATGTTGTAATTTGTGTGCCCTTGTTTCTCAACTTAATCCTTTTACATCGTCTTGCATGACTTGTCGAATTTTATGCATTGTGATTTGCTGCTGTTTTTATCTATTATGGATGAGTAATTCTTTATTGTAATTGATAACTGTCTAATTATTACTAGCTGATGTTTCATTTTAGTGTTTACTGTTGGATTATTGCATATTGCTGTATTTGGTATACGTTGTTTATTTCAAAGTTATTGTGACCTATTTTATGCAGGATCTGATTGTTACTATTAATGTTTGATGTATTCTTATTATTTTTGTGTGCTGGAAGCTGCCCAGAGTAGCTGGGTATAATAATAATAATAATAATAATAATAATAATAATAATAATAAACACACACACACAGCATTTTGGAGACTTAATGCGGACGTTTTTATGGCTGTTGGCCCTGCTCATCTAGGCAAGCTCCATCTCAGGGAAAGAGGTGGTCGCATCCTGCCCGTTCCTCTCTCACGTGGCCGATGGTCCTTTCTTGTTCCTCAGCTTCTCCACTACCAGGAGATTGAGCAGCTGCCGGCGGACCAGATCTTTGAGAGTCTTGAGGAGTGGACCAGGAACCCCAGCCCAGACGTCCGTTCCCTTGGCCTGAGAGCTCTGGGCATCTTAGCCATCCACCCTGATAAGGTGAGGAAGGAGGGGGCAGGGACAACCCCTCTGTTCTCTCACATGAATCATGGGAATTGTGGAGTTGAAAATGTACCATATTTTTCGCTCTATAGGACGCGCCCGACCATAGGACTCACCTTGTTTTAGAGGGGGAGAACAAGAAAAAAAATTCTCCCCCTCTCTGCTCAGCGCCCCTTCAGCGAAGCGGCAGGAGAAACAGAGAAGGGGCGCTGCGCAGAGAGGGGGAGATTTTTTTCCCCTTGTTCTCCCCCTCTAAAACAAGGAGCATTCTGTGCGTTCAAGGTGCGTTCACCCAAAGCCTGCGGAGCGCAGCGGAAACTTGCGCTGCGCTCCGAAGGCTTCAGCGAAAGCAACGCAAAGCCTCCGGAGTGTGGAGGGAGCGCTCCCTCTGGGCTTCGGAGGCTTCGCGTTGCTATCGCTGAAGCCAAGGAGCCTGCATTCGCTCCACAGGATGCACACACATTTCCCCTTAATTTTTGGAGTGGAAAAAGTGCGTCCTATAGAGCGAAAAATACAGTAACCACAGCCTTTCTGTACCAGGCCAGAGAGATATCAAGTGCATGAGATGCCGCCTTCTGCAGGAAGGCTGGTGGCGACAGGTTGAAAGTGCCTTTTCTGCAACGGTGTCCCACCTGCGGAACTCCCTGCCACTGCCTCTTTATCTGCTTTCCATCCACAGTTGAGAATATTGCTCTCTAAACAAGTTTTCTGCTTAGGGCATTGATCCCCAATTATCTTCTTTGTGCTTTGGTCTTTCCCTGCTGTTTTTCTGCTCGACAATTTGTGATCTTGGCGAATGGATCGTGGCCCCTTTCCTGCTTGCTCTCCTTGTCTCGCAAGCCACTTTCAGCAGCTCCATCACGGAGAGGGGAAGCAGGGCATAATTTTAAAAAAGTAAAGGACCCCTCACAGTTAAGTCCAGTCGCGAACGACTCTGGGGTTGTGGCGCTCATCTCGCTTTACTGGCCGAGGGAGCTGGTGTTTAGCCACTCCGCAGACAGTTTTTCCAGGTCATGTGGCCAGCATGACTAAACCGCTTCTGGCGAAACCAGAGCAGCGCACGGAAATGCTGTTTACCTTCCCGCTGGAGCAGTGCTTATTTATCTACTTGCACTTTGTGCTTTCGAACTGCTAGGTTGGCAGGAGCTGGGACCAAGCAACGGGAGCTCACCCTGTCGCAGGGATTCAAACCGCCGACCTTCCACACTCACACTGGTCCTTATTATCCTTCCTCACTCATGCTAGTGAGCTGGTAGCAGAGCACATTCCCCTATATATTGCAGGAAGCAATCTGGTAGATTCGTTTGAATCTCTTGAGTTAAGCAATCCAGTCTGGCGGCTGCTGCTGCTGCTGCTGCTGCTGCTGCTGCTGCTGCTGCTTCTTCTTCTTCTTCTTCTTCTTCTTCTTCTTCTTCTTCTTCTTCTTCTATTAAATTCCCATTTAATCCCTCTTTAAAAGAATAAAGACACAACAGTCTTCTCTTAAAAGTAACAAGAAATTTACTTACATTCAGTTCACAATTCGATCTGGAAAGCAGGCTTTAGCTTGTAGTTACAGAAGAGAGTTTGAGTCCATCCCATATGGTAGGGGTGGCCAACTCTCAAGAGACTGCGATCAACTTTCAGAATTAAAAACTGGCAGTGATCTACCCCCGTTTTGGTGGTGGGTTCAGCTCAAAGTTGTTGAGCCTTTTTTAGGGAAGAGAGGAGCCCCGTTTTTGGGGAAGTTAAAAAAATAACCTTTTGGGGGGGGAAAGTTCTATTGGGGGGTTAAAGGCAAGGGACAAAGGGGTAAAGTCACTAACAAAAAGATTGTTGTGGATCAAAACAGCAGCACAGAGAAATCTCCATCTTCCCTTCCAGAAATCATACAACAATGGAGGGCGGGACGAGGGGGTGGGGCAGGAGTCAGTTTTAGCGACATTAAGGAAAGGGAGCCAGAGATTGACCACGATCTACCAAAACCTCATGGGGATCTACCAGTAGATCACGACCGACCTGTTGGACATCCCTGCCATACGGGAATGAGCCTATGTACTGCTGGCTGAGAGCCAGCAGACAGCAAAAGGAATCAAGATGGAATAAAGCGAGGAAGAAGGGAAGATGGCTGCAGGAACAGCCCTTTTATGGGGTCTCCCAGGGTCATGTCCATCTACCTGGTCACATGTGGGGGGGAGGGTGCTCCAGACCAGGTGTGACAGGAAGTCCTCCTGGCTGGAGCAACATTCCCCTGTGTGTCCACTCTGGGCAAACAAGAAGTGTTGTACTTGTCTGCTACACTGATGACACACCCCACATTATCTAGAGACCCAAGAGTCAGCTTTCTGTCCAGAAGAAGCTTGGGGAAGGGAGTGATGTTCATCTGCTTCCTGTTTGCAGGTGGAGGAGGTCAAGACCCTCATGCCAACGCTCTTGGGCAGCTTGGAAGAGGCAGACGGTGTGGTTGTCGCTGAGGGCATCACGGCCATCCAGAACCTTTTGAAGTTCATGCAGAGGAGCGACATTGTCAGCCTGGCTGAGAAGCTGCTTCCTTTGTTCAGCAACGTAAGAATTTGGGGGAGGTTACTTTCCAATCCGCGGTGTGCCTCCCACCGCCCTGTGACCCCAGAACTCTCCCATCGTGGTCCCATCGTGCCCCCTACTTCTGTTTTCAGGGCTCCCTGTGCCCCCTTCTCCCTCCAATCCCTGGTGGCTTGGCTATGTCCCCTCCATTAGCCCTGAAAATGGAGAGGCTGGATCAGTGCGAGACCCATAAGGTGCGGGAACGTTGTGGGTAACAGGAGAGGATATGTTGATTAATATTATCCTTCCTAACTCGCACTAGCAAGTAGCAGAGTGCATTCCCCTATTACATAGCCGGAAGCTGGTTGCAGACTCGCGTGAGTCTCTTGAAACAATAAGCAGTTCAATCTGGCTTGCCCAGACTGGGATATGTTCCTGGTAATATCCCTTGGATCCTGAAATATACTTGGAGTCAAGAGTAGATTTCATGCTCTTTATTCAGCTCATAGTGGCGAGGAGAAATGGAAGTTCCCCCAAAATATCTGCTTTATATACATTATTTACACAATGGGCTGCACGTGATTGGCTAATTCTGGGATTCTCCTGTAGGCCAATCAGGTTGTGGATTCACTTCCACCTAGAGCTGGATTGGGTGGTTCCTGCAGACCAATCAGACTGCTGCACTGTTCTAGGATCAATCAGACTGCTGCATTTTGGATCCTATTCAACTCAGTACATAACAAAACCCTAAAAGAATAAAGACACAACAGTCTTGTTCATAAGTAACAAAAAGAAGTTTACTCACGATCAGGCAGAGCACAGTGTGATTGATCCCTGAAGGCAGGCTTTAGGCTTAAGGTTGCAAATATGTACAAATAGGTTTACCCCATATGAGAGATAAACCAGGGACTGCTGGCTGAGAGAGCCAGCAGTGCGGTCCAGGTGAAGCAGAAAGCAGGCAGGACGAAAAAGAAGGGAAGATGGCTACATGACTTGGCCTTTTACCAGATCTGGAAAGGTCACACTCACCTACCGGTCACATGCAAAGGAAGGATGCTCCAGCCAGGTGTAACAGGAAGCTTGACTGGCTGGACCAACATCCCCTGCATGTCCACTCTAGCAAAACAAGGAATGTTGTACTTGACTGCCCCAGTGGATTACATCCCGCGTAAAGCCGGGCTGGGGAATGGGTTGAGGGCAAGGGTGGGAAGAGGGCAGAGCTAAACTCCGCCCCTGCTCAAAGATCTGGGCAGTGGGGGTCAAATAATGAGGTTCAGATGGTTGGTCAGTGAGGGTGAAATGTAGGAATTGAAGGCTGGAGACATGGTCAGTGTTATGCACTGAGCTGAATCTTAGCTCAATAGGATCCAGAATGCAGCAGTCTGATTGGTCCGCAGGAGCCACCCAATCCAGCTCCAGGTGGAAGTGAATCAGCAACCTGATTGGCCTGCAGGAGCATCCAATCAGGCTTCTGGAAGAAGTGAATCTGCAACCTGATTGGCCTGCAGGAGCAGCCTGGAATTAGCCAATCATGCGGGGCCCATTGTGTAAATAATGTGTATATATAGCTAGACATTTTGGGAAAAGTTTCATTCATTGCTACTACGAGCTGAATAAAGAGCGTGAAATTTATTAAGCAGTGGGTGAACAAAGCAGACAACACAGAGATTTCTCCAAGTAGTTCTTTATTAGTAAGCTGGAACTGAACTGAACTGAACTCAGCTGGCCTGCTTTTATAGGCAGCCAGCTGTCAACATTGTAACAATAACAGCCCAGGGTTTCCTGCCTAAATTAACTTATGTGGACCTGAGTGAAAACTCTATACACAACACCCCCTGGTGGCCAGGGTGAGAACTTCAACACATAACAAAATTCACACTCGACTCCGGGTACATTTCAGTCAGCAAGGGCTAGGGGCAGTCAGAGTGGCAGGTTTCTCCCTTCTCAAGGCTTGTGGGACCTCCCCATTTGATCAACCCATGCTTTCAGCCAAGCTCTGAAGTTTGAAGACTCACCCACATGAAGCAGCCTCTGTTGCCCACAGGCAGAGGCCAGGACCCGCAATTCCGCCATTGCCCTGTTTGCTGAGCTGCCCAACGTAGTCAAGAAGAAGGAGAAGTACCTCATCCAAGAGCAGGTGACCCAGAGTCTGCTCCCGCTGCTCCTCCACCTGCAAGACGAGGAGCCCGAGGTGGTGAAGGTGAGTCAGGAACAGAGGATGCAGTTGCCTTACCCTGAGTCAGGACCTTGGGTCATAGCTGTCAACCGTCTCTTATTTGGCGGGAAACTCCCTTATCCCAGCGCCGTGTCCCCGCTGCTGTCCCTGCTGTAGTGGTAGACTAGCATAGATGGTCTGATCTGCGGGTTTACTTCAGGCGCTATCTCCACCCCCCTTCCTCCCGCCCCGCCTGATGGAACTGAGAGCTGCAGATGGAGCACGAGAGAAAAGATACAGAACTGCAGCAGCATCTTCGTAGCTTGGACTTTGTTTTGCGCAAAAAGTGGTTGCTGCTTGTAGTTATTTCATTGCAGTGTTTCATCAGCTGGTGTCTTGAGCAGCAACCTCTGGAAACGAAGGGCTAAAAACCGGCGCTGCTCTCCAAAATAATCTGGTCCCTTTTAACTTCGCGCTTCAGCTGGTTGACAAAAATCCCTTATTTTGGCTGCTGATCCCTTATTTCCGAGGCTGCTGGTCCCTTATTTTCAAATCTGTAAGTTGACAGCTATGCCTTGGGTCCATCTAGTTCAGTAATGTCTGCACTGACTGGCAGCAGCTGTCTTAAGATCTCAAACAGGGGACATTCCTAGTCCGACCCGGAGATGCCGTCGAACCTGGAACCTTCTGCATGCCAAGCAGATGCCCTGCCACTGAACCCAACCTTTCCTTGTTCTGAGTTTGCAGAATCCGATTTCCCTGTGCTTCATGGACCAATGTATCGTATTTTTAATATTTTGTTGGAAGCCACCCAGAGTGGCTGGGGAAACCCAGCCCGATGGGCAGGGTATAAATAATAATAATAATAATAAAATTATTTTATTTTATTTTATTATTTTTATTATTTTTAATTTTTATTTTTAATTTTTTTTATTTTATTTTATATTTTATATTTTATATTATTTTATATTTTATATTATTTTATATTTTATATTTTATATTATTTTATATTTTATATTTTATATCTTATATTTTAATTTTATATTTTATATTATTATTATTAATACATATGGAAGGATGCAGGAAGTACTTTTCGACTTCTCCTCCTGGATCTTAATATTACATATGATTTCTATGCTCTCCTACCCCCAAACGATTTTTTAAAAATGTGTGCTCAATTTCCCCCTGGTCACAATTTACAAATTTTAATACAAACTTAAAATGAAATGAGGAAGACAACTTAGGGGACGGAAATGGAGATCAGGATGGTTGTGAGCAGAGGCTGAGGTTGCCAGCTTGGCGGGCGCTGTTGCCATTGACCTGCCCTCTCCCTGACTGACCCTTGTCGCCCCTTTTGACTCCCCACGGCAGGGTTGCCAGGATGCCCTCGCCAGGTGCTTCCGCTTCCTGGGCTGGTCCCTCCCGAAGAAGATTAACAGCAAGAAGGCTTGGCACGACCACCCTCAGATCGCAGAGACCCTCTGCCGGCAAATCGTAAGTCACCAGCCTTTGTCTAGCAACGGCTTGGCAGGGTATGCTTCAAATTTCCCCCCGTGGGGCCAGGTGGGAGACAAGTCAAAAAATGGCAAGTAGCCCCATTTCAAGTTGGGGTTGCATCTCTGCAAATCCCCTCGAGTCTTTCTGGATCCCACAATTTTTGGTATTTGGTTTCTAGGATTCCGGGTTTGGAATCAAATATCTTTGGAGCCGCCTTTTCAAATATTTCGACTGCACGTTCCAGATTTTGTAAAGACTCTCTTGAGTTCACTGAGTCCAGTTTATGCCTCTAAATACCAGTTGCTGGGAATCTCATGGAGGCAAAGGGGTCTTGTGTTCAAATCCTGCTGCCAGGTTTCCCCTTGAGGCTGTCAGTTTGCATTTCCTAGTGCAGAAAGTATTGAACTGATGTGTAGAGACCTTTCCTATTCTACTTAATTCAAGAGGGTTCTGGAACATAGCTGTCAAAGTTTCCCTTTTTTAAAGGAAATTCCCTTATTCCGAATAGGATTCCACGCAAGAAAAGGGAAAAGTTGACAGCTATGTTCTGGAAGCTTCTCTGTGTGAAAGAAACAAGCAGAAGGTTCATGGTTCTAGATTCCGGTAGGTAGCCGTGTTGGTCTGACACAGTCGAAATAAAAAGAAAAATGTCCAGTAGCACCTTAGAGACCAACTAACTTATGTTAAGTGATGAATTAATATGTTTAATTCCATAAGGTGAAGATCTAAGGATGTTAATGTTTAAGTTAAATTTCATAAAAATTGGGATTTGGAAAACCGTTAAAAGGTCATGCAATGAAATTCAACTAAGGGGAAGCGAGGAAGTTACTTAACAAAGTTAATAACTGTAATTTTCAATAAGGCTATGATTTATGTTTGTCTGTTTTGTGTGTTTGTTTGTTTGTTTGTTTGTTTGTTTATAATATTGTGAAAACTAATAAAAAAAATTGGGAAAAAATAGAGAACAACTATGTGCATGCAATCTGATTTCGTGGTATCTGAAGAAGTGTGCATACACACAAAAGCTTATACTGTACCCAGAACAAACTTAGTTGGTCTCTAAGGTGCTACTGGACATTTTATTATTATTATTATTTCAAGGTTCCTGATGTTTGGGTTATTCCTTCCGAGAAGCTGAGTACAGCTGGCTTAAACTGGTTCTGTTATCTCTTTCTGTCAAGGTCATGCTGACTATAATAGTAAGGCCAGAAGAAGCCTAGGTTTCACTTTCTCTTACCTCTTTTCCTTCTGGTGTGATGTTCTATATATAGTGTTAAGGTTTAGATTATAATGTAAGTTTAAGTTAAGTCTGTTGCAACTGGATTTCTTATGGCCAGGGCCAATCCTGAACGTTTTGGATTTGTAACCATTATGCGCATCTGCCTTCAGTAGCAGTAAATCTCTCCCGGATGAAATGCAATTGCCTCTGGTCTGTTTTTTGGGGAATCCTGCAACGTGTTTACGTTTTTACTCTGCTAACTATATGTTGGAGTCATATGTGGTGGGATTGTCCGTTAGTTAATGAATTTTGGAAACAGATTGGTATAGAAATTTCGGGAATTGTGGGCAGGAAGGTGGGAATATCTAAATTAATGATTCTTATTAGTCTGAGTAGCACCGAGTTAAAAACAAAAGAGGAATGTAAATGGGTAAAATTGATGGTAACTGCAGCCGGACAGGTTATAGCGAGTAACTGGAAAAATGCAGAAGAGCTAGGGGTGAACCAATGGAGGAAGAAACCGAATAATATTATAATTTTAGAATAACTGTGAAGATACACAGACTGAAAGGGTTTAAGGTCAGTGAGAAAGAGGAGGATTGGTTTAAGAAGATATTGAATTATTTGGGTAGGTTTGAACAATTTGTGGCAATTAAAATGTTAAAAGTTAAATAAATCTTGTGGATGGAAGAGTGTTAATGCATATAAAATTGTACATATGGCTGATTTGAATATGTTATTATTGATTATGTATACCCAATGTATCAGCTGCCTGGGGGGGGCTTCACTGTTTGTGTTTGGTTGTTGGTAAAAAATAAAATTTTTAATAATAAAAATAAAAGAACTATATGATGGAGTTCTGCTCTGGATCAATAGGAGTAGAATTCCACAACAGAGGCATCATGTCGGTCACTGTGAGGACAGACGGCTGGTCTAGATGGGCCATTGGTCTCATCCAGCAGCCTCTGCCTATGTTCGTAATGTTCCTCTTTGCTTTGCTAGTCCTGGAAGGTCAAGACCATCCCTGCCATCTTGCTCCAATGTCTGGACCACCTTCAGTGCCCACAGGTCTCGATCCGAAGAGCAGCTGCCATCTTTCTTGGTGAGCAAAATAGTGGCCATATTCCTTTATCACCCGGTGCTTCATCGCACTAGTTGGAGGCTGTTGGAGATGTATGGAGCTAACGGATTGGGGTTGAATCCTGACAAGACAGAAGTACTGTTTTGGGGGACGGGGTAGGCGGATGTGGGGGACTCCCTGGTCCTGAATGGGGTAACTGTGCCCCTGAAGGACCGGGTGTGCAGCCTGGGAGTCATTTTGGACTCACCGCTGTCCATGGAGGTGCAAGTCAATTCTGTGTCCAGGGCAGCTGTCTACCAGCTCCATCTGGTACGCAGGATGAGACCCTCCCTGCCCGCAGATTGTCTCACCAGAGTGGTGCATGCTCTGGTTATCTCTCGCTTGGACTACTGCAATGCACTCTACGTGGGGCTACCTTTGAAGGTGACCCAGAAACTACGACTAATCCAGAATGTGGCAGCTAGACTGGTGACTGGGAGTGGCCCCTGAAACCATATAACACCGGTCCTGAAAGACCTACATTGACTCCCAGTACGTTTCCAAGCACAATTCAAAGTGTTGGTGCTGACCTTGAAAGCCCTAAATAACCTCGGTCCAGTATACCAGAAGGAGCGTCTCCTTCCGCATCGTTCTGCCCAGACCCTGAGGTCCAGCACCAAGGGCCTTCTGGCGGTTCCCTCCCTGTGAAAAGTGAGGTTACAGGGAACCAGGCAGAGGGCCTTCTCAGTTGTGGCTCCTTCCCTGTGGAATGCCGTTGTGTTGGATGTGAAGGAAATAAACAACCATCTGACTTTTAGAAGACATCTGAAGGCAGCCCTGTTCAGGGAAGTTTTTAATTTGTGACATTTTAAAGTATTTTTAATCTTTGTTGGAAGCCGCCCAGAGTGGCTGGGGATATCCAGCCGGATGGGCAGGGTATACATATATTATATTATATTATATTATATTATATTATATTATATTATATTATATTAATCTCCTTTTTCCTCTTACCTGATGCTATATACCTGCTGGAACAAAATTAACCATTTAAAATTAAAAGGGAAAATGAGTGAATTGTTTGAAGTCACACAATGAGTCTGTGGTCTAGGCAGGCCTTGGGCTGCCTCTCCTCTCTGTTCTGGCAGTCTTCCTAGTCCCAGCGCAAAGGAGGTGGGATGCTCATGGGAAAGGTGTGACTTACTGAGAGGCTCACGGACTTCCTGTCTTTCAGGTTGTGTTGCCCAGTGTGCAGAGCCAGTTGCGATCACTCAGGAAAAGAAGGACTTGATATTCCTCTGTAAGTAACAGCACCGCGGGACTCAAGTCCCTTTGCATGATGACGACATGAACTCCTAGCTCCAGGGAGACTTACAAATTTAAAAGACCGTCTCTCGCGTGTCTAGTAAAAAAAAGAGAAGGTTCTATGCCGTACATTTTGATTTGATATCATTTACGAATAAGGAGGCACGTGGTCCCTCCAGCTTATGCTGAAGTGCAAAAATACAATCCATAAGATGCCACACACCCATTCTGTTTTATTTGATCTTATTGTATCACATTTTATTCTCACCATGTCTCCGTTCATATGGTGTACGCATGATGATAAGGGAATTAAGATTAACATGAATTCCAAAGCAGATTTAAACCAGGGGGTAGGGTTAGAGTTAACGGTAGGGGTTAAGGTTAGGGGTTAGGGTTAGAGGGTTAGGGTTAGAGATAGAGTTATTGACAGAGTTAGGCTTAAGGTTAGGGTTAGGTTTGTGTCAAGGTTAGGATTATGGTTAGGGTTGGGTTAGGGTTGGGGTTAACAGTAGGGGTTAGGATTAGAGGGTTAGGGTTAGAGTTATGGTTGGGGTTAGGTTTAAGTTTAGGGTTAGGGTTTCAGTTTGTGTCAGGGTTAGGCGAAAGGCCTGGGTTTGGGGTTCGCATTCTCAAATCTTATAAAAATGAAGCAAAACCACAGGAGAGACAAAAAAAGCAAGCAAAACCAATGGCAATTTATGTGGGCTATTTGCAGATTGGTTGCGCTGCAGAGAGCTTGCTTGGGAGACCACACATTACAAGGAATGCAAAATAACTTTAGCTAGGTTTTAATAACAAAAACTCCTTTTACATTAATTATAATAGATCAATAAGCACGACCCATCCACCAACCCAACCACCAGGGGACTGAGGGAGCTAGGTGCTGCTCTTTATATACTATATCCAACAGCTTAATTAATATAGCTTAACAGCACCTGCTATACTGTTTCACAGCTGTAAAACTAGGTCACGTTATTTGCTCTGGCCCTTAAAGGAATAACATCTTGTGGAACAATAATGAACCTTCAAATTTAAAGAGACCATTCAACAATTTAAACCAGGTAGCCATGGGATTTATCTCCCAGGTTCATTCCATTTCTGCCTTTGTCCAAAGCGTGTCCTCCTCTCTCACGGGCCTGGCTTTCTCTCCCTTGCTCCAGCGCTCTCCAAACTACGGCAGGATCATGACCCCTCCGTCCGCCTGACGGCCTTGCAAGCCACCCGGATGGTGCAGGAAGCCTGTGGCGTCTCGGCTGCCGTCTCGCCCCGATTTTCTGGCTCGGAGGGGGAAGACAGCCTCTCCTCTGACCGGGGCCACTGGGACACGCCGGATCCTGCCCTGACACACCGGTGGAACCCAGCTTCCCCCACTTCTCACCGGTTGGTGCCCAGCGCTGCCAGGAAGAGAGGTTTCGGGCCAACCCGGCAGGCCTGATCCTACGCTCCCTTGGGAGGCGCTCAACGTAAGCTCAGGAGACCTGCACACAACTCCCAGTCGAAAAGGCACCGGAGCCACAGATGATGGGAGGGGACCAGAAAGGAAGGAGCGGGAGAAAGGAGGCGGCGGGAGAAGGATGCTCAGCGTGCCTGGATTCGGCCAGCGTCCGCAGCAGGACAGGAACAGGGAACGTTCTGTGGTGCGAACCATCAAGACTTCCTCTTGCATTCCTCCATAGAACCAGGATGGCCGTGCATGGTGAGTGCCCATTAAGGGGAGGAAAGAGTGAAATGGAGCCAGGTATTGATTTATTTTCATTCCGTTTACAATGTTGTAAACTACACTGCCTCCCACTACATTTCCAAGCACAGTTCAAAGTGTTGGTGCTGACCTTTAAAGCCCTAAACTGCCTCGGTCCAGTAGACCTGAAGGAGCGTCTCCACCCCCATCGTTCTGCCCAGACACTGAGGTCCAGCTCCGAGGGCCTTTTGGCGGTTCCCTCGCTGCAAAAAGCAAAGCTACAGGGAACCAGGCAGAGGGCCCTCTGGGTGGTGGCACCCACCCTGTGGAAAGCCCTCCCACCAGATGTTAAGGAAATAATCAACTACCTGACTTTTAGAAGACATCTGAAGGCAGCCCTGTTTATGGAAGTTTTTAATGTTTAATAGGTTATTGTATTTTAATATTCTGTTGGAAGCCGCCCAGAGTGGCTATAGAAACCCAGCCAGATGGGTGGGGGTATAAAAATATTATTATTATTATTATTATTAGCCGCCCTGAGATCTACGGGTATAGGGTGATATACAAATTTAATAAACAGATAAAAGGTTACGATGATGAGAGTACCACCCACTTTGAGAACCATTGCCCTAAACCAACCTTCTCCAACCTGGGAATAATACCTTCTAACATTTCTCAGTTTAAAATAGGGACATCCTATTCCAGGCACGTCCAACAGGTAGATCGCTGGACGGCTGTGGTAGATCATCCCCAAAGAAGCTCAACAACTTTGGCTCCCCTAAAAAAACTCAACATTTTTGCCCTGCACCCCCCCCCCAAAACAGGGCTTTTCTTATAAAAAAGCTCAACAACTCTGACCTGAACCCCCATAAAGGGTGTAGTTCACTGCCAGTTTTTAACTCTATCGCAGTCTCTTGGGAGTTGGCAGCCCTATTTTAATTATTCTAATTATTATTATTACTACTACTACAGTCATACCTCGGGTTACAGATGCTTCAGGTTGTACGTTTTCAAGTTGCGCACCGCGCTGAACCCGGAAGCACCGGAATGGGTTACTTCCGGGTTTCAGCGCTCGTGCATGCGCAAAACACTAAACCGCGCTTTGCGCATGCGCATGCACAGAAGTGCCAAAATGCGACCCACGCGTGCGCAGACTGCGGGTTGTGAACGTGCCTCCCGCACAGATCATGTTCACAACCCAAGCTTCCACTGTATTATTATTATTCCCCACCCATCTGGGTGGCTTCCCACCTATATAAAAACATAATTAAAAAATTTTTTTTTAGAAAACTTCCCTTCAGGTGTCTTCTAAAGGTTGTCTAGTTACTTATCTCCTTGGCTCAGAAGTCACATAACTCCAAACCCTCCAACATTCCTTCGATGAGAATAGGGACATTACTAAGGGAAAGTGGGACATTCCGGGATCAAATCATAAACCTGGAATACAACTCCCATCATCCCTTGCACCATTGGCCAACGAGGACGCCATGTTGGCCACCTCTGAGATAGACGTTTGGTCCGGCCCACTTGGGCTCTCTTTACACTGTGTCACTCCTCCTTGAGGACTGGGAGCTTAGGCCCCAAACCTAAGGAGCCTGTTTCCATGCTCAGCGCTTACAAGAACACAGTGCCCTCTGCCGTAATGGCCGCGACTGATGGAAGTTGTAGTCCAAAACACCTGGAAGTCGCAGAGTTAAGGAAGCCTGTTCTCCGCTAGAATATTAACTAGCTTTTTTTAAAAAATGCAGAGCTGCCCTCTTGTGGCAAATGTGGAAATCAGCCTTACCTGGGAGATGCCAGGGATTGAATCTGACACCTTCTGCACGCAAAGCGGAGGAACCTTTGTCCCTTCAGATCTTGCTGAACTACAACTCCCATCATCCCTGACCACTGCCCATGGGTTGTTGGGAATTGCAGTTCAGTGCCACCTGGAAGGTTGCAAGTTCCCTCCCCCCCTTCAGATATTTGAAGGTGGCTCCCCTATCTTCTCTCAGTCTCCTCTTTCGCAGGCTAAACACACCCAGCTCCTTCAACCGTTCCTCATCAGGCTTGGTTTCCAGATCCTTGATCATCTTGGTCGCCCTCCTCTGCCCACCTTCCAGCTTGTCAACATCCTTCTTAAATTGTGGTGCCCAGAACTGGACACCGTATTCCAGGCAGGGGCGTCTTACCCATAGTTCTGGAGGGTGCCAGGGAAGAGGTGGAGGCTGGACGTGGTGCCTCCCAGCATCAGCCATGGCCAACGCCTCACGAAGCTGCCGGCTGAGCTGGGAGGTGCTGGGAAAGGGGGGTGTAGCGGCGGGAGCTTTGCACCACGGCACCAGATATGCTTAAGATGGCAGAATAGAGCGGGCGGCGCTGTGGGTTAAACCACTGAGCCTCTTGGGCTTGCTGATCAGAACGTCGGTGGTTCGAATCCCCGCAACAGGGTGAGCTCCCGTTGCTCGGTCCCTGCTCCTGCCAACCTAGCAGTTCGAAATCACGTCAAAGTGCAAGTAGATCAATAGGTACTGCTCTGGCGGGAAGGTAAACGGCGTTTCCGTGCGCTGCTCTGGTTCGCCAGAAGCGGCTTAGTCATGCTGGCCACATGACCCGGAAGCTGTACGCCGGCTCCCTCGGCCAGTAAAGTGAGATGAGCGCCGCAACCCCAGAGTCGTCCGCAACTGGACCTAACGCTCAGGGGTCCCTTTACCTTTATGACTTCCCTTGATCTGGACACTTGACTTCTGTTGATGCAGCTTAGAATAACATTAGCTTTGTTTGCTGCTGCATCGCACTGTGGACTCAGTGTTCAGCTTGTGGTCTACTAAGTCCCCCTCAATCCTTTCCACATGTACTACAGTCAAGCCCGTTGTCCACCTTCCCCGTACAGTGGTACCTCAGGTTAAGAACTTAATTTGTTCCGGAGGTCCGTTCTTAACCAGAAACTGTTCTTAACCTGAAGCACCACTTTAGCTAATGGGGCCTCCTGCTGCCGCCGCACCACCGGAGCACAATTTCTGTTCTCATCCTGAAGCAAAGTTCTTAACCTGAGGTACTATTTCTGCGTTAGCGGAGTCTGTAACCTGAAGCGTCTGTAACCTGAAGTGTCTGTAACCCCAAGTACCACTGTATTCAGGCTCCCAGGACCTACTGCTTCCATTCCCCCCCTCTCCTGGCACAGATCAACAACCACAAGAGGGCGTTCTGTCCTTTCTCTCTCTCTCTTTCACCAGGAGCTTTCTGGCTGCAGGAGGACAGAGCCAGTGGTGGAGAAGGCTGCAGGAGAAGCCTCAGTCGAAGGATGCAGATGAGAAACCCAAAATGTGGATGCAAGCCGACGGTTCTTGCTTGCTGAAGAACCCTTACCGTAAGGGCCTTCACACTGCTTGCAAAATGCAACTTCCTGCATCAAGATAGAATTTGCAAGCAATATATAGCAATGTTCTCATGTATATATATTTTTATGCACATATGCCTTGAGGACTTTAAGCCAGTAAATTTGTGTTTTCGGATTTATTTTTTAAAGTCGGTTTGTGTTTCACAAAAGTGGAATGGATTTCTCTGTGTGTGTGTACCTAACTGATTCTCAGGACCTGTTTGTTGAAGTTGGCGTGTGCCTCCAGATTTGCCACTATCTTGCAGAATAATAATAATAATAATAATAATAATTTCAAGTGAATGCCAGAGGTGTGCAATGAAAGTGGATTAAAGCGCTCTATTGTCCTAGTGGAAGAAATCCTCTTTTTTTATTTAAAAAATAAATAGATTTTATCTGGTTGAGGAAGTACACTAGGGAAAAGTGTGGGATTAATGGGGAAACGTATACAAACAAATTGGGGTGAACTGTAGGATGGATTCTCATCCATTAGGGTCATCTAATCAGAGCCCCTTGCAATCACATGTGCTGCGTGTGATTTCTCTAAAAGTTCTGGTGTCCTCGTAGGCTTAGGAGTCCTTGCTGGCCTTGTCCTTGGAAGGACCATGTTCAAATCCCAAAGCTGTGTAGGTTTTCTTTTTTAAAATCCATAGGATCAAGTTGAATATGGCAGCCTTAAATATATGGGTGTGGTGTGGTGTGCCTGCTATCACATTGGAGACATCCCTGTGCCTACAGGAAGCAGGAACAAATCAATCTGGTCAGCCTTTATCCAACCTGGTAGCTTCTAGGCCATGGGTAGGCAAACTAAGGCCCGGGGGCCAGATCCGGCCCATTCCCCTTCTCAATCCGGCCCGTGGACGGTCCGGGAATCAGTGTGTTTTTACATGAGTAGAATGTGTGCTTTTATTTAAAATGCATCTCTGGGTTATTTGTGGGGCACAGGAATTTGTTCATTTTTTCCCCCCCAAAATATAGTCCGGCCCCCCACAAGCTCTGAGGGACAGTGGTCCGGCCCCCTGCTGAAAAAGTTTGCTGACCCCTGTTCTAGGCATTTGGGACTACAACTCCTAGCAATGCCAGCTTCACAGAAATCTCCCGTTCTGAACAGGGACTTGCACGAAATCCAGACCTGGCACCGCAGCCAACGCAAGACAGGACACGATCCTTGTTAATGTATACACCCCATATTTAGTTTTAAGTCTCTATCCTAACTTTCTGCCAAGTTTAGCCCACCTTCCAGAGTTGTTGGTTTTTTTGGAAAACGGGACGAACCAGAGGCTGCCGCCCATGTTTAAATCTCAGCACAATATAGGAAAGAAAAACAAATCCGTTAAGCATGCGGGCGGTTTAAGAGCGGATTTCACAAGCTCACTGAGTAAACGCATTTCACCGTGGGGAGGAGAAAGGATGACTGACGTTCTCAGGCTGGGAAGAACAAATCTTTTATCCTATTGTGGGATTATATTGCCCCATAAAAACGATCTGTTTCTAGCGCTGCAGGAAGTGTTTGGAGATGTTATGAAACCTCCAAGGAAGGGGAGAATTTGGGGGCGGGAAGTCCAAGAGGAAAGACAGCTTTACCTGCTTCAGGGCCGATGCCCAATATCCTGTTGGCATAGAAGTTTTGACTTATCAAGTCCGCTTTCAAGGGAAACAAAAGAAGAATTCATGGAGCTTGCCTTGACAGCCACTGGGGTGAATTTGCCTTGGCTGGTTCCCAGAACAGATAAATCAGGTACCCTAAGCTAATTCACTAGATGCTTTGGATCCCTTCCAGTCGGGATTCAGGCCGCCTCATAGGTCTGAAACTGCCTTGGTTGCACTGGTCGATGATCTCCAGCGGCCTAGGGACAAAGGTGAGAGCTGTTTCCTAGTTCTGCTGGATCTCTCAGCGGCGTTTGATACCATCGACCATAACATCCTTCTGGACCGTCTTGAGGGGCTGGGAGCTGGGGGCACTGTCATACAGTGGTTCCGCTCCTTCCTCCTGGGCCGTGTTCAGAAAGTGGTGTTGGAGGATGAGTGCTCAGACCCCCTGGGCTCTCACTTGTGGGGTGCCTCGCGGTTCTGTCCTCTCCCCCATGCTTTTCAACATCTACATGCAGCTGCTGGGAGAGATCATCAGGGGGTTTGGGCTGGGTGCTCATCAGTATGCGGATGATACCCAGCTCTACCTCTCTTTCAAATCAGAACCAGTGAAGGCGGTGAAAGTCCTGTGTGAGTGTCTGGAGACGGTTGGAGGATGGATGGCTGCTAACAGATTGAGGTTGAATCCTGACAAGACAGAAGTACTGTTTTGGGGGGACAGGAGGGGGCAGGTGTGGGGGACTCCCTGGTCCTGAATGGGGTAACTGTGCCCCTGAAGGACCAGGTGCGCAGCCTGGGAGTCATTCTGGACTCGCAGCTGTCCATGGAGGCACAGGTCAATTGTGTGTCCAGGGCAGCTGTTTATCAGCTCCATCTGGTACGCAGGCTGAGACCCTACCTGCCTGCAGACTGTCTCACCAGAGTGATGCATGCTCTGGTTATCTCTCGCTTGGACTACTGCAATGCGCTCTATGTGGGGCTACGTTTGAAGGTGACCTGGAAACTACAACTAATCCAGAATACGGCAGCTAGACTGGTGACTGGGAGCGGCCGCTGAGACCATATAACACCGGTCTTGAAAGACCTACACTGGCTCCCAGTACGTTTCCAAGCACAATTCAAAGTGTTGGTGCTGACCTTTAAAGCCCTAAACGGCCTCGGCCCAGTATACCTGAAGGAGCGTCTCCACCTCCATCGTTGAGCCCAGACACTGAGGTCCAGCGCCGAGGGCCTTCTGGCGGTTCCTTCGCTGCGAGAAGCCAAGTTATAGGGAACCAGGCAGAGGGCCTTCTCGGTGGTGGTGCCCTTCCTGTGGAACGCCCTCCCACCAGATGTCAAAGAGAAAAATAACTACCGAACTTTTAGAAGACATCTGAAGGCAGCCCTGTTTAGGGAAGCTTTTAATGTTTAATAGGTTATTGAATTTTAGTGTTTTGTTGGAAGCCGCCCAGAGTGGCTGGGGAAACCCAGCCAGATGGGCGGGGCATAAATAATAATTAATAATAATAATAATAATAATTTAAAAAAAAATACTGGATGTGAACCTGTTAAACCTGTAGGACCCAAGAACACATGATATTAGATGAATCGGGTATCCCACACCCTGTCCAATCCTCTTTTGAGACCTCCACTGGATTATCAACCTTAGGCACCAGAACATCTTCCATCGCTCCTAGCGAGCGCTAGTAATTTAATTCTCAGGGTAGGAAACTGATCTGTTTATTGTGTACTGGGGGTGGGGAAGGAGGAATCAATCAAACGTATACTTTTAATATATATAAAAAACCCCTCTTGATAATCTGCGATTTGAAGGCACCCCCACCAGTCCAAATTTCTTTGAAAACAGTGTTTCCTCTCCCCGCATCTTAGATTTCCACCCATCACACACAGGTGTGCCTCAGTTCCAGAAGGGGGGATATAACTGGAATCAGGAAAAGCAAGATTCATCAACCTGGCGCCTGAACTACAACTCCCATCAGCCGCAGCCATGCTGGTAGGATGACCCCTACTGGTTAGAAAAGGTACTGCCCCATTGAGATATCACCTGTACTGTATCTGTGCCGCTGATTTTAGGGAGGCTTAGTCCCAGGTAAGCAAGAATAGGTTTGGAGCTGAAGGCTTTGGATCTCTGTGAAATTTAAAAGGCAGCTCATGTGGCAGGACCTTTTTTAACCAGTAGGGGTCGTTTGCAGCCTAGCGTGGCCCTGGCTGATGGGAGTTGTAGTCCAACACATCTGGAGGGTGCCAGGTTGACGAATAAAAGGTGTGTCTTCTTTTTGCAAAGGATGCACCAAGGATTTCTGCCCTGCGGCATCTCAAGTCCTTCCTGCCTTGGTCCTCCTCCTCATATCATGGACACCCGATTCTTGATGTAAACATGATAGGGGTCGCTTTGCTTGTCCACCTCCTTGCGGGATCTGGTGTAGCCGAGGATCAGGCTCCCGACCGTCGCGGCAAAGAGGATCATCACGAAGAGGATGTAGACGCAAGCGTAGTTGTCCTTCTCCTCCTCCTCCTCGACGGGCTTCGCATCGTGGAGGCAAGCGTGGGAGAGAGTCTGGTTCAGGGCTCGCATCATCGAGTCCAGCTTCTGAAGCCAGGTCTCCGTCCGGTTTCCCAACGCGGAGGCCATCGTCCGATCCCGGGGGGTGCCGTCGCTGCTGCCAAAAACAGAAACAGGAACCGTTTCAGAACAAGCAGACCTCTGAAAGCACATGGGGCGGCCTCATTCGCACTCAGAGCCGGCCCAAGATATTCAGCTGCCCCAGGAAGCACAGGAAATAGAGCGTAGGCACCCTCAGGCACACAGATGTTGTTGTCATTGTTATTATTATTATTATTAATAATAATACAGTGGAACCTTGGTTCTCGAACTTAATCCATTCCGGAAGTCCATTCGACTCCTGGAACGTTTGAAAACTGAGGTGCGGCTTCTGATTAGAATAGGCACCCTGAAAACAATAGCTGACAGCCGCATCAGACGTTCAGCTTCCGAAAAACGTTCAAACACTGGAACACTTACTTTTGAGTTTTTGGCTTTCGGGAGCCAATTTGTTTGTCAACTAAGCCGTTCGAGAACCAAGGTTCCACTGTAATAATAATACAGCAGTACCTCGGGTTACAGACGCTTCAGGTTACAGACTCCGCTAACCCAGAAATATTACTTCAGGTTAAGAACTTTGCTTCAGGATGAGAACAGAAATCGCGCAGTGGCGGCAGTGGGAGGCCCCATTAGCTAAAGTGGTACCTCAGGTTAAGAAAAGTTTCAGGTTTCCAAAAAGAATTAAGTTCTTAACCCGAGGTAGGGTAAAGGTACCCCTGCCCGTACGGGCCAGTCGTGTCCGACTCTAGGGTTGTGCGCCCATCTCACTTAAGAGGCCGGGGGCCAGCGCTGTCCAGAGACACTTCCGGGTCATGTGGCCAGCGTGACGAAGCTGCTCTGGCGAGCCAGCACCAGCACAGCACACAGAAACGCCGTTTACCTTCCCGCCAGAGCAGTACCTATTTATCTACTCGCACTTAAGGGTGCTTTCAAACTGCTAGGTGGGCAGGAGCTGGGACCGAAAGACGGGAGCTCACCCTGTCGCGGGGATTTGAACCGCCGACCATGCAATCGGCAAGCCCTAGGCACTGAGGTTTTACCCACAGTGCCACCCGCGTCCGAGGTACCACTGTAATAATCAATTATCATTATCATTTCAGTTTGTATACTGCCCTTTATCAGATTATCCCAAGGCGGCGTCCAACATTAAAAACACATTACAGAACACCAATGATAAAAACATAATAAAAAGCAGACAGTTGGTTCATCTACTTCAGTACTGACTACACTGGCTGGCAGCAGCTCTCCAAGATTTTAAGGAGTCTCTCCCAACCCTATGTGGCGATGCCTTTGGGGATTGAATTTGGGACCTCTTGCTTGCAAGGCAAGCATTCTTACCATGGAGCTATTGCTCCACCCTCTCCAGTGGTCCATTTAGCTCAGTATTGCCTACACGGACTGGCAGTGGCTCTCCGAGGTTTCTGGCAGCCTTACCTGGAGTTTCCAGGGATTGAACCTGAGGCATGCAAAGCAGCTGCCCTATCACTGAGCTGCTGTCCCACCCTCTCCATTGCTCCAATTACCTCAATAGTGTCTGCACTGGCTGGCAGCAGCTCCCCAGGATTTCAAGCCGGAGTCTCTCCTACCCTGAAACCTTCTGTGTGCATAGCAAGCGCTCTGCTGCAAAGCTACACCATTTCCTGGTTTAAAAAGTAGACCAGGGATGGGGAACCAGTGGAATTTTGCAGGTGAATGCAGCCACATTATTACACAATGCTGGACAGTTACTCATTCACTTCACAATCCCAGCTTCAGAAGCCAGCATGTTAGTAAACAAACCGTAACCATCTCCTTATCTTGACCCTTAAGAGGTTCGCTGGAGAGATTATCATGGCCCAAGATACGGCAGGAGGGGGAAGGGATCTCTCTTCCCATCGGAGCAGCCCCAACCCCATGCCTACTTGTGTGCAAGCAGGAGGGGGCGGGGATCCGCCAGCTGGGAAGGGAGGCTTCCCCTTGCCTAACTGAGAGATCCCTGCCCCCTCCTGCTTGCACACAAGCTCTGATAGGCACCATGAAGCCTCCCTTCTCAGCTTAGTTGCGGGGGTCAGGGAAGGTGGAGGCAGCCCGGAAGCTGCATCTTGGAGCCCCTGCACCACCATCACATGGGGACTTCCGAGCAGCTCCTGAAGCCAGCCAGAGCCAACTCCTCCAGGCTGCTGAGACTGCCGCTGCTGTGTTTCCCGGGGACATTAGATGAAATCTGGGGACATTCCGGGGATGGAATTTGTCCGGGGACTTATTCGCAAATCCGGGGACCGTCCCCGGGAAACCGGGACGTCTGGTAACCCTAGACAGAATCACAGAAGTGTAGAGTTGGAAGGGACTACATGGATCATCATTCTAGTCCAACCCCCTGCAATGCAGGATTATTTTTTGCTCAAGGTGGGGATCGAACCCATGGCCCTGAGATTACGACTCTCACATTCTACCAGCTGAGCTTGTTTTGAACTACAAGACTGATTCCTTTTTGAGGTGGAACCAGCACCCATAACAGGGCCAGTTCCTTTGATCGAAGCAATCAAGAAAGCATATACAATGGTACCTCGGGTTAAGAACTTAATTCGTTCTGGAGGTCTGTTCTTAACCTGAAAGTGTTCTTAACCTGAAGCACCAATTTAGCTAATGGGGCCTCCTGCTGCTGCTGTGCCACCGCTGTGCAATTTCTGTTCTCATCCTGAAGCAAAGTTCTTAACCCAAGGTAGTATTTCTGGGTTAGCGGAGTCTGTAACCTGAAGCGTATGTAACCTGAGGTACCACTGTACTGGGTAAGGCAATCTTGCAAGCAAACTGGTGCCAAGTTGTTAAGGGCTTTGTAAGGTAAAGGTAAAGGACCCCTGGATGGTTAAGTCCAGTCGCAGACCACTCTGGGGTTGCAGTGCTCATCTCGCTTTCTGGCCGAGGGAGCTGGCATTTGTCCACAGACAGCTTTCCGGGTCATGTGGCCAGCAGGACTAAACCGCTTCTGGCGCAGCGGGACACCGTGATGGAAACCAGAGCGCAAGGAAACACCGTTTACCTTCCCGCCACAGCAGTACCTATTTATCTACTTGCAGTTTGACGTGCTTTCGAACTGCTAGGTTGGCAGAAGCTGGGACCAAGCAACGGGAGCTCACCCCATCGTGGGGATTCGAACAGCCGACCTTCTGATCGGCAAGCCCAAGAGGCTTAGTGGTTTAGACCAAAGCCCCACCCGCATCCCTAAGTGCTTTAAAGGTAAAGGTAAAGGACGCCTGACAGTTAAGTCCAGTCGCAGACGACTGGGGTTGCGGCGCTCATCTCGCTTTACAGGCCAAGGGAGCCGGCGTTTGTCCACAGACAGTTCTGCCGGGTCATGTAGCCAGCATGACTAAGCCACTTCTGGCGAAACCAGAGCAGCACAAGGAAATGCCGTTTACCTTCCCGCCACAGTGGTACCTATTTATCTACTTGCACTGGCGTGCTTTTGAACTGCTAGGTTGGCAGGAGCAGGGACAGAGCAACAGGAGCTCACCCTGTCACAGGGATTCAAACCGCTGACCTTCCGATTGGCAAGCCCAAGAGGCTTTGTGGTTTAGACCACAGCGCGACCCGCGTCCTTAAGGGCTTTACCTAAGGGCTTTGTATACTAATAGTAGCACCTTGAACCTGAAAAGGCTCTGGGAAGGACTCCTAACTCCTCAGCCCCTCACTCTCCTTTTACCCCCTCCCTTGAAGTCCCCATATACAGATGTCCTGGGTATCTTGATTGAAAATGCCTCAATCTTCCCTGATCTGATGCAACATCTGTACAGACCCAATTCTGCTTTGCTGCAACAGAAGCTCTGTTGTGCCCACATAATAAGTGACGGGTGGCGTCTACAAACCCTTCAGCTTTTATGCCGCCAGCTGACCTTCAGCTGATCTCCCATGGCCATTGCAAAGAAAGGTAATCAGCAGGATGGTGCCAGTTACGTGCTGGCAGGAAGGCGCAAATCCTTTGCTAGCCAGGCAACAGGACCTGATTCATGCCACTTCGCACGGTTTCCATACTCTCGCTTACAGCGCAATCGTCATTTGCCCTGCAGAGCTCAATGAGATTTACTCCCAGGGAAATGTGTACTGCAACTTCTTTTCTCATTGTCATGCATCCTTCCTGAACCTGAATGTTTTGGACTACAACTCCCAGAAGCCCCCAGCCAGCACTTAATTCCTAGCACAGCCTTTCGCCAACCCGGCACCGTCTACTCTAGACAATCTGAACTATAATTTCCATCTGCCATAGCTAAATAGCCTTCAAATAGCTCCCTATCCTCCTCTCTTGTCTGACTCCCCATCTAAAACAAAGACTAAGAACACGTAACTATTTTTGCACACACTCACTCGTCCTTTGCTGACTTTCTCCTCCTTCCCTTTCTCTCCGCCACTATCAAATTTTTGATTGTAATGCCCTTGGGAGCAGGGACCTATTTTTTCAGCACTGTAGGATTTAGGATAGTACCAAAGCTGATTTGCAGAGATAATTTTTTAAATGAACAATTATTAGGTTTCAAAATTTTATCCACCGCACAATGAGGGCTTGAAACTTTGTATTATTATTACAGTGGTGCCTTGATTCTCAAACGCCTTGGTTCTCAAATGCCGAAAACGCGGAAGTGAGTGTTTCGGTTTTTGAACATTTTTCGGAAGCCAAACATCTGATGTGGCTGTCAGCTATTGTTTCCGGGGCACCTGCACCAATCAGAAGCTGCGTCTTGGTTTTCGAACATTTCAGAAGTCAAACGGACTTCTGGAACGGATTAGGTTTGGTGCTTTTGTTTTTGCTATTTATTTTGCGTTTTTGAGGCTTTTTCGGTTAATTTGTTTTTGTGACTGTGTGGAACCCAGTTCAGCTACTGATTGATTGATTGATTGATTGATTGTGTGACTGCGGAAATGGATAAAAGCCCCCCATCCAGACAATGACTATCAGTGCAGGCAATAATTTTTTAAAAAAATTTTTATCATCTACAATACTGTCTTATTTATTTCATAGTACAGTACATTGATTATTACTTTCATTTTATGGATCAATGATCTTGTTACATAGTAAAATTCATGTTACATTTCTGTTTTAGGGGTTGTTTTTAAAAGTCTGGAACGGATTAATCCCTTTTGCATTACTTTCTATGGGGAAACGCGCCTTGGTTTTGGAACGGACTTCAGGAACGGACTTCAGGAACGAATTAAGTTTGAGAACCAAGGTAGCACTGTATTATTATTTATAATAGAACAGGGGCACACATCTGCAGAATGGCAACGTTCCTGCTAAGTAAGTATAAAGCAGCTCTGCGGTGGAACTAATTCCATCGCAGCTCTGCTTGCTCAAAGATCTTCAAGGGCTTTGCAAACATGAATGAATTATGCTTCATTGCCCTTCTGGAAAAGCAAACAAACATTACCTACATGTGTGGGAATGGTAAACTCAGTCGAGAAAAAGCAGTTTGCTGTGAGGCTGTGCCCCTGTGCTATCATCGCTCTAGCGTTATTATTTTCCTGCCCTGAGAGTTTTCCTTTTTTTTAAGGACCTTGCGAAGTTGGAAAACATTCAGACGGGGAAACCCAAATGATCAGGTGCAACTCCCCAATGAAGAAAGTTTGCAACGTTTGCAGGGCTGCCACACGCCCGGATTATCCCGGACATTTCCGGGATTAGCAAAGGTAAAGGGGTCCCTAACCGTTAGGTCCGATAACTGCAGATGGTGACAGCAGTCACAAAATTAAAAGACGCCTGCTCCTTGGGAGAAAGGCGATGGCAAACCTAGACAACATCTTAAAAAGCAGAGACATCACCTTGCCAACAAAGGTCCGTATAGTAAAAGCCATGGTTTTCCCAGTAGTAATGTATGGAAGTGAGAGCTGGACCATAAAGAAGGCTGATCGCTGAAGAATTGATGCTTTTGAATTCTGGTGCTGGAGGAGACTCTTGAGAGTCCCATGGACTGCAAGAAGATCAAACGTATCCATTCTTAAGGAAATCAGCCCTGAGTGCTCATTGGAAGGACAGATCGTGAAGCTGAGGCTCCAATACTTTGGCCACCTCATGAGAAGAGAAAACTCCCTGGAAAAGACCCTGATGTTGGGAAAGATGGAGGGCACAAGGAGAAGGGGACGACAGAGGACGAGATGGTTGGACACTGTTCTCGAAGCTACAAACATGAGTCTGACCAAACTGCAGGAGGCAGTGGAAGACAGGAGTGCCTGGCGTGCTCTGGTCCATGGGGTCACGAAGAGTCGGACACAACTAAACGACTAAACAACAACAACAACCGTTAGGTCCAGTCGCGGACGACTCTGGGGTTGTGGCGCTCATCTCACTTTACAGGCCGAGGGATCCGGCGTACAGCTTCCGGATCATGTGGCCAGCATGACTAAGCCCCTTCTGGCGAACCAGAGCAGCGCACGGGAGCGCCATTTACCTTCCCACCGGAGTGGTACCTCTTTATCTACTTGCACTTTGACGTGCTTTCAAACTGCTAGGTGGGCAGGAGCAGGGACCGAGCAATGGGAGCTCACCCCGTTGCGGGGATTCGAACCGCCGACCTTCTGATCGGCAAACCCTAGGTTCTGTGCTTTAGACCACAGCACCACCTGTGTCCGGGATTACAAAGGTGGAATTGACGCCCGAGGGAAATTTCCGAAAGGTGGCGCTTTGTCCTGGATCTTAGGTGAGTCAATCGAAAAACAACTCCACAGTTTTCGGTGTGTCCTGGTTTTTACTTTTGGAAAGATGGCAACCCTAAGCCGTTTGGGCCCTTTCAGTTTAGAGAAAAAGCGAAATACAGTGGTACCTCTGGTTAAGAACTTAATTCGTTCCGGAGGTCTGTTCTTAACCTGAAACTGTTCTTAACCTGAAGCACCACTTTAGCTTATGGGGCCTCCTGCTGCTGCCGAGCCGCCGGAGCACAATTTCTGTTCTCATCCTGAAGCAAAGTTCTTAACCCGAGGTACTATTTCTGGGTTAGCGGAGTCTGTAACCTGAAGCGTATGAAACCCGAGGTACCACTGTAGAAGTTGATGAATGCACGGGATGGAGAAAGTGGGGTGTGAATGTTTTTCTTCACTCTGCCCATAGTTAAGCAGAAGGCAGTGACAGCCACCAAATTCTATCATGTCTCCTCTGACTCGCCTTTTTTCTAAACTAAGAAGGCCCAAACACAGCAACCTTTACTTGTAGGGGAGCAGCTCCATCGCCTTGATCATTTGCTTTGTCATTTTACAATACGATAATCTTTATTGTCATTGTCCCATACAGAACAACGAAACTGAAAAAATCTACATCAGACATTCAAAAACCCACAAGCCTGCTATCCCAGCCTGGTTAGCCCCCTAAAAACTCTGATACCCTGTTATGTACTGAGTTGAATAGGATCCAAACTGCAGCAGTCTGATTGGTCCTAGAACAATAGGATCCAAATTGCAGCAGTCTGATTGGTCCTAGAACAATAGGATTCAGAATGCAGCAGTCTGATTGGTCCTAGAACAATGCAGCAGTATGATTGGTTGGTAGGAACCACCCAATCATGCTCCAGATATAAGTGAATCCACAACCTGATTGGATTACAGTAGAATTCCAGAATTAGCCAATCATGTGCAGCCCATTGTGTAAATAATGTATATAAAGCAGATACTTTGAGGGGACTTTCATTCATTCCTCCTCACCACTATGAGCTGAATAAAGAGCATGAAATCACTTTGCGACTCTGAGTATATTTCATACCCCATAATTAAATACAATATACTCCCATAGAGACTACCTTACACTGCGTTTAAAACCAAAATCGCATTTGGATAGAAACTGTTTCTCAGGCGGCTAGTCCTAGTCTTTATAACCTTGTACCTTCTCCCAGAAGGCAGAAGCTGAAAGAGATCATTTCCGGGGTGCGCACTATCCTGCGCTTTCTCTGCAGCTTTCTTATGGCACCTGGAAGCATAGATTTGATCCAAGGTGGGAAGAGTGCGCTCAATTATTCTCTCCGCAGTCTTTACAACCCTGGACAGCATTGTTTTTTTCCTGACCATTCAACTCCCAAATCACACACACAGACCATAATTTAATACACTCTCAACAGTGCACTGGTAAAATGCCACCAACAGGTCCTTTGAGAGATTGTTTTCCCGGAGGATTCTCAGAAAATATAACCTCTGCTGTGCTCTCTTCATCAGGTCTTTGCTGTTTTCTCCCCAGGTTAGGGAGAAACCTCCTCCAACTCTACAATATCCTTTCTGAGATGAGGCGACCAAAAGAGTATGCGGTATTCCAAATGTGGTTGCACTACAGATTTGTACAATGGCATGATGGTTTTGGCAGTACTATGACTCTACATGATTCTATGATTCTATAATATGATTCTATGATTAGCTGAGATTCCTGCGTTGCAGGCGGTTAGACTAGATGACTCATTCCAACTCTACAATTCTTTGACTCGAACCTCCACTGATTCCAGCTGACATATTTGACTTCCTGGTCTTGCTTGGGTGCTGCAGTTCCAGGCACCCTTCCCACCCCTTTTCTGTTTTGTGAAAGCCGCTATTGTTCAGAGAAGGGGAAAGACTGATAAGCCCCTGGCCGAGAGCTCGGTGGTCAACCAAAAAACCGGGCCGTCCACAATTCCATTGTGCCTGCCCGGCTGAGCTTGCCAAACTCCCTTTCTGCAAAAAATGAGGAATGCAAATAAGAAACCACTTCCTTGCTGGCTGCGGGTGCAGGAGAGAAACATGATCCAAGATCCTGCCTCCCCGAGACAATCAGATAGCAGTACCAAGTACGGAGAGTCAGTGTGGTGTAGTGGTTAGAGCACTGGACTAAGGCCTGGGAGACCAGGGTTCGAATTCCCCACTCAGCTCATTGGGTGAGCTTGGGCCAGGCACTCGCTCTCAGCCTAACCTACTTTGCAGCGTTCTTGTTGGGATTAAATGGAGAGGAGGAAAGCCGTTTACGCCAGGCATAGGCAAACTCGGCCCTCCAGCTGTTTGGGAATACAACTCCCATCATCCCTGACCACTGGGCCTGTAAGCTAGGGATGATGGGAGTTGTAGTCCCAAAACATCTGGAGGGCCAGTTTGCCTATGCCTGGTTTACGCCACCTTGAGGAAAAGGTGGAAGAGATATGCAATAAACGAATAACAACTAAGTCCAAGGGGGATATCTGCAAAGACAGGTGGAGGGGCCAGAGGAGGACGAGATTTTGAGGGCTGACTGGCTAGCCTGAAAAGGCTACTTTGCAGCCATGGGGGGTGGGGGAAGAGATATACAACGGTGCATGAATCTGGGTTGGGGGGACAAATTCAATCTTGGTTGTATTTTAATGAGAAACCACCCTATTTGTGCTTCTTGAGTGAGTACGTGAACCAAAACACAGGGGCATCCTTCAAAATCAGAACATCTCTGTATTTTGCACTATAGTTTGTACACGCTTCTGCCTAGGATGGATAGCTCAGCTGGTAGAGCACAGGGCTCTTAACCTCATGGCTGTGGGTTCGAGTCCCATATTGGGTGAAAGATTCCTGCATTGCAGGGGCTGGACTAGATGACACTTGTGGTCCCTTCCAGCTCTGATTCTAAGATTCAACTGGCCGAGGCGTGCAAAAGCCTTGCATTGGGGGGATGTGCATCAAAAGACATATTCTGATCCTAAATATAACATATAAATTGCCACTTCCCAAAAAAACATGCATCGCTGTGCTCTGCAATGGCACAGAGGGTGGTTGGGTGCAATGTCTGGACAGTGCTCTAAAACTGCCATCAAATGTACTCAAACATCCCTGCAAAGAGGCCAAATTTAGGTTTGATGAGGCCCTAAGCTACTGAAGGTAATGGGGCCCTTTATATGTCCAGCTGTCCTTTGTCAACAACAAATTGTCCCTGTTTTTTGTGTTGAGTATATGCTAGATGGTAATTTATGGACCTAATAGGAATCTAAAGCCCATGTTGCCTTGCAACCAGTCCATGCAGAATGCAGGCACCCTATATATTATTGTTGTTTAGTCGTGTCCGACTCTTTGTGACCCCATGGACCAGAGCACGCCAGGCACTCCTGTCTTCCACTGACTCCCGCAGTTTGGTCAAACTCATGCTGGTAGCTTCGAGAACACTGTCCAACCATCTCGTCCCCTGCCGTCCCCTTCTCCTTGTGCCCTCCATTTTTCCCAACATCAGGGTCTTTTCCAGGGAGTCTTCTCTTCTCATGAGGTGGCCAAAGTATTGGAGCCTCAGCTTCACGATCTGTCCTTCCAGTGAGCACTCAGGGCTGATTTCCTTCAGAATGGAGAGGTTTGATCTTCTTGCAGTCCATGGGACTCTCAAGAGTCTCCTCCAGCACCAGAATTCAAAAGCATCAATTCTTCAGCGATCAGCCTTCTTTAGGGTCCAGCTCTCACTTCCACACATCACTACAGGGGAAACCATAGCTATACGGACCTTTGTTGGCAAGGTGATATATCTGCTTTTTAAGATGCTGTCTAGGTTTGTCATTGCTTTTCTCCCAAGAAGCAAGCGTCTTTTAATTTCGTGACCGCTGTCACCAAACCAGTGATATTTTTGGGAGCAGGCGGGGCCCATGACTTACATCATAGGAGCCTACACAACACAAAACACTGTTGCTGGATGTAGGTTTTATTTTATTTTATTTTTATCTTATATTTTGGAAATGTACATCCAGGTTTTTTTCCCTTTAAATTTTTTTGGGGATCCCAAGAGAGTGGGGCCCTAAACTATAGCTTGTTTAGCTTATATGTAAATCCGGCGCTGCCTGCAAAGCATCCCTCCTAGATCACACACCTATGGCAATGTTGAGGCCCATTCAGGTCTGAGGAGCAAGAGGGTTCGGCAAGGCCTCCCTCATTCCACACCCTTCAGTATTTACACTGGGGAATTAGCTGCATATTTCCAAGGACTGCTTGGGCTGTGTGCTTTTACAGATTTGCGCAAACAAAGTTCTCCAGTTTCATGACACCTGCAGCGGGCGTGTGTTATACTCAGAAGCCCGGCACAGCACCTGAAAGCATCATCAGACGCTGTATGTTTTGGCAGGGCAAAACAGAACCGTGCTGTCCCGTCCCCAAAAGGCTGAAAAGCAGCCAGATCCTCGAATGGGGGTCACATCCAGACTGAGTGTGGGAAACCTTAAACCCTCCAGATATCGCTGAACTATAGCTCCCATTGTCTTACACCATAATAATTTTTATTAAAGGTTCTGTTTTACAATTTCAGATAAACATTGTACAGTCATACCTTGGGTGAAATATGCTTCAGGTTGAGCGTTTTCAGGTTACGTTCTGTGGTGACCCGGAAGTAACGGAGTGCGTTTCGCCGCTCACGCATGCGCAGATGCTTAAAAATGACATCATGCGCATGTGCTGAAGTGGCGAGACGCGACCCACGCACGCGCAGAAGCGTGTTACATTCTACTCAGGTTGCGAACGGGGCTCCGGAACAGATCCCGTTCGCATCCAGAGGTACCACTGTACAAACTTTAAAATATCCAATGACTTCCCCCTTCTTCTCTTTCCGTGGTTCGTTTTACATATCTTACATCCCTGCATACTCTACTATAACCATTCAAATCAATTTTCCACTATTACATTCATCAAGAATTATTTACTCTTAACGCTGCCAGCGTTTTCAGCTGTACATAGCTGTTTTCCATATACTCAATAAATGTTTTCCAATCTTCTTTAAACGTATGTTCTCCCTGCTCTCTTATTCTATATGTTAAATTTGCAAATTGTGCATATTCTGTCAACTACAGTTGCCCATCCTCTTGAGTTGGGACCTCGCTCACTTTCCATTTTGAGGCTAACAAAACAGGGGCCGCAGTTGTTGCGTACATAAATAATCTTTTCTGACACCTAGGAATTTCAGTCTGGGTTATCCCCAGCAGAAAGGACTCTAGTTTTCGGGGGGCAGGGAAGTAATTTTAAACATTTTCCCCAGTTCATTATAAATTATTTGCCAATACTCTTTTACCTTTTTACATGTCCACCACATGTGGAAGAATGTTCCCTCTACATTTTTACACTTCCAGCATCCTGGCCACTCTTGCTGGGACTGAACTCCAACCGCCTTTGGAGGGCCACAGAAGAGATTTCTCTTTTCACTTTTACAGTAATATCTCATTTTATTTCAAGATTCAGAGTTACACTCTATCACTCAACAGCTATAATCCCATTTCACAAAACTGGCAACTTCCCGCTCAACCGAAATTACGATTACAGTGGTATCTCAGGTTACAGACGCTTCAGGCTACAGACTCTGCTAACCCAGAAATAGTACCTCAGGTTAAGAACTTTGCTTCAGGATGAGAACAGAAATAGTGCTCCGGCGGCAGCGGGAGGCCCCATTAGCTAAAGTGGTACCTCAGGTTAAGAACAATTTCAGGTTAAGAACAGACCTCCAGAACGAATTAAGTTCCTAACCTGAGGTACCACTATAAAAATAAAACAACAAACCAAACCCCCCCCCAAGGAAAAACACATTTTAAAAGGGCATAGGATGTAAATCAAATCAGCCAAAGGTCTGGTTGAAAAGGAACATTTTTGCCTGGCACCTAAAGGTGTATAATGAAGGCTTCAGGCAAACTTCCCCGGGGAGAGCATTCCACAGGCGGGGAGCCACTGCAGAGAAGGCCCCGTTCTTGTGTTGCCACCCTCCAGACCTCTCGAGGAGGAGGCACACGAATTAAGTTCTTAACCCGAGGTACCACTGTACATGCAATTGCATTTTAAAAATTCCATCACCTCCAGCTTTGTAATAAATGTAGGGGTTGCTCGTGCGCAAGTTGGTGCCACTCCTGGCTAGGTTGCCTTGTTAAACCTTTTCTGTCTGGACAGCCCTGCACTTCGTGGCTGTTCAGTCGCTAGCAGAATCCGTCAGTGGGCGTTTCTTAAACCTTTTCCAGCATAAAAGTTGTTTGACTCCAAGTCTCCTCCTACTCTCCCTGCGCAGAAGCCTTCTGCGCAGGGAGGGCGTGGGTAGCGGAGGACCCGTGCTCTCCTCGCTGATCTCCGGCGAGGAGTCCTGGAGCCCCCTCGCCGATTCCCCCATCTGCCCCCCTTTATCCCTGGTGTTACGCTGATTTCTTTCCCCAGCTGGTGAGCCGCCTCTCCCCCTGCTGGGCCCTTCTCCAGCATCGCTTGAGAGCCTAGCCTCCGCCTCTGGCTCCGATGTCAGTTCCCTGACAAGCTTCATCCTTTTTAACAAATTTCTTACCGTGTTCTGCGTTGCTGACTCCAACTGTGGAGGCAGAGTATGGTCAGAGTGGCCATTAGCGAGCCTGCAAGTCTGTCTACGTTGGGCATGTGGATCATTTGGCCCTCTAGATGTGGCTGAACTACAACTCCCATCAGCCCCAGCAAGGATGGTCAGGGACAATGGGAGTTTAGTTAAGTAACAGGAGGAGGGCCCAAACATCAGGAAGATCTTTCTGACAGCAGCAGCTGTTTGACGGTGGCACCGTCTCCCTTGGGAGGCGGTGAACTCTCATTCCTTGGAGGTTTTTAAACAGAGGTTGGATGGCCACCTGTCTTGGATGATTTAGTTGAGATTCCTGCATTGCAGGGGGTTGGACTAGACAACCCTGGGTGTCCCTCCCGCCTCTACAATTCTATGATTCTACGACCTGAGCACAATAGCGATCTCCTCTCTAAGAATGTCCTCTGAGGAAGAATGGCAGATGAGAATCACGGAATTCGCAGAGATGGCAAAACTGATGGTGCAGATGAGAGACCCAAGTTTAGAATCTTTTGAGGAGGACTGGAAACTTTCTCCGGTCTTCTAAATAAAGTAACTTCTCATATGCAAAGTCCACAGCGGGGTTGACATGGCTAGCAGCCGGAACCAGAATCCTAGTAAATATACAGTGGTACCTCGGGTTAAGAACTTAATTCGTTCCGGAGGTCCGTTCTTAACCTGAAACTGTTCTTAACCTGAGGTACCACTTTAGCTAATGGGGCCTTGCGCCGCCGCCGTGCAATTTCTGTTCTCATCCTGAAGCAAAGTTCTTAACCCGAGGTACTATTTCTGGGTTAGCGGAGTCTGTAGCCTGAAGCGTCTGTAACCTGAAGCATCTGTAATCCAAGGTACCACTGTATAAGGAACTGTTTGCCCGCTGAACCGTTCTGTGTTAACACAAAAGCTTGCACATGATCCACAATCCTTCGGCTGCCTAGGGAAAGTGTGGCAGGGTCCAGGGATTGGTGGACTTGGGCGCCATTGTGCTTTTGACAAAGGCACAAAACCCCTGAGATCGCAAAGGTGTGTTGTGGCATCGAAAACACGGCTTAATTTGAGCCGAGAGGCAATTGGCAGCCTGCAATAGAGGTGGGGACCCTGCCGACCAGGTTTCAAAGGTAGCCTTCGAAGGCCTCCTTCCTGGCCCTGTGGACTCTTCCCCCAGGCCAAATCTCTCACTAGTCCCGTCTCACGACCTCCTCACACAATTTCAATTACCTGGAAAACGTTCTTGAACCGTGAAGGTGCCTTTTGCTTGCCGGAATGGAAGATACAGAGATTTGTGTCGGTAGAAACCTCTGCTTTTCGTGTAGCTGGAATGCAAGGTGAAGAGTCAAATCCATTGCTCCGCCCCCTTTTGCGTTTGCCACGCCCACTGCATGAGGGCCCCCAGAAACTTGCCCATGGGGGATTGTGGCCCTCAGACTGGAAAGAAAAAGATTCCTCTCCCTGGGTGTGTTCCCCCAATGCCAGTGTGGAACACAGAACGTAATAATAATTTGCTTTCTGAGCATGTGCAGAGTGCTTTTGCCCCAGGAATCACAATCGGCCTGCAAATACCTGGATTTGAGATGGGAATTCCCAGCAGAAGTTTCTTCTGCTACCAACCAGCCTGCCTTTTTGTATTAGACGTTTCATCAAGGGCCTTTCATACAATGATAATTCGCAATTCTATATTGTTCCAGGGGTGCCATTTGATCACAAAAGTCATCAAATCCAGTGTGGAAGGAAAACAGCAGCTGGAACTCTAATCCACAAACAGATACACACAGGGCCGGATTTAGGTTTGATGAGGCCCTAAGCCAGGGGTCAGCAAACTTTTTCAGCAGGGGGCCGGTCCACTGTCCCTCAGACCTTGCGGGGGGCTGAACTATATGGCGGGGGGAATGAACAAATTCCTCTGCCCCACAAATAACCCAGAGATGCATTTTAAACAAAAGCACACATTCTACTCATGTAAAAACATGCTGATTCCCGGCCGGATTGAGAAGGCAATTGGGCCGGATCCGGCCCCTGGGCCTTAGTTTGCCTACCTATCCCCTAAGCTACTGAAGGTGATGGGTCCCTTTATATGTCCAGCTGTCCTTTGTCAACAACAAATTGTCACTGTTTTTTGTGTTGGATATATGCCATATGGTAATTTATGGACCTAATAGGTATCCAATGCCATTTGCACATAACAAATAGGAACCCTACACAACACAGAACACTGTTGCTGCATGTAGGTTTTATTTTATTTGCTTTTTAGCTTATATTTTGGAAATGTACATCCAGATTTTTTTTCTTTAATTTTTTGGGGGCCCTCAAGAGAGTGGGGCCCAAAGCTATAGCTTGTTTGGCTTATATGTAAATCCGGCACTGGATACTCAGCCTTCATCGGAGGGTTTGCAGAACAGAAAAGGATGCACAGCCAATGAAAGGGTCAGAGCATGGGTAGGCAAACTAAGGCCAGGGGGCTGGATCCGGCCCAATCGCCTTCTCAATCCGGCCCGCGGACAGTCTGGGAATCAGCGTGTTTTTACATGAGTAGAATGTGTCCTTTTATTTAAAATGCATCTCTGGGTTATTTGTGGGCCACAGGAATTCGTTCACCACCCCAAAAAAAATATAGTCCAGCCCCCCACAAGGTCTGAGGGACAGTGGACCAGCCCCCTGCTGAAAAAGTTTGCTGACCCCTGATCCAAAAGCTATTCATCAGGAAATAAGGATTTGTTTTAAGTTTTTCATGTGTGCTAAAACCCAGTCTAAGTTTTTTAATTTATTACTGTTTAACCACCTCAGTTAACAAACATGGATGCATATGCCATCATGTTACTGTTTCAGTTAAATAAATGGTTTAGTTATTCAGGAAACGATTGTTTTGTCTCCTTCCGATAAAGTACAGCGGAAAAGTTGTCCAAATATAAACAGTTAACTTATTAAACATCACCATAATTTCATAATGATCGGTCTATGTTTTTCTGATCGTATAACCAAACCAGTCACTGTAAAAACTACTCTGAAAATTTAGTATTCGGAAAAAAGGAAACCTTCATCTGGTTGTAAATATTAAGATGATACTAGCAAGAACGAGTGTGTAAAAAAAATAAATGATCTAAATCAAGGCTTACTGACTAGCAATTTAAATCGTGCAGCTAACCAAAGGGTCAGAAAATCAGATGGAGAATTTGGAGCACTGTCTGAGCTTGATCAAGACTGCCCAAAAGGAGGGTGGCATCAATTCATAGAATCGTAGAATTGTAGATACGCAAGAAAACCCCAAAGGTCATCTAGCATGTTCGGGCGGCACCCTCTCCTTTGTAAGGAGCTGCCTTGGCCGGATTGGGACCCAAACCCAGCCTCCCCTGTCCCCAGAGAAGTTTGCAAGAAAGCAGGGTAGATAAAAAAAAAATCAATGGTTTTTAAAATATATATACCGTATATATAAAATTGGATTTTTAAAAATTTAAATCAGATTTTTTAAAATTTAAATTGGACTTTTAAAATAAAATTCTTTTGGAGGAAAAAACTTTCTCAAGATAGTTTTTTACTTGAGTTACATTATAGTCCAAAGGCTGTAATATAAGGAAATAAGGATTTGTTTTACGTTTCTCATGTGTGCTAAAACTCAGTCTAAGTTGTTGTTTTTTAATTGTTTAACCACATCAGTTAACAAACATGGATGCATATGCTATCATATTACTGTTTCAGTTAAATAAATTGTTTAGTTACTCAGGAAACGATTGCTTTTCTCCTTCCGATAAAGTACAGCGGAAAAGTTGTCCAAATATAAAGAATTAACTTATTAAACTTATTAAATCAGGCTGCCCCAAAGGAGGGTGGCATCAATTCATAGCATCTTAGAAATGTAGATACGCAAGGGAACCCCAAAGGTCATCTAGCTCAACCCCCCTGCAATGCGGGCATCACAGCTCAAGAATCCCTTGACACGTGTCCAGGAGGCAGCTCCATCAATTTGGGGCTGTTGGGGCTTTCTAAGAAGATGAGGTTGGGCTCCGACGCGCGAGAAGAGTCAACACGTGTCTGCATGTTCTGGGAGGGTGCACCCTCTCCTTCGTAAGGAGCTGCCTCGGCCGGATCGGGACCCAAACCCGCGATCCGCGTGTCCCCAGAGAAGCGCTTTCACACGAGGCAGCGGATCGCGTGTCCCAGCCAGCGCTTCGCCACAGGTGGGGAGAGGCAAACGGTTCGGGCGCTGAATCCGGGGCTGATGGTGATCCTCCCCGCGCCCGGCCTCAGTTTCCCCTGCGCGCTGCACCGGACTCACCTCCACCTGCTGCTGCTGCTGCTGCTCCAGAGGCGCCGGCTCACTCGCCTGCGGGATTCTGCGGCGGAGCGTCTCCCGGCAGCAGCCGCCTTGGGCGAGGCGAAGCCGGCCCTCCCCTTGGGCAGGGGCCGTCCCTCCCTACCTCCCTGGCAGGCAGCCCAAGCCGAGGCCGCCACCTGATCCTGGAGACAGCCCTTTCCTGGGCAGAAATCCAACAGGTGGGAAGTTAAATTAATTGGAAACAGCTTGCAGATACTGAATTGGCTTAGGATTTTAGATAAGTTAAGTGATGAATTCATATGTTTAATTTCAAAATGAAAAGGCTTAAGGATGTTAATGTTCAAGTTAAAATTTTGTAAGAACTGTGATTTGGAAAACCTTAAAAAGATATGCATTGAAATTCAACCAAGGGGAAGTGAGGAAGTCACTTAACAATGTTAATAAGTGGAATTTTTAATAAGGTTATGATTTATGTTTGTTTGTTTATAATTTTGTGAAAATCAATAAAAAAAATTGGAATAAGAAGTCCAACAGGTGGGGCTTCACCTGTTGAACTTTTGCCTGCCGTGCGCTGCAAAACGGCAACAACAAACCTATGGTTACGTGAAACATAATAAACACACAAGACGTAACCGGCTGTACTTTTGAATAAATAAGGTATACCATTCATTGTATCAGATTGTAGATTTCAACGGAAGTCTCATAAAGTTCAAGGAAAAAAGCAGAAGACGCAGTGGATCAGTTCGTTCTCTAGTCAGTTCATGCATAAGGTCCATACATGTATACAGGTATCTATTCCACCTGTCTGTTCAAAGAGTCCAATCATGCACAGGGTTTTTACAGTTCCACAGAATCCTTTCACAGAGTCTAAGACAAGGATTTCCAGAATATTCGCCTTGTTTCGCCATCCTAGGCTTCATCAGTAGAACAGGCTGTAGGTAATGCAAAGAAATGCAATATCGTAATCTCACAGCGCAGGAGAGATCTGCCGCTTGCATGTGTTTTCAGGACCCCATAGAGTCTGCGGCACATGAAAAACAACAGCAAAAACTCTTATTCATGCTTACCTGGAGGTAAGTCCAGTGCTTTCTTTTTCTACATATCTAAAAAAATGTTTAGTGGTACTGTACTCTGATTTTGACTCAAGAAAACCACCATTGTATAGTTCAGATTGGGGGAAATGAATACAGTAAATGGACAAAAGTACAAAGATTCACAAAATGTTTAGGGATATGTGCCGCGCCGGATTTATGTATAAGCTAAACAAGCTATAGCTTGGGGCCCCACTCAGTTAAAATCGTTAGTTAGATTGGAATATCTCTTGTAGTTTAAGATTAATTCTGGACATGACAGAAGAGGTAAAAGGTTTGGATGATCATAAAAGATGCCGGAGTCATTGATTAATGATAGGACCTACACAGGGGAGGGTGGAAGTCCAGGAGATTCTTTGGAATCCTGTTTCTTGTTTCTATGATTTGTGTTTGATATATCTCTGTAAAATTTTAAGTTGAAAAACCAAAGAAATAAATTAGAGAGAGAGAGTGCACAGTGCATAGTTAAACTGTGGAACTCCCTGCTGCAGCACCAACTTGGGTGGCTTTAAAAGAGGATTAGACCATACAATTGTATGGGGAAAATACGGACTAACAGATACAACTTTGCTTAAAATGTATATAGGAAGTGCAGTGTAAGCGATGGAAGTCAATTAATGAAATTTTATTATTGAGATATCTGTAGAATAAATTTGGAATAAAGTCTTCCAACTTTTCTTCTTCTTCTTTTTCTTCTTTTTCTCCTTTTTTTTCCTTTTCCTTTTCTTCCTTTCTTCCTTTTTTGTTCTTTTTATATATGTGTGCTTATCTGAAATATACATGTATGTATGTATTTGCAATATTTTGCTTATATTTTGTAATATGTTAATTTTTAAAAAATAAATAAATAAACATTTTCCAATCTTCTCTAAAAAAATAAAAAAGAGGATTAGACAAACTCCAGGAGGAGAATTCTGCCAACGATGGCTCTGTTCTGCCCTCCACAGTCGGAGGCAGCGATACTTCGGAATCCCAGTTGCTAGAAATCCACAGGGAGACGATTGCTCTGGTGCCAGAATCCTGCTTGCTGGTTTTCCACAGAAAACTGTTCAGCCGCTGTGAGATCAGGATGCTGGAGTAGACGAGCCACTGGCCTGATCCGGCAGGCTCTTCTGATATTACGATACGATACAATATGATACGATAATCTTTATTGTCATTGTCCCATACAGAACAACGAAATTGAAAAAATCTACATCAGACATTCAAAACCAACAAGCCTGCTATCCCAGCTATCCCAGCCTGGTTAGCCCCCTAAAAACTCTGATACCCCATAATTAAATACAATATACTCCCACAGAGACTACCTTACACTGCGTTTAAAACCAAAATCGCATTTGGATAGAAACTGTTTCTCAGGCGGCTAGTCCTGGTCTTTATAACCCTGGACCTTCTTCCAGAAGGCAGAAGCTGAAAGAGATCATTTCCGGGGTGCGCACTATCCTGCGCTATCTCTGCAGCTTTCTTATGGCACCTGGAAGCGTAGCCAAGGTGGGAAGAGTGCGCTCAGTTATTCTCTCTGCAGTCTTTACAACCCTGGATAGCATTGTTTTTTCCCTGGCCGTGCAGCTCCCAAACCACACACACAGACCAAAAGTTAATACACTCTCCACAGTCCAATGGTAACATGCCATCAACAGGTCCTTTGAGAGATTGTTCTCATACTTTGCAATGTGCTTCTGGTCTCACTCCTGTTTGCCCCACATCAGGGTCTGTATCAGGCCTGCCCTGCGGTGGTGAGCATGGCGGTTGAGTGAACGTCCGAGTTTCACTTGATTGACATTCATGCAGACATGTCCTAAGCCACTGCCTCAGTCCTTGTTTTATTTTTTCCTCCTGCAAGATGGCAGGGCTAAATTACTGCCTGGATTTATGAGTTAAATCTGCAGTTGCGGTGCATATTTCGGGCTACATACCTGGGACGACTTACGCAATTGTGGGGCATGTCTCAGCTGCGCTGGAAGGTCCTGACCTCATCTTCCCTCTGAACAGGAGCAGCCGCTCCCGTTCCTAGAAGCCATAAATGTGGCGCAATGGCAAGGATGGGTTATTTTGCAGTGGAGCAAAGGTTGAGAGACTCCTGGCTGTTTCGCTAAGCAACAATAGTGGTGCATCTCCATGCTCAGAAACCACTAGCTCCGCTAGCTGAGAAAAATGGGGTTGATAAATGAAAGTGATTTGAGGTTGAGTTAAGTTAGACCGAAAGCAGGAACCCCTGCAAGCTGTTTGGGGGTGCCTAGCCAGATCGGAGACATATGGTCCAATCCCAGATTTACGTAAAAGCTAAACAAACTATAGTTTAGGGCCGCACTCTCTTGGGGGCCCCCAAAAAATTTAAAGGGGGAAAAATGGATGTACATTTCCAAAATGTAAGATAAAAAACAAATAAAATCAAACCAACATACAGCAGCTATGGGATGCGGGTGGCGCTGTGGGTTAAACCACAGAGCCTAGGGCTTGCCAATCAGAAGGTCGGCGGTTCGAATCCCTGCGACGAGGTGAGCTCCCATTGCTCGGTCCCTGCTCCTGCCCACCTAGCAGTTCAAAAGCACGTCAGAGTGCAAGTAGATAAATAGGTACCACTCCGGCGGGAAGGTAAACAGCGTTTCTGTGTGCTGCTCTGGTTCACCAGAAGTGGCTTAGTCATGCTGGCCACATGACCCAGAAAAACTGTCTGTGGACAAACGTCGGCTCCCTCGGCCAGTAAAGCGAGATGAGTGCCGCAACCCTAGAGTCATCCACGACTGGACCTAATGGTCAGGGGTACCTTTACCTTTACCTACAGCAACAGTGTTTTGTGTTGTCTAGGCTCCTGTGATGTAAGTAATGGGCCCCACCTGCTAGCCTGCTCCCAAAAATATCACTGGTTCGCTCCTTTCTATATATAGGGTGCTTACATTCTGCATGCACTAGATGCATGGCAACATGTGCAAATGGCATGAGATACCTATTAGGTCCATAAACTACCATATAGCATATATTCAACAACAAAAAACAACAGGGTCAATTTGTTGTTGACAAAGGACAGCTGGACATAGAAAGGGCCCCGTTACCTTCAGTAGCTTAGGGCCTCATCAAACCTAAATCTGGCCCTACATGCATATTTAGAATCATTGAATTGTAAAGTTGGAAGGGACACCAACCCCCTGCAAGGCAGGAATTTACTTGGCAGTAAAGCCCACTTTTTTCAAAGATGCTTACCTCCAGGTAACTGCACAGGATGAGGAACACGGGTGGCGCTGTGGTCTAAACCACTGAGCCTTGGGCTTGCCGATCGGAAGGTCAGTGGTTCGTATCCCTGTGAGAGGGTGAGCTCCCATTGCTCAGTCCCAGCTCCTGCCAACCTAGCAGTTCAAAAGCATGCCAGGGCAAGTCCCAGCTCCTGCCAACCTAGCAGTTCAAAAGCATGCCAGGGCAAAGGGAAGGTAAAAAAACAAAAAAATGTGCACAGGATTGTAGCGCCCATGGAGGCAAACCGGGACAAACCTCAGGCATCTTCTGAAAGATCTGCTGTTTATAGACAGGCCTTCACAATGAGTTTCTATTTTTTAACCAACTCGTAAAGATTTTCGTTATGTTTTATGGGTATTTGTATGAACTGATTATATGGCCACGCTGCAAGCCACAGCGATACACTTTATAAAATTGTGGATCAATTATATTTAAATAAATGATGCTACTCTTTACTCAGGGACCCCTTGCAATTTGCTTGGATTTTCGCCCACATTCCTGTGGGAAATTGATGATAAGCCTTAATGCCACTAACTCAAGAATCCCCAACTTTCTCTCAACAGAAGAAGCCTCAAGGAAACACAATTGCTGAAAGCTTTAAAAAGAACTCCATAAAAAACAAAACCACCCCCACCATTGTACTCTTCTAAGCAAGCCACTGGCTATATGCCATGATTCTCTGGCCAAGCCTGACCTGGTATTAAAAAAACCCAAACCCATATAATTCATTTAATAAATAACGTCAGATAAATCAAAGTGTCAAATGGTAGAGATGGGAAGGGCAGAAAGAGAGCATTCTTCACTGGAACGACATTTAGTTCCATTTAAGGAGCAGAGGTGAAAGGGAAAGCTTTTTTAATCGGGGTTTTTGAACAAATGTTGACTTTGGACCTCTTCACCTCCACCTTAATTCTTGTACACACATATTTTAACAATCACCTTCTGATTGAGAAGCGATGCTCTAACATTCACAAGCTAGCAAGGTTTTTGCAGAGCTGAAACCTGTGAAGTTATAAAGGTTTGTAGCGATTCTTCCACATTTTTAAAAATATTTGTTTTAGACCCTTCAGAAAAGCCCACTGTGAACTGTTTGCAAGGCACCTTGAGCATCACTTGCCTTCATAGCAATCTTCATGGCGATCCACGTTCCCGGCCATCTCCAGTGAGGTGTCCAGTGGCGTTTGCTGCAAGTTCATGGGATCGGTTTCAATCAATGACGTGGACAAGTTCCTCGCAACGATGTGGCTAGCAGTGTGTCTGTCCCCTTGACCCCTTGGGCTTATTAAAGCTTGCCAAGGGGATGTGAGCAGGTGGATCCGGCATGTAGTCAATGTGTTAGGGAAGGAATGGTCTCAGCTGTCCCGAAAGACACCATGATCTCACCACTCCAGAAAATCTGTTGGTTGGTGTTGACCTTTAAAGCCCTAAACGGCCCAATATACCTGAAGGAGCATCTCCACCCCCATCGTTCTGCCCAGACACTGAGCTCCAGCTCCGAGGGCCTTCTGGCGGTTCCCTCCCTGCGAGAAGCCAACTTACAGAGAACCAGGAAGAGGGCCTTCTTGGTAGAGGCGCCCGCCCTATGAAACGCCCTCCCATCAGATGTCAAAGAGATAAACAACTACCTGACATTTAGAAGACATCTGAAGGGAAGTTTTTAATGTGTGACATTTTAATGTATTTTTAATCTTTGTTGGAAGCCGCCCAGAGTGGCTGGGGAAACCCAGCCAGATGGGCGGGGTACAAATAAATTACTACTACTACTACTAGTAGTAGTACTACTGCCTAATCCCAAAGACCCATTTCAAGAAGGTGGTTGACAGGGTTGCATGGCAATACTTGCCAAGTACTCATGGAACAGATTGTCTCAACGTACTTCAATGTGGGTTCATGCCTAGTTATGGGGCCGAATTGGCTTTGGTCGCCTTGATGGATTACCTTTTTCGAGAGAAGGATCGTGTCTTTGTGGCACGGCTCCTTTCTGACCATTTGGGGAAATATCAGACACCCAGAGCCACATGAGAAGTATGCCTCTTCTCCCCACAACACTGTTGCCTTTCCAGAAGGGAAGAAGTACAGTGGTACCTTGGTTTAAGAACAGCTTAGTTTATGAACAACTTGGATTAAGAACGCTGCAAACCCGGAAGTAGGTGTTTTGGTTTGTGAACTTTTTCTTGGAAGCAGAACACGTTCTGCTTCCTGTTGAGTGTGTTCCATTTGTAAACTGAATCCCCTGCTGCTATGGGAAAGCACACCTTGGTTTAAGAACGGACTTCCAGAACGGATTAAGTTCGTAAACCAAGGTACTACTGTACTGTGTTCTCCTGCCTTATGGGCTGGGGGGTTCCCTTGTTATCTCCCCAAAAGGCAACATACATAAAGAAAGAAAAGTTTCCCACCCCATTCCTCCACCTGGACACAGGTATTTCTTTGTTATCCAGGAGGGATTCAGAAGTAGAGCTGCGAAAACATTTTGCCATTAGCAAAAAACATTTTTGCTCTGCCAAGCATTTTTAGAGAATACATTTTATTTGTTGTTGGGTCATTGGCTCTTGTATGCTACCATTTTATGTTGTATGTTATGATTTTTGTTGTATGCTTTCAGTTTTATTTGTTGTGTGCTGCCACAGTATTATGTGCTATTACGGCTCATAAATACCTTTATAGATACAAGAATAAAATGCTTCCTATGAGAGTAGTTGAGTGTCGACCATCAAACTTAGTTAGAACCTCCCATCTTTCCTGCTGCCAGACAGACCCAAATTTCCTTTTCCCCATACACAAATACTTGTCAGGTTAGGCTGCAGCCTCTGAATCCCAAAACATGTCTAGACATCCACCAGGGCTTCATCTGGCACCACCCAGCTATTATGAAAATCATTTTATTCTGGATGTGGGATTCTAGAATATCTTAGCCCTTGCAGATCAGAACTGCAATGACATTCGTAAGAATGCTGTCAAGTAGTGGAACTAATCTACTTATCTAGCATTCTTTAACCACCTCAGTTGTGACCACAGAAAGGGGACCTGAAAGCATGCTTCAGGTGTCCCAGAAGAAATATATATATGGCAGCCACTTGCCTTTCAATTAGAACAATGAAAATATTTCATATTAACTTGTCTCAGGAAGCTGTACATACTCTTAAGGCTGCAATCCTAAACCCATATACTAGAGGAAGTCCTGTGGTTTACTTCTAAGTAAGCATTTTTCAGATCACACTGCATCGCCAGAATATAAATTTACCCTAGTCAATAAAGAGTGGAAATACTTGACAAGGACACCTGCAGGAACCGCTGAATAACACCCACGGAAAAACCACCTAACAAAGATGGCTTTATAGATTACCGTATTTTTTGCTCTATAAGACTCACTTTTTCCCTCCTAAAAAGTAAGGGGAAATGTGTGTTCGTCTTATGGAGCGAATGCAGGCTGCGCAGCTATCCCAGAAGCCAGAACAGCAAGAGGGATTGCTGCTTTAACTGCGCAGCGATCCCTCCTGCTGTTCTGGCTTCTGAGATTCAGAATATTTTTTTTCTTGTTTTCCTTCTCCAAAAACTAGGTGCGTCTTATGGTTTGGTGCGTCTCATAGAGCGAAAAATACGGTATTTATTTTGTTAGTTTACTGGGGATGGGAGGGGGGGAGAGGCGATTGGGAAAATT